CAACCTCTCGTCCTCGCTCTCTTGTCTTCTGCTCTTGACCCACACTCGCGCACTCTGCTAAACTCGCTCATTCACCCACCTCAACACCCCCCAACACTCCAACACTACAACCATGTCTTCTGGTGGCAAGTCTGGCGGAAAGGCCGGCGGCGACTCGTCGGTAATCGTCTCCGCCCTCCCTCACGGCACACTCGCTGCCATGTTCGCTCTCCCCAAAGCGCGCAAACTCGAGATTGCGATCGGTATCTCGACGGCCTTCTTCGTGGTCGAGATCGTCGTCGGCTTTCGCCAGAACTCGCTCGTCCTCATTGCCGACGCCTTCCACGTCGTAAGCGGTGTGTCGGGCATCGTCCTCGATCTCTCATCAGCAGAATTGACGTGTTCGTCTGCAGACCTCGTCGGCTTCGTCGTCGCCCTCATCGCCTTCCGTCTCGCCGACCGCAAACACGGCGTCCCTGCCAACTACTCGTTCGGTTTCCAGCGTGCCCCCGTCACAGGCGCCTTCTTCAATGGCGCCTTTCTTGCCGCTCTGGGCTTCTCAATCGTCTTGCAGGCCATCGAGCGGCTGATCAAGCCAGAAGAAGTGACGGAACCGCTTCTCGTCCTGATTGTCGGTGCGGTGGGACTTGGGTTGAACATCCTATCGGCTCTCGTCGTCCACGGTGCGTCTGTCTTTACTTCCCTTGGAACGCCGCTCATCAACTCAGGTCTCACGCAGACCACGGCGGACACGGCCACTCGCACGGCGGCTCGACCTCCTCGCACGGCAGCCACACTCACTCGCCTGTCGCGGGAGACGAAGGCCAACCCAGCTCGACAGGCGATATTGAGCTGAGCAGCCTGCCCGACAAACATGCGGATCACCAACACACGAAATTGCAAGAAGTTTTCGAAAAGAAGAGCTACGACCTCGGCTTGCTCGGCGCGATGGTCCACCTCTTCGGCGACGCCATCAACAACCTATTCGTCATCATCGCCGCCGCGGTGATCTGGAAGACCGGCTTCTCACGCATGGACGGCATCGCTTCCCTCCTTGTCGGGATCAGCATCCTCGCAACGAGCATTCCGCTCATGTGGCGGAGCGCGAGGTTGCTGCTCGAAGCGGCGCCGGAGGAGATGTCCCTCGCTGGTATCGAGGAGGACATCGCGGCTTTGCCGGGCGTCAAGGCAGTCCACGAGATTCACATCTTCTCCCTCAGTTCGTATCGCCTTCCTTTCAGACTGCTTTATGTCGACTTGCTGACTCCCCTTGCGCGCAGCCCAAACCAAGCACATCGCCTCGCTTCACGTCTCGGTCAACTTCTCCTCCCTCCACGACTTCACGCACGTCGCCCGCTCAATCCGCGAGTGCCTGCACGCATGGGGCATTCACGGCGGCGTCTCGATCCAGCCAGAACTCGTCGCCGACGATGTACAGTCGGTCGTGCTCGGGACAGCGGAGGAAACGGCGGCGGGAATCAGGCAGAGGTGTCAGATTCCGTGTGCGAAGGCTAGCTGCGACGAGAACGCCTGTTGCTAGAAACTCGAGCTGCTGTCCAGACTTTGCATCGTTGTTGTATCTACGAGGTTGCACGAATTTCTACAGGCACTGATCCGGAATCTACAGCAAGCAACGCATCTTCACTCGTTTGACTCGCCGAGGAACTCTTCGCCCTCGCTTTTCTCCTGCCCAGCAAACACAAGCTCGACCTTGTTCTTCTCGAACCAGCTCAAATCTTCGTTTGAGACTTTGCCTGCGCGGTCGAAGGCGAGCCACGATGGCTTGTCGGGCTTGTAGGGCGTCCAGGCCGAGTCTGCAACGACGAGCCGAGTGAGTGAGAGAGCGGAGGAAGAGAACAGTGAGAGCGCGACGAACCGGGATTGCCCTGAATTGCAAAGCGCATCCACCTCTCCCCAACTGCAGCCGCAGTCTTCGCATCGTCCGCGTCCGGTCCCTCGTGCTCCCACAACGACCTCGAGTTGAAGACGAACGGCAGATCCGCCGAGTGGAAGACACCCAGCTTGACGGGCGCGACGCGGTCGATCACTTCGACTGGTGCGCGAAGGCGGTAAAGCCAGACTTTGGATTTGCGAGCGAGGAGGGCGGCTTGGTCCATGACGGGGTGGAGGAAGACTTGGTCGGCGAGAAGCTTCGTGCCGGGCATGTCAGTGAGAAGGACGGGAGAGGATGAGTCGTAGGTGCCGTTCGGGAGGTGCGAGGTGTACTTCGCCTTGATCTTCGGCTGGAGAGAAGGAGGGAAGCGGGAAACGTAGGCGTCGAAGGCTTGCGGCGAGGTGAGCTGTGCACGGCAAGCACAAGCGTCCGCAACAGAGTCAGTACCGATGAAGACGCTTTAGTCAGTCTGCAACGGGATTGAGCGCCCCGCACCTGGAAAGCGGAAGCGAATATCGTCCCCTCGTCCTCCGTCGTCCCAAGGATGACCTCCTCGACCCACTCGTCCCATTCTCCCCTCTCAAAGCGCTTCATGGTCTCCTCAGTCCATATCGCCCCCTCGACTTTTGGTTCAAGCGCGAGCGAGAGCGCGGTGAACGAGTGAGCGGCATTGTGGAGCGAGAGGAGGGTTTCGGCGGGTGCGGAGCGGAGAGCTGAGAGGCGGTCTGAGGCAGAAGAGGTGGAGGGTACGCCGATGGAGTCGAGGATAGAGGTGTAGGCGGGGTAGGCTTGCGGGACGGGGCGGAGAAGCTGCAATATGCGAAAGGTAAGCGGAACGAGCTGTGTGGTCCAGTAGCGAGTAGCTCACCATCGTCTCAGCAGCACCACTCTGGCAGATCGCCCTCTTGAAAAGCTTCTTGCCCGACACAAGCAAGTGCGAGATGAGGAAGGCTCCGGCGGACTGACCGAAAGCCGTGACGTTCTCCGGGTCGCCGCCAAAGTTGGCAATGTTCGCCTTGACCCATTCGAACATGGCGATCACGTCGTACGCGCCGTAGTTGCCGCACAAGCTGTTCGGGTCCTCCTTGGCGAGGTCGTCGCTCGCGCAGAAGCCTGTGCGTACGGGCCGACTAGAGCATCAGTGTGAAGCTCAGCTGAGTGTGGAGAGCAGCTGAAGCAGGGCTCCTCACGCACCGAAGATGTTCGTCCTGTAGTTGCCCGTCACCACGATGCAACGCTGTCCCTTCTTCTGCCCATCGCGGATCCAGCACGTCGGGTCGTAGAAGAAGCGGTCGGCCGTTCCATTGTTCAGCGCTCCTCCACTGCAGATCATCAGCCGTCAGACAGTCGGGAATGAAGGTGAGGTAGGAGGGAGACTGAACGCACTAGATCCAGACGAGCACAGGCAGCTTCTCCCCCTCCTTCAAGTCGCCAGGCGCAAAGACGTTGATGAAGTGCGAGGACTCGGAAACGGGGATGTGCGTGCGCATGAGGAAGCCGGGGAGTTTGGCGAGGCTGCGAGCGGGATGACGGAAAGGTCAGCGGTCATCTGGCGCGAATGACAAGGTCGAGCAGCGTTGACGCACAGAAGCTCGGTGTTGCTTGGCGGCTGTGGAAACATTGAGCTGAATGGAAAGGAGTACGAGCGTTAAGGGCGAGCAAGAATTGGAGGAATGGGAGGCGAACGCACCCAAACTCGAGGCATTCCTTCGCCTCTTTCCACGTCTCCGGTGCGCTCGGCCTCTCGAAGCGTCCAGCCTGTGCGTACGGGATGCCCTGCAAGCTCGAAAGAGGTCAGTACGCTGGCTGGTGGATCTCCGAAGGGCGAGCGGAAGCGTCGGAGTGTGCGAGTGAGCCCTCTCGCTCGCCTGGCCAGCTGGAGGCCCGTCGGATGCTCGATGACGTCTCACTGCGTCCTTCTAGTCCCTTGGAAACGCGCAACTCACCAGCCACTTCAAGACCGGGTCCTCCCCACCTCCCGAACCGCGATGAGGCTCATGCGCGCTCGACATGCGGCGCAGCGGGTGCGTGTCGGCGTAGCCAGTCACTGGACCATAGCGAGTGTCGCGTGTAAGCTCGAGCGAGGCCATTTGAGCGGTTTGAGCGGTTGTCGAGATGAAAGCGCAACAGAAAGCGGTTGATCCTCGACTCTTGCCTCGCTATAGCTGCCAGGCCCTCGCAAAGCTCGCGCACAGGCTACCAAGATGGCCCAGCACAACCTTACGCTCGTTCTGTCCTTTCCCTCGCTCCCCTCGTTCCTCTCGCTCCCTTCATCGCCCCACCGGTCAACCTGTCTCGACACGGTGTACACAGCAGCGAAGCGAGCTCGCACAAGCTTGCTGGTCGTTGTACGGACTCCGCAGACCGGCCAATCCCCATGGCGAACCGAACAGAGCGACGACTCGAGCTCCAGCACCTCCTCCTCCCCGGCTTCCCCACCTCGAACCCCTCCGACCTCGCCCTTCGTCCCGCTGGAACGGGCGCTCTCGCTTGTTTACAGCGCGGCAACGCGAGCGTATCTCGAGGCAGACCGGCTACTGGCGAAAGTGAACGTTGTCGTGGAGGAAATGCGAGGGACTGGCATCTGTTTGCCGTCCAGTGCGGATGAGCAAACGGTGGAACGGTGGGAGTGGCCGAGCGAGACGACGATGGATGCAGACGGCGGTGCAGGACCCGCCAAGGGGAAAGGGAGAGCGACGTCGGACGACTTTGCCTCTCTACCCTCCGCCAACCTCGACGACGGCGCGTTCATTTCGGCGGCCGGCTCCCCTCCTCCTCCTCTATACCGCACTTCGGCGATGGGCGGTACCTTCGACCACCTGCACATGGGCCACAAGCTCCTCCTCTCGATGGCATGCTCGATCACCTCGCAGAAGCTCATCGTCGGCGTTTCAGGTTCGTCGATTCCTCTCTACGGGGCTCAAAGTCGCGACTAATTGAGCTCGACGCTTGTAGACGACGCACTGCTGAAGAACAAGAAACACCGCGACTTGCTCGAACCGCTCGATGTGCGGATCCGGAACGTCGAATCGTTCGTCGCGCTCATTCGGCCGGAGATCCAGTGCGAGTGCGTGCCGCTGCAGGTGCGTGCAGGACTTCCTATTTCCTCGAATCCTCGAAGATGCCGACACTCGTCGCGCTGCAGGACGTGTACGGCCCGACTGCAAACGATCCATCGATTCAGGCGCTCGTCGTCTCGGACGAGACGAAGGCAGGAGGCGACACGAGTAAGCAGCGCTCTGAGACACCTCGCTAAGCTGAACAAAGCAAGGCTGACGCCAGTTCCTTCGCAGTCAACAAACTCCGCACATCTCGCTCCCTACCGCCTCTGGATGTCTGGTGCATCTCGCTCGTCGCGCACGACGCGCAAGGCGGTTCGACGACGAGTCAGGAGGAGAAGGTGGCGGTCGAAGTGGCGAGCAAGATGGGGAGTACGGGGATCCGGGAGTGGTTGGCGAGGAAGAGGGAGGCTGAGGGGGCGGGAAAGGGAGCGTAGCCTGCCGTTCGGCACGCGAACGTACTTATTGCAACGTTCATACCACTGCACGAGTTGCTCGGGCCACGGAGAGACGCTGAGACTCCACCTCGAGTCGCTCATCTCTCTCCCCTCAACCGCGCACTCTTGCTGATTTACACCGCTTCGCACGCCTGTCTAAACCCCTCGGCTCGCTCACAGAACCTCACGAAGATGCTCACGAGCCTCGTCCTCGCCCCGCGCGTCGTCGCACGCGCCCACACCGCCTTCGTCTCTTCTCGATCCATTTCCGCAACCTCGACGGAGATGCACAGCGCGCTCCCGCTCCCGAGCCTTTCCAAGCTCTCGAGCATCTCGAAGGCCTTCCACACGCAGACCGATCCGCGCCAGAATGCCCTTCCCGTCGAGTCTACCGCCCCGGTTTCGCAGTCGAAGCCCGCGCCTGAATCGCAGGACTCACCGAGCTCGCAGAAGAAGGAGTCTGCCGCGAGTCTGGGTTTTATCTTTATCGGAGCCGCCGCCCTCACGTTCAGTACGTCGCGAGCATTTCGCGTCTTCCGCGCAAAGCTGATCCTTCGAACCATGCAACAGTCTCCCTTGGCGCGGCTTACACCCTCTCGTCCGCCGTGGAATCACACGAATTGCTTGTTGCCTTGCAGGTCCGCTACAGCTACCTGATGGGCAGGTGCGAAGCTTTGGAGGAGAGGGCTAGTACGCTCGACGAACGCCTCTTCAAGTTGGGCCAGGGTGCGTCCGCTTGGAATCCGACTGTCTCCGCGGAGGTCGTCTCAATTCGACCTTGTTGCAGACGTCGCTGTTGTCAAGTACATCGACGGCGCGCTTGGTCTCCCCCCCATTCTTGCCCGGTCCCGGCTGATCACGCATTTCTCTCCCGCTACCTCGCAGGCGTCAACCACGACAAGCAGATCTCCGAGCCTACTGCGCAGATTGAGGTGAAGGAGACGACGACCGGCGCTTCTCACGCTTGACTTCTGGAAGCTTTTCCGCTTCGCATCTACTCGCCTTGAAGATTCCCTTCGTAATCACTCTGCTTGCAACTTACCCACAGCGTATTCTAAGGTACTCCTGGTCTTCGCGTCACGCGTAGGAGGGCAGCGGAACGTGATCGGCGAGTCGTGCCGGGAGGCGCTGCGCGCTTTCCTTCTTGTTCCCTCTTTCCTCTCTCTTACTCTCCTCTACCTTCGGCTGAGCTCAAGCTCCTTCACGCTTGCACAACTCTGACGTCGGACTCAGCATGCTCCCTCGTCTCTCAGCCATCGCCCGTACCGCCCCTCTGGCGCGGGCTCCCCTCGCCTCCTTCCGGCTCACTCGAGGCGTCCCTCTCCTCGCCTACCTCACTCGTACACACTCTCACCTTCACCCTCGCCCCTTCAGCGCGACTGCCGCGTACCTGGCGACGCCTTGCAGCCTCACTCGAGCCTACAGCCAGGACTCAAACGCTCCGAGACCTCCTGCCCCGACTTCCCCAAAGCGCAGCGAGCTGCAGGCGTTCGTGCAAGAGGGCTATGCTCACTGCCGTGCCGAGCTCCCGCTTGGCGCAGCTAAGTGGTTCGTGCTCACCGCTCTGGCAGCGGGCTTCGTGGTGGCTTGCATCACATCCGCGGCCATTATCGCCTGGGTGGGCTTGGCGACGCTAAGCCTGGTGTCCAAAGTGTACAGCTGGATCCCGCCGGCGGATTGGTTGGCCGAGTCCTTCGAGCAGGAAAGGTTGGACTCGGAGAAACGTGCTCGCTTCCTTGCTGAGCAGAGGGAATCTCTGGCGCAGTCGAGTCAGAGCGACAAGAAGGCGTAAACGATACAACAGCAATCAGAACGACCCGCTGGCAAACACTATTTGGCCCTCTCCGCCTCTCCTCGTCTCCTCCTCCTTCTCTTCCCTCCTCCCTTTGTAACTTCCCCTCTCGTGAACGCCGTCTGGAATCATTACAGATTACTTTCGAAGTTGTAGCCACGCAATCGTCCATCAGCGATGAACCGCAACTTTGACATCTCCCGCCGCCCCCAAGGGGACCCTCTTCACCTTCGACAGCTCACTCTCGCTTCGCAACCTCTCCTGCTGCTCTCGCTTGACGCCGCACGCTATGACAGACATCTTTGCTGGCGTGGACTCGCAAGCCGGCCCCTCTACGACGCGACAATCGCGCCAGGACGCTTCATCAGCTTCGCCGGGGTTGGAGGATGGCATCACGAACACAAGCGGCGGGGATGGCCAGAAGAAGCGCCGAACACGCAACGGATGCCTGGTCTGTCGCAAGCGCAAGAAGGTGCGCCCGCAAACGCTGTCCAAGCCCGTCCGATCGTTCACGAGTTGACTGTCTCCTCCCGGGACGCAGCTGTGCGACGAGCAGAAGCCCTCGTGCGGCGCCTGTACACGTCTGTTGCTCACTTGCGAATGGGAGGATAAGATGCAGGCCGCGCTCGAGCGGCGGAGGAAGCGTATCGAGCGCTTGCAGCAGAAGGAGCGGATCAAGCAGGAGGAGGAGGAGAAGTCGCGCGAGTTGCAGGCGAATGCGGGTGCCGCTGGCACGCCAGACTCGATGATGGCCGTGGCGGCATGGCCGTACGGAGCGGCCGGGATGGGCTGGCCACCAACGATGATCCCGTCGTGGCCATCTACTGGAGTCGACTTTGGCATCCCTCGTGCGTACCGCCTCCGCTCTGTCGCTTTACCAGCCTGCTCACGGTGAAAGGTGCAGCCTACAATCCCGCAACCCCGTCAATCGTGCCACAACCGCCCACCTTCTCCGCCTCGCCTTCTGCTCCTCCCGTTTCGACTGCATGGATGCCGTTCCTCGGCTCTTTTGCCCCTACGCCGTACGAGCCTGCTGCGACGAACGAGCCGATGGGATGGTCCGCCACTCTGCCACCGCATGTCGGAGCCTTCTCGCCTCAGGCCGGTCCAGCGCCTGCGATACTTCCGCAGTCTGCCAGCTCCGGACAAGCTGACGACGAACGGCAGAGCGAGCAACTCGACGTCGATCATAAAAGCACCGGCTCGAGCCCGCCTTTCGACCTCTTCGCCCTCCTGCGCTCGCCATCGCCTGGCGCGCACCCCTTCTCAGCCGCGCTCAATCAGCCGATGCTCGACAACCTCGCCTTGCCAGGATCAAACGAAGCATTGTCTTCGCTCGATCTCCAGATGGTCGCGACGAAGGCGGTTGATGCGGATCGCCTCGCTCTTGCTGCCTTCAGCGATGCGGTTGCGCAAGCGCAAGTCACGCCTCATCCCGATCAGCCTCTTCCGGTCGCCGTCAACCAGGCGGCAAGCTTCCTGGCGTCTGCGGACTTTGCGTTCACGCAGTCGTACCTGCTGTCACATTGTGCGTCCGCTCGTCTCCTCGTCCGTTTCAATCGCTCACAGCTCCTCGCGCAGACACCACTTCGCTCGCTCGTCTCGTTTCCCTCGCCTCCGCGCCCTCCTCCGAATCTTCGTCGTCTCGTCCCTCCTCGTCTTCCGAACGTTCGCAGTCACGCTCCCGCACAAGCCGCGAGCGAGAGCGTACCGCCGCAACAGCGAAATCTGCTCGCGCGTCCGCCAACCTCTACCTCTCGCTCGTCCCTCTCGCGCATCGCCACACCTTTCTCCTGCATGCCATCCTGTCGTGGAGCGCCGCCAACCTCGCAGCGGCATCGGCGGCCAGGCAGCAAGGTGCCGAAGCACCTGTGCCGGGACAGCCGCCTGCGGGAGGAGGGAACAGTGTGATGGCGTCGCTGTCGGACCAGCTCGGCCACCTGGCCGATCAAGGACTCGTCGCTGCGCTTCCGGCTCTCGAGGCGTATGCAGCCGCCCGAGCAGAACGGGCGGCGGATCAGTCGATGAGCGACGAGACGAGGCGGGAGAAGGATCTGGAGGAGATACCGCAGATTTGGGAGGCGATGCTTGCGGCACGGTTGATGCTCACGCATACGGCTATCTGTCAGGGCGCCGTGGACCTGTGGCGCACCCGCATGCGAGAGGTGCGTTCACAATTTCACCTTCCCGAGCCGCGCGCTGATTCGCAACTGAGCAGGCCGCGCAAATCATCAACCTCGTCGGCGGCGTACGCCAGTGCCGCTCGCCTCTCGCCCGCCAGCTCGTCAAGAACCTTCTCTACCACGACGTCCTCTCGTCTTCGTCCCGCAACGACGGCTTGCTCGTCGACTACAGCGCTCTGCGCACGCGAGACTCGGCGCGAGACGGAGGCAGCGCTAAAACGAGTCCTGCGAGTGCGACGCCGGGCGAAGGTGACAGCGAGCAGGACAGACTGGACGAGGAGGACGAGGAAGATGTGCTGGACACGCTCATGGGTGCCGCCGAAGGTCTGTCTTGCTCTTCCAATGATCTCTCAAAATGGCTGACGCGCGATCCTCCGCCAGCCGTCTTCCTGCTCATCGCCTGCATCACAAACCTCGCCAAGGAGAAGCGGCAAGCGCTCAAGACCAGTGGCGGAACGATCGCCGAAGACGACCTCTCGACATACATGCGCAAGGTCGAGGAGATCAAGTACGAACTCGAGCGGGAGAAGGACAGGATGGATGCCTTTTTAGTCGGTGCGTGCACGTCTGTCCGCTTGTGCTCAACATATGCCTGATCGCTCGATCCGTGCAGAGCGTCCCGACCTCGAGCCTCACCGCTACTTTCACGAGGTGCGTACTTGACGCTTGTTCACGCGATCTCGACTGACTCACGCCTCCCGCAGGTCTTCCGCCTCGCCGCCCTCCTGTACCTCGAGATGCTGCTCGAGCTTCCGCCCACCTCGTACCCGATCCTGCTGCTTGTCCGCAAGATGCTGAGCCTGGTGCGTCGCCTTCCCAAGTCGCCGAAGACGCAAAGCTGACAGCGTTCCGCTTGGGCAGACTGAAGTCATCGTCAGCGAGTCGCTGCCCGGCTTGTGCAGCATGCATTGGCCACTCTTCCTAGTCAGTCGCTTTTTTCTCTCTCTCAACGCGCTCCAATGCTGACCTCGTCAAGCGCAGATGCACCTCAACTCGACGCCGCTCGTCTCGCCTCACTCGTCCTTGACCGACCGCGCCCGCTCAACCCGTCTCTTCGACCGACACATGGACGAGTTCACGTTCATGAACACGAAGCGGTCGCGTGCGCTCATCGACGAGGCGTGGAGGAGGAGCGAAGACGGGAGGAAGTTCGTGGACCCGGATTCGATTCTCGAGGAGTGGGGCTGGCATCTCAATTGGGCGTAGCAGCAGTTCTCGCTATCTTTATCGGTTCGTCATGCGGTGTTGTCAATCCTAGCCTCGTCGCACGTCTGTACACCGAGACTGGAAGCGCGAGACCGCTTCTATTTCGTTTCCTCGCCCGTCCCGCCCAGCCATCTCCGCACGATGCCCAACCCGACCGCTCCGTCCGTCTTCGTGTACGCGTCGAGCAGGAGGCGAGAGAGGAGGAGATCGATCTCGTCGAGTTTGGCGGGAGCGAGCAGCGGATCTGCTGGTGCGGCGAGAGAGCGGAGTCGAGGAATGCACTGAACCTCGCGACCATTCTGGCATCAGTCACGACTCATCCGAGATAGAGTAGGCTGAGGGAACACGCAGGCTCACCAGCTTCGCACCCATCGCAGCTCGTCTCGCCGCGCCCTTCAGCGGCACCTCGTCGCCCTCTTCCGTGCTCATCTCGATCACCCGCAGATACTCCTTCCACGCCATATGTACCTCACCCGCCGTATACGCCGTCTCAGCGAACTTGAGCGCGACCCAGGGATCGTGCGGAGCGAGGATGACGGCGTGGCTGAGGGCTGTGAGGGCTTGAGGGTAGAGTGCGAGGGAGGCGTAGTGTGTCGAGAGGGTGAGCCAGCCGGAAAGATCGGCATAGTAGGTGTCGAGGTATTGCGTGAGGAGGGAGATGCCTTTTTGGCGGGAGAGTGAGGCGGAAAGGTAGGATTGTTGGGCTGGTGAAGATGCGGAGCCCTTGCCGCTCGGAAGTTCGAAGAGAGGCGAAGAGAGGTGGAGGGCGATCAGGCGTTTGCGAGAGTTCTGCGAATGTCAAGCGAGTCAGTCGTATTCGGTGAGGGTGAGGAGGATCGGGAGGTGCGAGACGCACCACATCCGTCTCGTCGTCGTTCAAGCACTGCTCGTACAGCTCCCGTGCGCCAACCAGATTGCCCTTGCACTCGAGCAGCAAGCCGCGAAGGTAGGCGACGCGATGTGGTGTCGACGAGAAGTGCGTGAGGAGGCGGTACGAGAGGATCTGCGCGCGGAGTATCGTCAATCAGGTCCGTTCTGGATGATATCGCCCTGATGAGCGCAGAGGAGTCTACGTACCTCTGCTAACTCGAGCTGTCCACATTCCACCCCGGCGAGGACGACCTGTTCCATCGAGTCCCACGCTGCAAAGCCAGCTCTATCAGCCGGCACTCTGACAAGAGCTTGGAGAAGTACGTACACTGGTCCTTCCCGCCCTTCAAAGCGCCCCGTTGCTCGAGCACTCGTCCCAACTCCAGCACCCGTTCCGCATGGCGGTCCTGCTTGACCCTCGTGTCGCGGAGTTCGTCAAAGATGGCAGCAGTCGAGAGCTTGTTGGCGTCTGTCAGAGCAGTCCTAGCCATGTCAATCAGCGGTGTAGCCGTCTCTAGACGAGGTTCAAGCGGCGCAACGCTGATGAAGTGGGGCGTGGGCTGCGACCACACACTCTCCCTCGCTTGGAGCTGTGACGACTAGCTAGACTTCGCTTTCAGTAGCTGATCACTGCGGCTGGAGAAGCTCCGGACTCCCCGCTCGCTGCTGCCGCCGCCCGACCCCCTCATCTTCCTCAACGACTGAACGTCGTCTCACGGACAGCCGGCTCCAAGTTGAGGGGTTTGAAGGCTTAGCGAGCACTTGAACGTGGTGCGTGAGCCACTGGAGGTCGCGATACCCGCTACAAGCTGACATGTCCCTCGGCAGATGTCTCGACAACCGTCCTCCTACTCCTCGGCAACCTCTGCTCGAATGCGCCAGACGCCGTCCAACTCGTCCTTCACGGGTAGCGGAGGCAGCGGCGGGACTGGCGGAGGAGATGCGGCAGGAGCGGGAGCTCTCGCAGCGGTCTTCCGCACGCTCGTCTTTGGCGGAAGTGTTCCGATACAGGTGGTCCTAGCGGAGAACGAGCTACCAGCGCAGGCAGATCGCAGCATAGAAGCGTATTACGTGCGTCACTCCTCCTTGTAGCGAAAGAGCTGATCGCTGACCACCATTTCGCAGGTTCAAGCCCCTCGAATCGCTTACCTCCCCCTTCTCCTCCCACAAATACGAAAGTACTTCGTCAACCTCGTTCTCGACGACAACACAGCAGCGAGCCTGCGAGATCAAGACCTCTGGTTCGAAGCTGACGGGGTTCCGCTCAAATGGTGCGCCGCACGCTCTCCCGTTTGGTCGAGCTAGACTGATGAATCCTTACTTTGACCCCAGGCACTGGCCTATCGGACTTCTATACGACTACCACTACCTCGCCAATCAGCCATCTCTCCTCCCACCTCGACCATCCACCACGACCGCCGACTCATCTCTCCCCTCTTCCCTCGCCTCTGTCTTCGCGCCCCTCTCTGCCTCTACCGCTCAACTCTCCTTCGACCAGCCCGAATCTCGCGACGCGACTCTCCGCGCACCCTCCGCATCCTCGCACACCGCTCGCCCCCGAACACCTTCCTCGGCTCGCTCCATACCTACCTCGTCACTGCCGCCTTCTGATCCGACACAGCCGTGGAAGATCACTCTGCACCTTCGAGATCCGCCAAGCGATGTGTTGGTCGTCAGCAACAAGGTTGAGGATGCGCGAGTCGGCTTTATGGCGATGGTCAAGGTGCGTGCGCCGTCTTTTCGAGCCTCAGTCTGTGTGACCAGCACACTGACTCTGGTGATGCACGCAGGAAGCGGATTACGTCCGGTCGGGCAACACGAAGCGGGTGATGAACTTGCGGAAGGAGCAGCAGGACGGCTTGTGGGAGGGACTCGTGCAGAGTGAGCGCTCTTCAATCGCTTTGAGCAGCTGCCTTCGCGCATAGGTCGAGCGTGAGCTGACATGTCGCGCGACACAGACAACTTCGACAAGTACTGGTCGGTTGGCTCGCGACTCGTTCCTCTCCCTTCTCTCGGCCCTCACTTCGCCTCGCCCGCATTAATTCGCTCGCCTACGCCTTCGAGCGGAAACGAGCGGGTACCGGACGCGAACGGCGTGAGAAGTGTGCCGGTCAAGGTGTATCTGCCGGAAGGCGCGCAGCCATTGCAGGAATTGGTGTCGCCGCTGAGAGAAGACGGTGCGTTCTCTTGTCCTGTTCCAGCTCTCATCATGGCTTGGGCGTCACTCACGCTCTCTCGCTTTCGCAGGAACACCAACAACCCTCCAGCACTTCCTCTCGCACCTCCTTCCCCTCCTCTTCCCGCCATCTTCCGCCTCCTCTCCTTCGCTCGCGTACCCTCTCATACAAGGCGTCTACGTCCCCCTCGCGTCGGAGATGGGCTGGCTCGGCGCGTGTTTGGCGGGTGCGGACGGGTGGGTATCGGTTGTCGTCGTGCTGGACGAGCGGGAGGAGTCGTGAGGGCCTGTAATGCGGTGCTCAATGACTCTTGCCTCATGCCAGACGGCTCAGTCGGCGACGTGACCACAGGCGACGCGACGAGGAGGAGGGGGCGCGAGCGTGCTTGCCCGTGGACTTTCCGCTGCGACGTCCCATCGCTTCTCTCGCTTCTCCCTCGTTCGCCTCACCTCTGCGTGGCACTACCATGCACCGGTACTCGCCACACGCTGCCGCTTCCACCGCTCGCTACGAGTCAACCGCTTCCTCCTCTGCTCTCTCCTCCTCTTCCTCGTCGGAGGATGAGAAGTATGGCTTTCGCCAGACACTGCTCGACAAGCCCGGTGACACTGTGATTCGACGACGGAGGCAGGAATGGGTCAAGAAGAGCGGGGAAAAGGGGCACCATCGCAAGCAGGACGGAGGAGACGGGGACGACGACGACGACGGCAAACAATTCGTGCGTTCTCCCACAACCTCCCTTCGACGATTACTGACGCTGCTGAGCTACAGCACCTCAGCAAACACACGAAACGAATCATCATCTTCTCAGTCCTTGCGGTGGTCATCCTCGCCGGCGCTTTTATCGCCTGGAAATGGGGCAAGAGCATCTGGGACCACGCCGTCGACTTTGTCACCTTTCCCACAGTCACTACGCGTGCGTCGACGCCCTTCGTCAGCTTCTCACGTTCGCGCGGCCAGAGTTGACTGTTCCTTCGCAGCGCTTGACCTGACTTCGGCGTTCATGAGCGTCGTAGGCGACGTGACGTCTCGTGCGTATCTCATACTCGCTCGGAGTCGTCGAAAGCTGACCCAGAAGACGGCTGCAGACGTTGTTGGCGCTTTCAGCACGGCAACAGCCGGTCCGTCCCGCTTCGTTTCCCTCATACTGAATCGTTCCGAACTCACCTCTCAAATTCCTCTGCCGGACAGCCGTCGCCGGCGCCGAACACACCGCAACATCCGCCGTTGCCGGCGCAGCAGAAACAGCAACTCATGCCGTCGCGGGTGCGGCTCAGACTGCAGTTGGCGCAATCACCAGTGCGTCGCCTCCGCTTCTCTGACCTAGCGAACCGATATTGACGAAGAAAATGTCGATAGAGGGCATCGGTGGGATCTTCGGACATCTAGCGTAGCGCAGGAGGAGGGAGAGGGTCGACCTTCGCAAGTCTGGTTCGCTTCAAGGCGGCTGTATCGACGCGTATGTTTCATCATCTGCCGCAACTTGCACAGTAGAGAAGCGCGGAGACCAGACCAGCGGAAGTCTACGCAAGTGGGCGTGAGACTCACCTGCACACGCTTGCTCCCGTCAAAGCGTCTGAACCTCGCTCGTTCCATACGTAGAAGAAGCTATAAGGCAGCTGCGTTGCGAATGCTACCATCTATAGAGAATGCTGACCGTCTAGTCCGAAGTTGCGAGTTTCTCGGCGCCGATGAAGCGCATCGTGCTCTCCCAGACGAGGAGGGCCGAGGCGTTCTGCGAGCCGCACGCGCGAGGGTCAGCGCGAAATGTAGAAGAGGAGGGAGAGAGAGGGGACGCACGGTAGGGAATGCTCGGAGGATGCAGGGGACGAAGCCGCGATAGAAAGCCTGTGGATCGACATCAAGACGGCTCATCAGCTCGCTTGCTCCAAGCTGAAAAGAGCGAGAGAAGGGTCGCGGCACACGTACTTTTGCTCCGCCTTCTGCGTATATCTGTCTTGCGCAGGACATCCAGGTTGGGTATCGAGGGTTGGTGAGGGAATCGGTCATGAGGCGGCTGTTCCGTATAGACACAAATGAGTCAGCGGTTAAATCGGCAGCAGGCACGAAGTGCGGCAGAGGGAACGAAGGAGGAGGAGCGGAAGTGGGCAAAGCGAGAGAGGCGAGGGGATAACGCACTTCTTGACCGCATCAAACGGGAAGCTGCCCATCCAGAATGTATTTGAGGCGAGACCTGTGCAATCAAATCTCGTCAGCGTTGCACGCAGGGCTGCAAAAGGAGAAGGAGGAACGTACCGCCTGCGAGGAAGTTTGCCGTGCCGGGCTTCATGTCCGGCACGTGTTTTCGGAATGCGCGGAGGATGACTTCATACGAGAAAAACCTGCGTGCACGCATCGCATCAGTTCTCTCCAGTCTTGAACCCGTCGAAAGCGAAGCGAAAAAACGAAACGCACATCATCCCCATCCAACTTCGGAACATCAGCGTTGCTCCAAACCCATGCCACAAGCCCCTCACGCCCCTGACCTGCACGATCTTCTTCGCGCAGTCGATCGGGCCGGTGTACAGTCGCGGACCGGTCGTCTGCATTTGGAGGCGGGCTTTGAGGTGTTCTGTTGGGCAGGCGACGACGCAGACTGTTTGGCCTGCGAGGAGTCCTGCAATCTGTACAATCAGACAGCTGAGTCAGCTCGATTGACGTGAGTGAAGGAGGGAAAGGAGGGGAACGCACAAAGTGACCGCCCAAACTCAGCTGCAAGCCTTTCGACAACCCGTCTTTGCCCAATCCCGCGCCGTCGTCTCGCCAGCCCGACCGCCAGCCAGACTCAAATCGTGCTATCAGTAGTCGGTACTGCGCACGATGGAGAGCGTTAGCAGAGGAAAGCTAGAGAAGGTAGGGAGGAACAAACTTGGTGCAGAGAACCCATCAGCATCGAGTCGCTCAGCGTCCAGCCTATCGCAGGTGGTGTAGCGCCTGTTCACCCGAGCCCATCAGCCCATCGAAACTCTCGAACGCGGAGACGAAAGCCGCGCAACGCACCCTTATACAACGCCCGCGGCCCTTCCGCCCGAATCGTCGTCTTCAGACACTCCCATGGCCCGCCGTACGTCCCTGGCGGGGAACACTGTAGTCGGACCTTAATCACGTCGAAGGGGTGGCCTGATTCCTCGCAATCCGGTCAGCACTTCGTTTCTCGTCGACGAGGAGGATAGGGACGCACCGACGACGAGCTTCGTCATCCCGCTCGCTGTACCCGCCGCGAAACCCCTCAGATCAACCGCCCTCTCCTTGCCCTTGCCCTTGCCCTTCAAGTCCTCCTTCACAACCTCCATCGAACCGCTCGTCTGGCCCTGCTCATACGCATCGTGCCGCACGAACGGCGCTGCTGGGCTTGCGTCTGACGGATAAGCCGGATGGGAGGGGAGCGTGCGGGATGGCAAAGGGTCAGAGGTCGTGGAGGTTGCCATCGCTGTGAAGGGAGATGAGGAGGATAGAGGTGGGGCGGAAGAAGGGCGGGAGAGCTGCGAGACGGCAACGGGAGCGTCCAAGCAGTCCAGTAGCTCCCTTAACCCTAGCAACGATCCTATGCCAGACCAGCGAGCGAGAGGAGGCGCGGAAAGCGACAGTTCGCAGGGATCGAAAGTTGTCAACGATGGAACCGGAGGCCGAGGCACTCTTCAGCGCGATCGAGACGGCTTTCGGAGCGTCGAGCGCAACGGAGACGGCCGGAGCTTGCGAGGAGGAGCGGGACAGCCAGAAGGAGCGCGAGCACCGCAAGATCTCTCTCCCTCGACGTTTCCGTAACGTTTGCATGCACACGCAGGTGCGCAGGATGAGGAGAGTGTGTTTCTCCACGTTGTAGTGCATCTGCGACTGAGGAAACAGGCGTCGAGAGTCGAGGAGTGGAAGGTATCGTCCGCGAAGCTGATCTGTGACAGGGTGCGAATGACGGGTCAGTACGCCGTTCACGACACCTCCGTCAGACTGCTGTTTGTCCATGCAGATCCGCCAGCACCGGTCCGCCGGGTCGCAAGTCGACTGGAAGGTCGAGCCGCCGTCGAAAAGCCTCAGTCACGGGTAACGAGCCCAAAGATTGTCCGCTATGATCTGAGCGGTAGGATCAATTGGATTGCGTCTAGGACGCGGAAGACATCATGGGCTTTTCTTCGGCGGCGTTGCGGTTGAGGGTGGATCGCCGAGAAGTCGAGGAGGAGAGGGTGGTGTCCCGTTCCTGCTACTGCGCCCGCCCTGCCACGCTTCTGCACATCACGCCGACCTGGCCAGCGCGCCAACTCGTCCGATGCGCGGTGCGATGGAAGCTTTTCCCCCCTCCATTGTACACCGGTCGTAGCTCGACGAGCAGAGCAGCGTGCGCAGCGAGACCAAAACTGGGAGACTCACCAATCACGAGCGAGTCTAGTAGAGGTCCCAACGAGCAGTCCAGCGTGAGAAACGGAGCGAGGAGTGAGGTGCACGAGGCAAAGAGGCGAGCTGGCGAAAGCGAGCGGGTCGACTGGCTCACGTACCACGACGAGGGCGCTCTGAGCTGCTCGAGAGACTCGTACACCGCTAGAACACGGTTAGAACACCCGCACACACCCACACAGCCCGCCGGCCCAACTCCCAGCTCATCTCGTCGTCTCCTCACCTTCATCTCGACCCGCAACTCGTCAAACTCGCCGACACAGCGCCTGCTTGACTCGTGCTCGGGCTAGATCGCACCATCCAACTCTCCTGACCCCACACGTCTTTGTCCGCCCTCGCCCGCCCTCCTCCTTCTTCGAACGACCCCCCCTCGCCTCATCCCGACAATGTCCAACCCGCTGCCGAGCGGGACTCCAGCGCGGTCGATCGCGAGGGTGTACGCAGACGCCAACTCGAGCAGGCCCAAGAGCTGGTGGAACTATGACGAGTTGATGGTGCGTCCCTCCTCTCTGGATCCTCGTGAGAGGGTTTGCGCTAGTCACGACAGGCGCTGACGGGCTTCGCTTTGTGTGGGAACAGGTTGCATGGGTGCGTTTAGCATGTGTCGATGGAGAGCGAGGACGGGACTGACGGGTACGTCTTGCTGACTTCGCAGGGGATTCAAGACAACTACGAGGTCGTGCGCAAGGTTGGGCGAGGAAAGGTGAGCCCTCCTACGACACGTCAACCGTCTGCCAATCTGATCAGCAAGCAGACGATGGGCGTCGTTGTCGTACTTTTCGAGGTCTCGCTCACACCCCTCGTCCCGCGTGCAGTACTCGGAAGTCTTCGAAGGCGTCAACATCGTCAACGACGACAAGTGCGTGATCAAGGTTCTCAAGCCCGTCAAGAAGAAGAAGATCAAGCGCGAGATCAAGATCCTGCAAAACCTCGCCGGAGGCGAGAACATCATCAACCTGTATGATGTCGTGCGGGACCCGCAGGTGCGTTGGGCGTACGACTTCTCCTCCGTCTCGAGTTCTACTGTCTCCCCGCAGCTGCGATGCACGGAGGCATACTCGATGTTGGCGGATGCAAGCTGACGCCCTCCCCTTCGCGCCTCGCAGAGCAAGACCCCCTCGCTAGTCTTCGAGCACGTCAACAACACCGACTTCAAAGTCCTCTACCCTCGCTTGACCGACTACGACGTCCGGTACTACATCTACGAACTGCTCAAGGCGCTCGATTTCTGCCACTCGAGGGGAATCATGCATCGCGATGTCAAGCCGCACAATGTCATGATTGATCATGAGAAGCGGCAGGTGAGTCGGGCGCCCGCTCGATACTTGCGTTACCGTTCTCGCCCACCGGCGACCGGTTCCAGCGCTGGCAGTTGAGCGGCTTCTCGACTGACCCGACTGATTGTGCGCCCAGCTCCGCCTGATCGACTGGGGACTCGCCGAGTTCTACCACCCCAACACCGAGTACAACGTCCGCGTCGCCTCGCGCTACTTCAAGGGTCCCGAACTGCTCGTCGACTTCCAAGGTTCGTTCGCGCTCCTCTCTTCAAACTGTTCTACCCATTCGGACGAAGGTACTGATAGAAGGGCTACGCCGTGATCAGAATACGACTACTCGCTGGATATGTGGTCCCTTGGGTGCATGTTTGCCAGCATGATCTTCCGCAAGGAACCGTTCTTCCACGGCCACTCGAACGGTTCGTCGCGCTCTTTCCCCCTTCAGCTGCTTCTCCCGTCGAGATGCTGATGGTTGAGATTTCCCTGCGTGAACAGAGGACCAGTTGGTCAAGATCACGAAAGTCCTCGGGACGGATGAGTTGTACGAGTACCTCGAGAAGTACGATATCGAGCTCGCGCCCGAATTCGACGATATCCTCGGCCGGTACGTCCCGCCTCTCCCGTTCCTCTCCTTTTCTTGACGCAGAGCTGATGAGTGAGTGGGGGATACAGGTACGCGAAGAAGCCGTGGTCAAAGTTTGTGAATGCCGACAACCAGCGATACATCGTGCGTCCCTCGCTTCCTTTCTCCCCAATCTCCTCACTCGCTCTCTCCCTTTCTCCTCTCGGTTTTTCTCTCCTCGCTACACCTCGCTCTCCTCGCACGCCACGCCCGCCTCGCAACCTCGCTGACGCTCACCTCCTCGTCTTGCAGAGCAACGAAGCGATCGACTTCCTCGACCACCTCCTCCGGTACGACCACAACGCGCGCATCACGGCCAAGGAAGGACAGGGGCATGCGCTGTTCGCGCCGGTTAGGGAGCAGGAGAGGCAGGGGAAGGGGAAGGTTGAGGAGATGAGGTAGGCGCGGCGTGAGGGGTGAGGACGGGTGGAAGCCTGTTGGGCTTGGGGTTGTGGCTGGGGGCGCGGTAGGGGACTCGCGTGCGTGGGTAGACAGCGAGGGTGCAGGAGAAGCGAGGACGACTCGACACCTCTCCTCAACCTCTTCCTCCTCCACCTCCTCCACCTCGCCGTGCTTTGCGTTGTGTTTCTCGTCTCTGTTATTCCTCTCTCCTTCTCCTCGATTTTGCTCTAGAGGCCGTGCATCATCCTCGTTGTACCAGCAGCCTCCAAGATGCCGCCTCGCGAGAGAGAGTCCTCGACTTCTCCTGCGCTACAACGCTTCACTTTCCGCTCGTCGTTGTCCTGAGTATGCACGCCAGCTCTGCACGCTTCGCTGCGTTCCAATCGCGCTCGCCCGATTTGGTCGATGACGAACTTCGCCCCACAACGTTGGACATCGGCTTCAACTCGCTTGAAAGGGCTGCTTACCGCTCGTCCTTACCGCTTGTGATAGCACTGCTGCATGCTCAGCAGCTCACTCTACTCGCTCACAACCCGCTCAGCTCGATCCGCTCTCGCCCCGCTCCGTCTCGCCGCCGCAATGTCCACCCGAATCCGCGTCGCATCGCTGGGGGATCTCAAGAATGGAGAGATGTGCGTGGTGCTCGTGTAGGCTGGGAACGGAGTGCGCTGATGGTCGTGGCGGTCTGCAGGAAGGAGATCCCGTTCCCGAAGGAGGACTCGGAGAGCAAGATCCTCCTCTCAAAGGTCCGCTCGTCCTCCGCTCTTCCTCCTCAATTCCTTCCGTCGGAGCTGCGGTTCGACTCAAGCGACGTGTAGGATAGGTACGGAGGAGCGCGATGAGCTGACGCAGCGATCCCCGTGCAGGTCAAAGACCAGTACTTTGCCAACTCGAACAAATGCACCCACTACGGCGCGCCGCTTGTCAAGGGTGTCTTGTCGCAGGAGGGCAGGCTCGTTTGGTGAGTGGGCGACGCGGAGCTTACGAGCGCTGGACTGACCAGACCTCGCTCGTTTTCTTCTCCTTTTGCCGTTGCGCTCCTCTCGTAATGCGTCAGCCCGTGGCACGGCGCTTGCTTCAGTGCGTCCCATGCGACTCCAATTACGACGCGGAGAAGCTTCTGACCCATTCGACTCGGCAGACGTCTGCTCGAACGGCGACATTGAAGATGCACCCGGCCTGAACGCCCTCCAAAGCTTCAAAGTCGAGACGGACGGCTCATCCGTCTACGTCCTCGCCGACGAGCAGACCGTCTCGAACTCCCGTGAGCCGGCCGCTCCGTCGGTCGAGATCGACTCGTCCGCTTCGCGCGTCGACGTCCTCATCGTCGGTGGTGGGCCTGGCGCGGCGCACACGATCGAGGGACTGCGCGATGAGGGATACACGGGCTCGATCAAGGTCGTCTCGAAGGAACCGCACCTCCCGATCGACAGGACCAAGATCTCGAAGGCGCTCATCTCGGACCCGGAGAAACTCGCGCTCCGTGGAAAGGCGTTCTACGACAAGCTCAAGGTCGACTTTGTACTCGGCGTCGAGGCGACCAAGCTTGATTTCCAGAACTCGAGCGTCGAGCTCGCGGATGGCAAGGAGGTCCAGTACGAGAATCTGATTCTCGCGACCGGCGCCATTCCCGTCAAGATCCCCCTTGACGGACACGACTTGATGAATATCTTTACCGTCCGCGGCGTCAAGGACGCTGAGGCTATCACCGCCGCGATCGGGTCTGCCGAGAAGGACGAGGACAAGAAGAATGTGCGTCGGCTTCCTCCTCCCGCTCGTCTCGCATCTCCTTAACAGTACCGCTCCCAGGTCGTCGTCGTCGGCTCGTCCTTCATCGGGATGGAAGTCGCCCTCGCTCTCGCGGACAAGGCCAAAGTCACGATCGTCGGGATGGAGAAGGCTCCGTTCGAGAAGATTCTCGGCGCGGACATCGGGAACGGGATCCGCAAGGTGCGCTTGCGCTCCTCGTACACTAATCTGGTGCGCCTCGCTGACGCTCGACGCCGGCAGTTCCACGAAGGCAAAGGTACCAAGTTCATCCTCCCCGCCGAACTCTCGCACTTCGCTCCCTCCAAATCCGACTCGACGCACGTCGGCTCAGTCCACCTCAAAGACGGCACCGTCCTCCCTGCCGACGTCGTCATCATGGGAACGGGCGTCAAGCCCGCCACGCAGCTTCTCAAAGACGCCGGGTTGGAGTTGGAGAAGAATGCGAGTGTCAGGACGGATGAGGTGCTGGAGGTTGTGCAGCTGAAGGGGAAGACGCAGGGAAGGGTGTTTGCATTGGGAGATATCGCGACTTTCGATACGCCTAAGGGGGAGAATTACGTCCAGCACTGTGCGTCGAGGCGTCTTCCTTCGTCCGCTTTCCTCTGGGCAAGCGGAAACTGACGATTGAGGATAACTCCCATCCACAGGGAACGTCGCTAGTGTGCGCAGTCTCTCGTTTTCCTTCCCTCTTCTCACGCTTACCCGCTTCTTGTCCCGCAGAACCACGGCCGCGCGATCGCGCACTACATCGCGACGCAGAAGCGCGAGGCGTTCGACAAGATCTCGGTCTTCTGGAGTGCGCAGGTGCGTCGCATCTACCTCCCTCGCTCAGGCAGCATGCTGACGAGACGATGTCGGGATCTGCAGGGCCAGCAACTCCGCTACGCGGGCACGACCAAGGCTTCGAGCTGGGACGACATCATGATTGACGGACACCCCGACCAGCTCAAATTCGTCGCGTACTACTTCCGTGCGTCTGCCCGTTCTTCGCTTCGACCTCGCTGCCAGAGCTGACTCGATGTGAGCTGGCAGAGGGCCAGAATGTCGTCGCTGCTGCGTCGATGCAGCGCGATCCTATCGTCGCCCACATCTCGGAGCTCATGAAGATTGACAAGATGCTCACCAAGGACGAGCTCAAGGCTGGAAAGGTGAGCGAGCGGAGTCCTCGTTGCTATCGACTCTGCTCTCTCCCGAAGATTCGCCCGCTGACAGGACTGTCCGCTGCGCGCAGGACCCGCTCCTCGTCCCTCTCGTCGGCACCGTCTAGGATGCGGCGCCGTCGGCCGCGAAGTCGGCGGCACCCTCTTCCTCCGCGCGTCTCTAAGCCCGCTCGCTCCTCTCGCCTCGCATACCCTTCTGTAGAAACCGCTTCGTCTGAGTGCAAAGGACAGTCTTTTTCAGCGCACGTGCGGCAAAATGAGGTCGATCTGCGCGAAGTGGTGACGCAGCGGATTGCGAAGGCCAAGGGCCGGTGTGGGTCAACTTGCTCTCCAACCGCTCTCTTTCAGCTTCGTACACCGACTTGTGAGTACGACGGCACGTACAGAAGGGCTGGAGCGTTGCTGAACCGGTTGCACCTTGTCCACGTCTTCGTTCGACCCGCTCGCCTCGCCTCGTTCCGCTCACTTCCCTCACGGCCTCCTCCCTGCCTTTCAGCCTCACAGGTACTCAATCCACTCCACTCAAACACCTTTCACACCACACGAGCCAACATGGGAGGCAAGCCCGACAGCCAAGTTATCGACGAGTTCAACGGTGCGTTCCTCCCTCATTCTCCTTCCTCTCTTCGCCTCCCCTGACATGGACGCACGCACACAGACTACGTCAACATGACGCCTGACGAGCTGAGAGACTGGTTGGACACGAATTCGTCGCAAACTGCGGGGTGGAGTAAGGATAATGATGGCAAGGTGCGTCCCTTCTCGCTCTTCCAGCTTTGAGAACGAGGAGAGCTGATGGAGACATGTGGCGGCAGGTCAAGTCGGGTCAGGAGAGTGTTGGACACGAGTCGGGCAGGAAGATTGTGAGTCTCGCCTTTATTTCCCTTACTTCTGGTCGTTGAGGCTGACATTGCGGTCCGCATGGCAGATCGACATCCTCGAGCGCAACCCCGACAAAGATCCGGAGCAATACACCGACGAGGATATCGAGCACATGCGCAAGGGTTCGTCCCGCCCCTCCGCCTTCCCCTACTTTGCTTCCAGCTGACGACGAGATTGCTTGGATAGTCACCTCGTATTGCAAGCGCCATCTCGCGCAGGAGGAGAAGAACAATGCGGAGAAAGATCCGGAGGAGTTGGAGCAAACCAAGTCGTACAGGTCCCTTGTGCGTTCTCCCTGCCCACTCTTCCTTACTGGCGCTGGTGAGCTGACTGAGCGTGCACGAGCAGAAGAACTGGGGACACGACTCGCTCAAGTGAGCGGGAAGAGCTGGGTTGTACAGAGGCAAGCTTGTTGTAGCTGTCGAAGGAATCGCGACTCGTTCCTCGTCTCCGAAGGGACGCCGAGAGCAGCAGGGGCAGTCCGAGAGGTGGTACGTCCCGACAGTACCGAGTGGGAGATAGTGGCGTCGCTCATATGCAGCCGATGAGCCGCGCGAGGCAGGAACGTCCTCATCAGTTCGCTAGCGAGGAGGACCGGGAGTAACTCGGCGGCAACAGCAGCGGGCCGGTCATCGGCAATGTAGCGGCCTCGTAGACACTAGAGTGAGGCTGCCTATGTCCTCGAGTGTCCTTTCGAGGGGTGTCGCCGTTGTGGCAGATGCAGAGCTCATCGCGAACGGACGGGGACAGGGCTTTACCACTCGCTCAACACCGCTTGCTTGGCTTGACGTCGCGTGTACGAAGCTATCAGACTGCTAGGAGTGCACCCAGTCTGCATCAACTCCCCCGAAGCACCGACATCTCCCGCTTGCACCCATCGCTCCACTCCCCGGCGGGACTCGCACGATCCTGAGCGCTTCCTCGCGCCAACAAAGCACGCAGGGATGCCCTACCGCCCTTCAAACGCCCGTCAAAGCCGCGACTCGTCCGCCTACGACCTCCAGACCCGCTACGCCAACACACTCGACTATCACTCCCCTTCGTCTCCCCCACCTCCTCCTCGTTCTCCTTCTTCTTCCCACCCGGCTTTTCTGCGCGACCAACAGTCGCATGCGCGGTATTCATCTGCAGACCTCTACGCCCTCGATCACGGGACGGGAAGGGCAGAAGAAGGGATGTTGATGCGCGAGGAAGAGCGCGGAGGAACGCACAGTAGCGATGAGGAGGAAGATGGGGCGGGCTTTGCGTCGTATGGGGACTTTGAGGCGGCGGGCAAGAGGAAGAGCTCGGTGCACTTGGGCGGGCAGAGGCAGAGCTTTAGGCCGGGGATGGTATCGTGCGTCTTCTTCCCGTCCTGCCGCGGTCCCGCAGAAATTGACGAGACAGCCCCGTCCATCCACAGCCACCCCTCCGGCTTCTCAACCCGCTCCACCTTTGACTCAACCTACCCCAAACCCCCGGCCTCAGCATCCACCTCGAAATTCCCTACCACGCCCGCCTCTGAACTCGTCGACGCGCCTATCCTCTCCCGCGCAGACTGGACGCCCGGCGAAGCGATGCGTGAGAAGGATGCGAGAGACGCGGAGAAGAAGAGGGAGAAGAGGGAGAGGGTCGTGGGGGATGTGAAGGCTGCGGGAAGGGGCGTGGGTGGGTGGGTGAGGAGGAACTGGAAGTGGCTTGTGCCGCTGGTCGTCTTCCTTGGCGTTGCGTGAGTCCGGATGACTTTCTTGGCGCTCTCGTGCGGTCTAGCGCAGCAACTGACGCCTAGAGCAAACCGTCCCGCTCACAGCGCCATCCTCCTCTGCTACTTCCTCATCCCACGCACTCCCACAATCACCTTCAACTCGCCCAAGATTCCCGACCCGGCACTCACGTCGGACGACCCGTCGCCTTACGTCTCGTCTGCAGATCCGACTGGATTCAGCTTTGGTGCGAATTTGACGCTGGCGAGTGAGTCGGCCTTTCCCTTCTCCGCTGTCCGCCTCAATGCCTCTCGCATGTACGTGAGACATCTGCGTGGCTGACAGGCTGACTCGCCCTGGCTTCCAGTCGACTCCTCCGCCTCGTACCTTCCCGTCCACTACCGCTCCTTCGCCATCACCGTCCGCCTGCAAGAGACCGACGGGATCGTCGCGACGCAGAAGTGGGACGCGGGGGAGATCAAGGTCCAGCCGAAGAGGGTGACGAGTTATCAGGTAAGTCTACGGCAGGGGTGGACATTGCTCGCGGGCGGGGGAGTGACTACGAACTGGTCGTCTTCGAGAGTCGAACTGATGCATGGATGCTCGCGCAGTTCCCGATCCAGTTCTACGGCAACTACTCGAGCTCGAGCAACCCAACCTGTGCGTCCTCCCTCTCCCCCTCCCCTTGAACACTCCCTGACCCTCACTTGCGCAGACCAAATTATGCGCTCCTCCTGCGCGCACCTCTACCCCACGACTGACCGCGCCCCACTGAACTTGACCGTCACCGTCTCGAGCGAGATCACGGGCGTTGTTGGCACGAAGGAGAGGACCGCGAGGTTGGATGCGGTCGAGTGTCCGGTACAGTGGAGTGGGACGGCGGCGTGAGGCGACGCACGGCAGCATTACGCATTTACGCTTCGCCGACCTCGTCCAGCATAACCGCCACTCGCCGTCCGCCTCCTCTTTCTTCGCAGTCGACTCTCTCGCCTTCTCGCTCGTCTCTCGCCTTCGTCGTTCACCTCTCCAACATGCTCGCTCGCTCGCCGTCATTCTTGTCGTACACTTTCAGCATCCTTTCGCTCGCAGACACTCATTCATTCGCCGTACTCGGTCCTGCATTCCATCGTTTGCCCTCCCTTCTCCCGCCCGGATCGTCAGCGCTTTCCCAGCGCGTTCAGGGAGACTACCCAGACCTTGGCGTCCAGCAAAGGCTCCCGCAAGCCGTTTTGACCAGGGCGAGTGAGCTGATTAGACTGGTTTGTAATCTTCTCAATAGACCCGAGTCAAGACTCTTCATCTCTCTCGTTCGCTCGTCTCGCCTGTCCCGCTAGAGCTTTTGGGAAGCTAGATTGGCCTGCTTGCTGACTGTCGAGCCAGCTGCCCACCACGTCTCTCCCGCGCGCCGTCCAGTCCCTGCGCGGCCGCTGCTCTCGCCTCCTCGCCGCACCCGCCAACAACCCCTTCACACTCGCACGAACGACCCGTGGAAGCCACACAGCCACCATGGCACCCCCAGCAGCCGCCTCACAGGCGAAACCCGCCTCGACCGTCGCCCCGCCCGCCCAGAACACCTCGAAGCGCGACTTTCTCATCTCGCTCGAACAGCAGGCTCAGAAGCGCTGGGCCCAGGACCGCCTCTTTGAGCAGGACTCGCCGTATGCGACGGGCGAGGCGGACATTCCTAGCGACGAGTTTGCCAAGCATGCCGCGGAGCTCAGGGAGAAGTATCCCAAGGTCCTCGCGACCATGCCCTACCCGGTCAGTCTGCGAGGCGTTCGTTGGGCCGAGCGGTCTAGTCGACCTGATCTACGGCTCATGGCGAGATGATCACGCAGTACTGACGCTTTTGATTTCTCGTGCAGTACATGAACGGCTCGCTCCACCTCGGACACGGCTTCACCATCTCCAAGATCGAGTTCCTCACCGGTTTCGAGCGCATGCGCGGCAAGCGTGCCCTCTGGCCCTTCGGCTTCCACGCGGTGCGTTCGTGTTTCGCTTCGGTGGGGTCTCGTCGACGAGTCGGGAGGAAGGGTTCTCGCGAGAGAGCCTTCCGTCCGTACTTCTCTTGCAAGCGCGCTGACTGCTTCGTTTGCATTGCGCAGACCGGCATGCCTATCAAGGCTGCGGCGGACAAGCTCATCCGCGAGATGGAGATGTTCGGCGAGGAGTTCGAGAAGTACGGCCAGCCCGAGGACGAGACGGTGCGTTCTAGTCCTTCTCTGCCTCGACGTAGCTGACTGTCCTGCTTGCAGGTCACGGCGACTGAGGAGCCCGGGAACGCGACCGCCCTTGCAACCACCTCGACGACCTCCTCGAACGACCCCGCACGAGCAAAGAAGGGCAAGCTTGCGGCCAAGAACACCGGCCTGCAGTACCAGTTTCAAATCATGGAGTCGATCGGTGAGCGTCGCGCAGTTTCGAGGCGTGTTGGGCGTGTCTAACGAGACTCTCCCGCAGGTGTCCCCCGCTCCGAGATCAAGAAGTTCGCCGACCCGTACCACTGGCTCAAGTACTTCCCGCCCATCGCGCAGGACGACTTGAACGCGCTCGGCTCGCGCATCGACTGGCGCCGATCGTTCATCACCACCCCTGCGAACCCGTACTACGACGCGTTCGTGCGGTGGCAGATGAACAAGCTCCACGGGCTCGGGTACATCAAGTTCGGCAAGCGGTACACCATCTTCTCCCCCAAGGACGGCCAGCCTTGCATGGACCACGACCGGCAGTCGGGCGAGGGTGTCGGACCGCAGGAGTATGTCGGCATGAAGCTCGAGGTGACGCAATGGGGCGAGCGTGCCGAGCGCGTCAAGCAACTCGCAGGAGGGAAGAAGGTCTTCATGGTCGCTGCGACGCTCAGGTCCGAGACGATGCACGGCGTGACCAACCTCTTTGTCGCGCCGTCCGTCAAGTACGGCCTGTACCCCTCGTCGACGACCAAGGGTTCGAAGGAGGACGTCCTCTACCTCGTCACGCCCCGCGCTGCGCGCAATATGGCGTACCAGGGTCTCCTCCGCACCGAGGACAAGGTCGAGTGCGTCGGCGAGCTCGAGGGATCCGAGTTGCTCGGCACCAAGGTCCACCCGGCGCTGTCAGAGCACAAGGAGGTCTACGTCGTGCCTATGGACACGATCAAGGACAACAAGGGTACCGCCGTCGTCATCTGCATGCCGTCCGACTCGCCTGACGACTGGATCACCACGCTCGACCTCCGCAAGAAGCCCGAGTACTACAACATCGACCCCGAGTGGGTCGCGCTCGAGCCCGTCCCCGTCTTGACTACCCCGACCTACGGCGACAAGACGGCCGTCGCCATCGTCGAGCAGATGAAGATCAACTCGCCCAAGGACACGAAGCAGCTCGCCGAGGCCAAGGAGCTCGCGTACAAGGAGGGCTTCTATGGCGGTACGATGATCGTCGGCAAGTACAAAGACGAGAAGGTCGAGGACGTCAAGAACAAGATTCGCGACGACCTCATCGCGCAGGACCTCGCCTTCATCTACTCCGAGCCCGAGAACCTCGTCATGTCCCGCTCGGGCGACGAGTGCGTCGTCGCGCTCTGCGACCAGTGGTACCTTGACTACGGAGAGGCGGGATGGCTCAAGAAGGCCGAACTGTGCGTTCCCGTGTCTCCCTCTTGCCCTCTCTGACTCGCTCACCCTGTTCGCCTCGCACAGCCTCCTCTCGCGCATGAACACGTACCAGCCCGAGACGCGCAACGGCTTCGAGAAGACGCTCGGCTGGCTCCGGCAATGGGCGTGCGCGCGCTCGTACGGCCTCGGCTCGAAGCTCCCGTGGGACCCGCAGTTCCTCGTCGAGTCGCTCTCCGACTCGACCATCTACATGGCGTACTATACGATTGCGCACCTCCTCCACGGCCCGCCCATCGACGGCTCCAAGGTCGGACCGCTCGGCATCACGGCCGAGCAGATGACGGACGAGATGTGGGAGTACATCTTCGCCAACGGGCCCTTCCCCTCGCACTCGCCTGTCCCGATCGAGAAGCTCAACCGCCTCAAGGCCGAGTTCTCCTACTTCTACCCGATGGACATCCGCTCGTCCGGCAAGGACCTCATCCCGAACCACCTCACCTTCTGCATCTACGTCCACGCCGCCCTCTTCGGCGAGGAACACTGGCCGCGCTCGATGCGCGCCAACGGCCACCTCATGCTCAACGGCGAAAAGATGTCCAAGTCGACCGGCAACTCGCTCACGCTCAAGGACTCGCTCGTCAAGTTCGGCGCCGACGCGACCCGCGTCACCCTCGCCGACGCAGGCGACTCGATCGAGGACGCCAACTTTGAAGAGTCGACCGCCAATGCCGCCATCCTCCGCCTCCACACCCTCATCGAGTGGTGCCAGGAGGTCGTCAAGGACCAGGGCCAGCTCCGCCGCGGCCCGTCCGACGAGCTCATCTGGGACCGCATCTTTGAGAACGAGATCAACGAGGCGATCGAGTTGACCTACAAGGCGTACGACCAGGCGCTCTACAAGGACGCGCTCAAGAACGGTTTCTACCAGTTGCTCTCGGCGCGCGACCTGTACCAGCTCGCGACTGCGTCCGAGGGCGGCATGCACGTCGACCTCGCCCTCCGCTTCATCCGCATCCAGGCCCTCCTCCTCACCCCGATCGCGCCGCACGTCGCCGAGCACCTCTGGTCGACCGTCCTCGGCGAGCAGACGTCCGTCCAGAAGGCGCAGTTCCCGACCATCTCGAAGCCCGTCGACCGCGCGACGACTGACGCCGCCGTCTACGTCCGGTCCAAGGTCAAGGAGATCCGTGACGCCGAGCTCTCGTTTGCGAAGAAGAAGGCCAAGGGCAAGGCGACGGGCGCGTTCGACCCGTCCAAGCCCAAGGCGTGCAAGGTCTGGGTCGCCAAGGGCTTCCCCGAGTGGCAGGAGGCGGCCGTCGAGGTCGTCAAGTCGGCGTGGACCGGCTCTGCGGTCGACGACAAGAAGGTCAAGGAGGACCTCGTCGCTCGCGGCCTCATCAAGGACAAGCGGTACATGCCGTTCATCGCACAGCTCAAGAAGGGCATCGCGCAGTTCGGTTTCCAGGAGGCTATCGACCGGCACATTACCTTCGACGAGGTGGCGACGCTCAACGCCGCGATGCCGTACATCCGCCGCTCGCTCGGCATGGACGACATCGAGGTCCTTCACACCGACTCGGACAAGGCCAAGGAGGGCGAGCCCGGCTTCGTCGCGTCCATCGTCGAGGCCGCGCAGCCTGGCAACCCCGGCCTCGTTCTCTACAACATCTAGACGTGCCTCTTCTCCTCTCTACTACCCGGTTGTATCTCTTCCTCTTTCGTATCGATCCCAAAAGCGCAACGCATCGCAGGTTCCCCCGTAGGACACGACGAGTTGGCTTTGAGTTGGCTTGTTCGCTGCCGTCGGCGTCAGCTCTCGCTCTCGCTCCGGCTGGATTGCCTGCCGGGCTCCGCGACTCGTTCAGCGAGTTTGTCAGGCTTTGCTTTTGTCAGCCGCCAGCGAAGTGCTAGGGGAGCCGCTCGCTCGAGCCGCACCTTGCCCCGCCTCTCGTCTCCGCGGATTCTCCTTCGTGTCCTCGTCTCCCTCCTGCTTCCCTACGGCTGGCGACGCGACCAGACGACGGCCTCCGTCGCACAGCTGGTACTCGCTGGCCCGCGGCGGCGCTGGTGTTGCGGTGCGCTCCCGACGGCTTCCTGCTTCTCGTCGCCAGAATTCGCTTCTTCTGCTCTTCCCCCGACCCCCTGCCGGCCTGAAGACGGACGACGGGGAGGTGGACCATTGTAAGCACCCTTGCCGGCCTTCCTATCCAGCCAAACGGTATCGCTGACCTCAGACGGACCTCCGCAGAGGACTGCTTTTCTCGCTTGGATAAGTTCCGACGCCTCGCTGGATCCTTGTGCTTCCCCGCTTTCCTTGACAGCGCTTCGACGACACAGACGACGCAGCAGGCGCTGTGTGAAGCGCTGAGCGGAGACGGCGGCGCGCAGGCGCTTCGACGGCGGCGAGACTCGTTGCTGAGGAAACTGCCATCCTGAGGAAGACTGCGCGCGTCGAGCGTCCCGCAATCGTGTGCCTCGGCGGGTGCTCCGGATTTTTCTGCTGTGGGCACGCGCGCTGGCGGGCGCTTGCACTGCTCTTGCCGCCGAGATAGCAACAGTCCCCCGCCTCTCTCGCGGCCCCTTCGATGCTTGATTCGCTCCAGTACACTCCATCAGCTGCTTCAGCACCCGTGGAACCAGCGCACACCGCCCCAGCATGGCCACCGTCCGCTCTCTCGACTCGACCAAATCCCGCACCATGTCGAACGAAGGCGTCGGTCCCGCAAAGCAAGAGCTCCGCTCAAAGGTGTTGGCCGTCGGAGGGATCGCTGGGACGTACGAGGAGCTCACTGGACACAAGCAGGAGCTGAAGGTGTCGATGTCGGTTTGGGTGCGTCCTCCTCACATTGCTCGACGGATGCTGCTCCGACGTAATCCTCCTGACCGCGGCTGACTTCTCCTTCTCCTTCCCTTCGTTCTGTTACTGTGCTTTCACGATGGACAGGCTCTTCTCGGTCTCGCGTTCGTGAGTTTGCTCTCCTCCCTCCTTTCCTTCGAACGCTTCGTCGTGCTCCAGTACTGACCATGTCTCGCACGCAGGCCAACATGGCGCCCTCAACAGCTATCAACGGCTCTCTCGGAACGGCGCTCCTCTCGGGCGGACCTGTCGCCTCGCTCTGGGGCTGGCTTGCCGTCGCCCTCATCTCGGTCTGTATCGCGCTGAGTCTCGCGGAGCTCTGCTCGGCGTGGCCTCACGCAGCAGGACAGGCGCTGTGGTCCTTCCAACTCGCGCCGCCTCGATGGGCGCCGTTCCTCTCGTATTGGACCGCCTGGTGGAACATCGCCGTGCGTTCTGCCGTATCTTCCTTTCGCTTACAATACCGCAAACCTGACTTTACGCTCGACACCAGGGTGGATGGGCCTTGATTGCTGCAGGAGCGTACATTCTCTCGGCCGGATGCCTCGGTCTCGCCGCCGCCTACCACCCCGACTACGTCGAGCAGCCGTGGCACCTCGTCGTCTGCTTCCTCTTCTCGCTCTTCTTGTTCTTCGTCACCAACGCAAGTCCTCTCCCTTGACGTTCCTTGATGTCCCGAGACGAACCTGACGGACGCCTTGGAAGACCTCGACCTGACGCCTTCCATCCGCAGCTCTACATGGTTCGCATCCTTGACCGCTGCACGACCAGCTTTGCCATCATCAACATCTCGACTGTCGTCGCGACCATTGTTGCCCTTGCGGCTTGTGCACCGGTCAAGGCCAAGCCCTCGTTCGTCTTCGGAGGCTTCTACAACGGGACCGGCTGGTCGAACGGCGGCCTCGTCTTCCTCCTCGGCTTGCTGCAGAGCTCCTTCACCATCATCGGCTACGACGCTGCCACCCACCTCTGCGAGGAGGCTGTGGACGCCGGTCGCCTTGCACCCATCGCGGTCGTAGGCGGGACCGTGATTGTCGGCATTGTCGGGTTCTGCTGTGAGTACTCCTCTCGCCAGTCATCTCGTGAGCCTTTTGCTGACGAACTGCACGTACAGACATCATCGCCCTCCTCTTCGCCATCGCCGACATCGACACCGTCGTCTCCTCCCCTCTTCCCATCATCCAGATTCTCTCCGACTCGTTCGGCTTGCGTGGTGCGACAGCTGCCTTCGTCTTCAACCTCCTCATTCTTGCGTTCGCCTGCATCGGCATCGTTTGCGCCTCGTCCCGCGCCGTTTGGTCCATGAGCCGTGACCGTGGTTTCCCTGGCAGCCTCTTGTGCGTCGAGTCTATCCTCTCGGTCTTCTATCACGTTGAGAACCAATGCAAAGTGGCATAGAACTAACACATTGTGGCATCGCAGCTTCGGCAAGGTCTCCAAGACGTTCGTCGTCCCCGTCAACGCCCTCCTCCTGCAAGTGACGGTTCCCGCCATCCTCGGGCTCATCTACTTGGGGAGCAATGTTGTGTTCTTCGCCTTCTTTCAGTTGACGACCATCGGCTACCTGATCTCGTACTTTATCCCCATCGCGCTCATTTTCTTCCGCGGGCGCCACCTCCTCCCTCCAGCGTACTGGCGCATGCCCGACGGCCTCGCGCGCTTCTGCAACATCGTCGCGCTCCTCTACATCCCCTTCATCTGCGTCCTCTTCTGCATCCCCAACTTCTACCCCGTTACGTCGACCAACATGAACTGTGAGCGGGACCTTCTTTCTCTCCCGTTTCGCGATACTGACTCTCGTTCTTTCCGCAGACACGAGCGCCATCGCCGCCGTGGCAATCCTCATCGGCACGATCGGATGGTACGTCGAGGTCCGGCGGCATTACAAGGGACCGGCGTCGCAGGCGCCGCATCTCGAGGAGACGGCCGCGGCGGTTTGAGCGAACGAAGCATTGGCCTTTGTATTCAGTACTCTCAGTTGCGAGTGTCGTTCATTAGCTAGTCAAGTAGTAGACCTTGCGGTGTAATTCAGTTTTACGTCTGAAGCGGGCGAGGGAGTCCAGCAAGGAGGATTGTGTCCCGAGCGCTTTCTTGAGCGCCTCGCGAAGCAGCGCAATGTTTGGAAGAACGACAGTTTGCAGTATACAGACGATCGGGAACAGCCACCAACGCAAGAAGAACGCAAGTACTCATCGAGCTGGCGCGGCCGTAATAACACAGGTCGCAGGGACGCTGGACTGTGTGGGACGATCGTCAGCGTGCGAGCTCGTTAGCACGTAGCCAGGCGGGACTTACGCTCGCGAATGCCAGTGACCATTCACCGATTCCCTCGGAAGTCTTGAGGACGTAAGTGACTAGCGTTTCGCCGTCAGGCTTCGAGATGAAGCGGAGTTAATGATATCTGCTGGGGATGCTGTCCGCCTCGAAGACTATGACACGTCGAGAACCGTAAGGTCTGATGGTCCAGCCTGCGAAGGTGACCCTCACCAAGGTCCGCGGCAACCTGCAGACAACCTCGGCAACGTCGACGACGTTCGAGAGAATATCTGTCTCCTTGTACACCTCGCCAACGGAGAACCCATGGCTGACGTCCAGTCCGGCCAGGTGAGGCAGACTTGCGGCTTCGTCGCACAACCTGTACAGGACGCTTGCCGAGTCCGACTGGACGGTGAGGAAGACGGCGGTGAGATTGGAGAACCGCTTCAACGGCTCGAGTCGGAGAGCGCTTGGGTCCGGCAAGCGCAGAGCGCACGCCTCCAACTCGTCCGCCAACATACCGCACAAGGCGCGGAAGAGCGTTGACATTGCCTCGGAGTCAGCGTCTCCGCAGACAGTGAAGTCGAAGACGCGGACCGCAATGCGCATGTCGAGGTTTCGGGAGCGAACGGGTTGTGTATCTTGCTCTTCGCCTGTCACCAGGACCGAGAGGATCCGCAAGAGGGGCATGTCGCGCAGTCCTTCCGCCCAATTAGCCAGGGTCTCCGAGTCGCCGATTGCTCCGAAACATGTGAGGTCGCGCAGGCGTTCCGTATTGAGCGCGTGTGCAGCAGCCAGGAAGAAACGGCGTGTGTAACGACTGATCGGCAGGGTCACATCCGTCGGTCTCGCCCGGCGCAAGACGTCGAGGAGAGACTCGCCGCGCCGTGAGCCTACAATGTCAGACATCCACGGCACCGAAGGCGAGATATTGTGAATGTAGCAAGCGAGATGAGGATGCCGGCAAAGATGGTCGATAAGTTTCGCATCACTCGTGACGTGGACATGAAGTTGGCGCCAGGCGACCATGCGAGCCCGCTCCGTCCAATCCTTGCATACGAGCGCGAGTCGGCCGCACTCCGTGTGTCGTTCGCTCTGCGATAGGCCTCGCGCGACATGCGAGATGATGAGGTCGACGAGCTCGATCGGGAGAGACGGTACGGGCATGGCGGAGTGCTTGAGGGGCTGTGAATGGATCTATGGTCAGCAGACGTGCTCACGCGAGGCCTGCGACGCGGCGAGCGAGTGGGCAACGCACCTCAAGATCGAGCGACGGCGAGCAGAAGAAGGCGGTCGTCCAGGCCTCGTGCGACGGTGCAAGCGCGCGTGAGGGTAGCTCAGACAGTCTAGCAAACGTTCAACAGCGGTACGAGCAGCAGCGGGTGCTGTGCGCGAAAAGCGAGCGGTGGACGAAGGGCAACCCTCTCGTAGAGGCTCTCGCGAACGCGTCTGGCTCTCGGGGAACAGACTGCGACGCTTTTGTCGCAATTTCTAAGCCATAGATTTGAGGGAAAAGATACCGTGAGTCTGGCGAAACGTAGGCGCGTTCTGCGGCGCCCTGCGAAGTTGGGAATGGGATTGTCAGCTTGCTAGTACGAAGGAGGAGGGCAAACGGGCACGCACCGTGACACCTAGAAGACGAAATTGTGCCACGCAAGGACGCCATCCGCTCCACCCTTCTTGACCAAGTCTAGCGGCACCGCTCCCGCTGCCTTCCTTGATCAGAATGCGCCTCCAGACCTTCACCGCTGTTGAAGGCAACGATGGACCTGCCATCGACAAGTTGGGAAGCGTCGCATGAGCGAATCCGCAGGGCCCTCGGTGATATGCAGGATTCGGAGGTCTTTGACCCGCAGAAGGCGCTCAAATGGCGCAGTCTGTGCCACCCAGCCTTCCTCTTGCAGGAGCCGGAACTGGCTTCAGAGCAAGTCGAGGGTGTCAAGGTGTCTCGCGAGGATAGACCCAATTGCTGCGATGTGCGAGCTGTTTCCGGCAAAGCCGTGGAACTCGAGGTCGCAAAGATGGCATCTCGCAACGCATGGCGGTGAATGTATGGCGTCCAGGACTTGCAGACGAGAGCGAGCGAACCGCACTCGATGACGGTCTCGTGGGACAGGATAATATCCGCGAACGTAGTGGATGAGGACGAGGTCGATGACCTCTAGGGGAAGTTGGGGGACAGTCATGCCGGCTCAAAAGCCCTTCTGGCACGCGTTCGCGGTCAGCTTGTTACGCCTCGAGTGCAGAGGCAGGCTGCGAACGCACTTTGGTGATGAGGATGGACGACGAGGTCGAGAGGAGCGACGACGACGTGCGGGCAGGCGCCGACGGGCAGGACGTCTAGTCTGCGGGTATTGAACGAATCCAAGCAATCCACAGGCCAGCAGGAGGCGAGAGGCGAGAGTGCAATGGGGCAACCTCTGTTCTCCTCGTCCGCCAACTCCGCGGACTCCCTCCAACCGCTTCGTTTCGCTCCGGATGGCTCGCTCTGCTCTTCGCCGACGGTCAGAAAAGCTGTCGGCTCCGCGGCGCCTTTTCGCACGGGTGCCGCAGCGTAAGCGCCGCTTCCCGCCCGGGGTCGGTTCCGCCCAGGCGCTCGTCGACGTCCAGCGGCCCACGCTCTGCCTCTTCCTGCTGCCTGACACGCTCGCGACGATGACGAGGATTCCTGCTGTCGCTCTCGCTTTGTCGGCGGTGGCCGGCGTCTCGGCCCATGCCGCTCACGCCGACGCACCCGAATCCGCTTGGAGTGCGTTCGCTCTCGTATTCCTCGTGCGCCAGGAGCCCAGCTAACCCGTAAAAGCGCTCACCGTACAGTGCGCAAGTACCCGGACTCGGGCGACCTCTCTTTCTCCGGCATCGTCACCTTCGCACACCTCCCCCACTCGCGATGCCTCGACGAACCCCAGCAGACCTTTGACATTGCCGTCCTCGGCATGCCCTTCGACACGAGCGTCTCGTACCGACCTGGTGCGCGCTTTGGACCGAACGCGATTCGGCAAGGGTCGCGCAGACATGCGACGAACAGGGCTTACTCGATTCCTTGGTTCGCCCGCTTGTCCTCTCCTCCTTTCTTGGTTCGACAGCTGACGCACGAGGTTTGCAGGAACTTCAACCCCTTCCTTGCCGGCGCCAAGGTACTCGACTGCGGCGACGTCCCCATCTCGCCCTACGACAACGCGCTCGCGATGGATCAGATTGAGACTGCGTACTCGAGCTTGCTCGCGAGGGAGGTCTCGACCGAGTTCATGCAAGGTGCGTTCGCGCGGATGAGTCTCGCACAGGACGAGCTGCTGACGAGGACGCGAGGTGCAGAACACGGAGACACGAAGAGCCTGGCGCTCGACGGCAAGGAGCACCCGAAGATTGTGACGCTCGGCGGTGACCACACGTACGCTGGACCTGCTACTATCCCTTGAGTACGAAGCTGACTCTCGACTTTCGCGGAACACAGCGTTGTCCTTCCCATTCTTCGCTCGCTGCACAAGGTCTACGGCGAGATTGCGGTGCTCCACTTCGACGCTCACCTCGGTACGCTCGCACTCTCCATTCGATAAAGCCCTGGACAACGGGACTGACAAGCGCTCACTCGACCGCCTTCAACGCAGACACCTGGAACGGCAACCTCTACAAGGGCGCCTGGACAGACCAATCCAAAGTGACCCATGGCAGCTTCTTCTGGAAAGCCTCAACCGAGGGGCTCATCTCCAACACCTCTTCCATCCACGCCGGCATCCGCACGAGGTTGTCCGAGTTTGAGGACTTGACGCACGACTCGGAGGTCGGGTTCAAGTTGCTCACGACGGACGATATCGACGAGTTGAAGCCGAGCGGGATCATCAAGGCTATCAAGGAGCGCGTTGGGAACATGCCAGTCTGTGGGTCTCGCTTTCGGTCCCGACTCTCCTCGACTTCTGCATCTCATACTTCCGCTCCTTTGCAGACCTCTCGCTCGACATCGACGTCGTCGACCCCTCGATGGCGCCCGCAACCGGCACGCCCGAATCAGGCGGCTGGACCTCCCGGGAGCTCAAGTCTATCCTGCGCGGTCTCTCCTCTCTCAACCTCGTCGGGCTCGACATCGTCGAAGTCTCGCCCGGATACGACACCAACGCCGAGGTGACGGGCATGTTGGCTGCGGATTTGGTGCAGGAGTTTTTGGGGATGTTGATGAAGGGCAAGGGACCGAAGGGAAGGAAGGAGTGGTTGCCGGCTGTCAAGGCGGGCGTTCTGAATGACCAGCGGGAGGGGACGGTCAAGGAGGCCGGGAAGGGCCACGATGAGCTGTAGATGGGCGGTCTGGCGGGAAGGAAGTGGTCGCCAACAGTACCGAGGGATGGTCTCCGGCCCAGCATTCCCTCCGAGTCTGTCTAGCAATGCATCGTTCGCAACTTCTGTGCATTTGGAGAACTCTACTGAGCAGTCTAGTCCGTCCGCACTGTGTGTAGCCTGGCGAGAAGAGCCAAGAGCGCCAGAACGTCGAGGAGGGCGAACACGACGCGACAAAGCCCGGGGGCAGCGGAGATTCAGCCAGGCTGTAGCAGCAACCTTCTCAGCGTCGTTCACGATTCCAGCAAGCCCAACTGGCGAGGTCGCCCGTGTGGTCTCCTCCAACTCTTCCTCACCCTCTCCACCTTCACGACGAGCTCATCCGCTCGCCCAGCTCGTTGCTGAGCGCTCGCGGGCCTGCCAGACGCTCGAGAATGTCGCTCACCCGCTCGCAGTCCGCGCACGACGCACCACCAACGACTTCCCTCTCGCACTCCTCATCCAACCAGCACGCCTCGTCCTCGTCGCACCAGGTCGCGCAGCAGCAGCAGGGGTCGCAGCAGGGTCAGGGAAAGAGCGAACAGTCGGAGGACCCGGTGTTTGGACCGCTCGAGAAGGCGGGAAAGGTGTTGGAGGAGCGGCTGGCGAGGGACGAGAGATGGGTTGGTGTCGGCGACAGCTTGATCGGTGAGTTGCGCCGTCGCGCGTGCTTGGCCAGCGTGCTTCCCGTGTACGGGGAGGCGCGGCCTTCCATCCCGTGGCGTCGGCACACCTCGACTCGCTTCCATCGGCCGCTCTCCTGGCTCTGTCGAGTCTTGCGCCGATGTCCTGTCGCGCCTGGCTGGTCTGTCAGGAAGAAATCGAGCGAATGTTGACTCTCTCCTTTCGCAGGCGCTTCTTCCTCCGACTATGTCCTCCCTCCCAATCCCGCCTGGGCTCCCTTCACCAAGACCCGCACTGTTCTTCTTCCCGACCGGCTATTCGAGGAGCATGACCGTGCGTTGAGCTCTCACGGGGTACTTTCGGCGAGCGAGCTAACGCCACGTCCACCCCTCGCAGTTACGCAATCGCGGTGTACGATGGGACTGCTGCCGGAGATTGAGCGGGCTTGGGTCACGGTGGATGACCGACTGCTGTTGTGGGACTGGGCGGACGGGTGCGCGAGCTCTTCACGAAGCGCGAACTCGGGCGCGCATTACTGACATCGGCCTTGCAGTTCCTCCTTCTCAACCTTCGAAGAGTTGACGGATGTCATCGTCGGCGTGGCGCTCGTTCGACCTCGTCCCGGCGTCTTCGTCGACTCGATCTCCCATCTCCTCGTCCTCGCAACACCCTCGCAAGTCAACCTCGTCGGTCTCGGTTACGCTGCCGCAGAACCTGGCGCGAAAAAGGAAGTCACCTTCTACCTCACCGGCTTGTCGGTCCCGACAGACGGCATCTCCTTCACCACCATCCGCGGTACATCAAGCGGCCGCATCTTCCTCTCTTCTTCGCCCGACCCTCTCACGCCCGGCGGAATCGGCGGAGACGGATGCCTCTACGAGCTGGCGTACCAGGCGCAAGAAGGTTGGTTCGTCAAACGATGCACGTTGCACAATCTCACGTCCGGCGGCATCGCCAAGTCGGTCGTCCCCTCGTTCCTTCGCTCCTTCACCGCCATCCCGCAAAACGACTGGATCGTCTCGTTCGAGATCGACAACGAGCGCGGACTCCTCTACACCCTCCTCCGCAACTCGACGATCGAGGTGTACCAGCTCCCCTCGTCGGCGCCGGGCAAGGCGTTCGACGGCCCGCCCAACAAGGTTGCCAAGTCGGGCGACTTGCACCGGACGGCCAACATGCTCCTTCCGAACAACCCGATGCTCAAGTCGTTCCGCATCGTCGAGCTCGAGGTCATCAGCGTCAAGGAGGGCGGGAACGCCAAGATTGGACTCGTGGCGGTCACGACGACCGGCGTCAGGCTGTACTTCACCCACCAGCGCCGCGGGTACTACTACGGCGTGTCCGGCTCGTCTGCCGCCCTCGAGCTCTGCCACGTTCGCCCTCCGCCTGCTCCGTCCTCGCCGCAACCTCACGCCCAGAACGGCATGTACGGCCAGGTTGTTCCAGCCAACCAGCAGCAGCAGCAAAACGGCGGCAACTCAATCCCCTTCAACTCGATCATTCAGGCAAAGTACGCCTCAGGTGGCCTCTTTCTTGCAGCCAACAACCTCACGCCCGACCTCGATGTCCTCCTCGTCACCGCACCCGATGTCTCGTCCCAGTCCCTCTCGTCCGCCGCAACTGCTACCGGCACCGTCTCGCAGCAGACTCGGCCGTTCACCGAAGTCGCCGGCACGATCGAGATTCCCGGTCGAACGTGGGATATGGCCGAGATCACCCGCGTCTCGTCCAGCTCTGCGACGGGTGCGACGGCGCTCAACGAGCTCGCGACGCAGCCGACGCAGGTGAGGAGGGAGTGGGTCGTCTTGACGAACATGGGAGCGAACGTCGTTAGCCGGCAGAGACCGGTCGATACGTTGTTGGACGTGTTGGAGGGGATGGGGATGAACGGGAACGCGGCGGGTCAGGGCGAGATTGGCGTTTTCTTCGAAAGGTGGGTTGACTTGCGCGTCCAGAGCTCGAGTCTGATGGCTCTTTCGTCGAGACGAAGCTGACGAGTGCCGGCGCCTTCCACAGCTACGGCCGCGACCAATCCTGCGCTATGCTCCTCCCCATCGCCGCCTCAAACTCGCAGCTCGTCCTCAACGACTCGACGACGACCTCTTCGCCTGGCAACGCAGTCAATGCTGGCGCACGGAATACGTCGGCGGCTGTTGCGGAACAGGCGAAGGCGCTGTTCTTCGAGGGCGGAGGCCGGCCGGTCAGCATCGACCGGGGAGGCTATGGAGGTGAGTGGCGCCCGCTCGATTGGCGCCCGTCCGGCTGGTCGGGCCCCTTCCGTGGACTCTAGCCGTGTCGCTGATCATGATTCGTTTGGCAGGTGCACCCCAATCCACCGCTTCCGACAGCAAGATCATCTTCTCTGGTCGACACGAGGGTCTCGCGTTTTACTTCGCTCGCCTCGTCCGCCCGATCTGGAAGCAGAAGATTACGCGGGTCGGTTACTCGCCCGCCCAGCAAGTCGCCAATGTTCCCGAATCGGTTCTCAGCGCAGTCCAGCGCGACCTCCTCGCCCTCCGCACGTTTGTAGAACAAGAGCAGCACCTCTTCACCCACCTTCCCGACTCGAGCCGCGCTGGTCACAACGCGGCCGCCTACGCCGCCGAGCAAGCCTCCCTCTCCGCCCTCCGACTCCTCCTCACCCAATCCGTCGAAGCCATCTCGTTCATCCTTCTCCTCATCGACTACAAGCTCCAGGATATCGTGGCCACCTGCCCGTCCGACCTCCAGCAGCAGCTTGCCGAAATCTCATACGCCGAGCTTCTTACGACGAAGAAGGGCCGGGACGTCGCTCGCGGTCTCGTCAGCGCCGTCATCAATCAGCAGATTGGCCGGCATCTCTCGGTCGACGCGATCAGCGAGACGTTGCAGCAGCGATGCGGCAGCTTCTGCAGCGCCGACGACGTCCTGCTGTACAAGGCGATCGAGTCGATGCGGCGGGCGAAGGACACGTACGACAGCACGGAACGGACAGAGTGCTTGCGGGAGTCGCTACGGCTGTTCACGAAGGCGGCGAGTCACCTCTCGCTTGACAGGCTGCAGGAGATCTGCAAGGAGTACATCTCGATGCGATACGCCGTCGGTGAGTCTCCTTCCTCCGCCTTCTTCTCGACGCAGAACTGACCGTGCTCTTGCAGGCGTCGTCGACCTCTCTCTCGCTTGCGCACGGACATGGGACTCGTCGGAGCGGGCGATTACGTACTGGCTCGACGAATGCCCTTCGAACGATGCGCGGGAAGGAGCGTACAAGACCCGACAAGCGTGCCACAAGCTCATCTTCGCGTCGCTCGAGGAGATGGATCGGCTACTGGACGACGCGTCGAAGCCGAACAAGCCGGCTGGATCGATGTCTTGTGCGTCTTACCGGTTGAGGCTGCTCTCGTGTCTCCTCGCTGACCCTCAGTATCGCGCAGACGAGGAGGCGGACAGTCTGCGAACGAACGCCTACAACAGGGCGCTTTCGGTCAAGGACGAGTTCTTCCACTTCGAGCTGTACGACTGGTACCTCTCGCGTGGCCTCACGAACCAGCTTCTCGAGGTGCATCACGGTCGATCCATAGTCATCGGGACCCGCTAATCTGTTTCGTGCAGACCCGAACGTCCTACCTCGAAGGCTTCCTCGCACGAGAACCGACGACGCTCGAAAAGTCGGACCTTCTGTGGCAGTACTACGTCCGCACCTCCCGCTACGCCCGCGCCGCCTCCGTCCTCGCCTCTCTCGCCGAAACCCCCGCCTTCCCACTCTCGCTGCAAAAGCGCGTCGAGTACCTCTCGCTCGCCGTCGGCAACGCCAAGTCGCAGATCCCGTCCTCGAGCCGAGGAGACGCCGTGCAGTTCCTCACCGACGTCGAGGAGAAGCTCGAGGTCGCGCAAGTGCAGATCGAGATCTTCCGGGCGATCGAGGAGAGCAAGATGCCGCAGGACGAGAAGCAGCAGTGGCTCGACAAGGTCGAGGACCGGCTGTTCACCGTCACCGAGGTGCGTACTCCCGCTCTCCTCCGGTCGAGGCAAGCTCATCTAGTCTCTCGCAGCTCTACTCCGAATTTGCCGAACCCCTCGAGCTCCTCGAAGTCATTCTCCTCATCTTCCACGTCTCCGACCACCGCGACCCTTTCCTCGTCACCGCCACCTGGGAGGCGATTCTTGCGCGAGGTTCGTCGGCCTCAGCAATTCCTTGTACCAAAGTCTGACTCATCGTAATACGCAGCGCAAGAAGAGCAGCCTGACCACCCGGTCGATGCTGTTGCCGCCAAGGTGACGCAGCTCGGCTACCGCTTCCACACTTCGGACGTCTCGTTCCCGCTGCGTGCGTTGTCTTCTCTTGGCTTCGTACGCTTTTCGCTGACCCCACCTGTCGTGTAGCCGATCTCATCGCGCTTCTCGAAAAGTTCAGCTACGAGCGACAAGGGGACGCCCGACCAGGCTGGGTTGCGTTCGCTATCCACGATGCGGGCGTGCCTTTCGAGGCGATTTTTGCGGTCTACGACGAGCTCTTCACTGCCAAGGTGCGTCGAGACCCCTCCTTCTCCAGCTTCTTTCACTCACCTCTTTCCGCCGTAGATCCCGCCTTGGCACACCTCTGCCGGCCTCACCTTCCTCGCCTCCGACATTGTCGAGCTTCTCTCTTCCTGGCTCGCCGAAGCCTCTTCCGCGCCGACCACCGTCTCGCGAGCGTTCCCTGCGACTGACGTCGAATCGGCAATCGGGCGGTATTTGATGGGCTTGCAGTCGGCGTCAAACGCTGGTGCGGTGGTGACGCGGCTGCAGGAGATGTCGAGGGCGATCAGGCGGAGGTGGTGAGCTGTAGAAGCGGGCGAGGTGGAAGGAAACGGTTCTCGACAATCTCGCATCGCGGTCCGCGAGGCTGAACACGTTGCGAGGTACGCTGACAAGCTACAGCTCCCCTTCCCGACTGCTCCAAGCTGCTTGATTCCCTCGACTCTGCTCAAACAGGCTCAATCTTGACGTCCCACGCCTTCGCATCCTTCGCGATTTTCCTGTGCGACGGCGACGCTTCCGACCTCCACTTCCGGACGACAACCTTCTCGAGCTTCGGCCAAGCCTCCCAGAACTGGTTGCCGAGCCTGGCGATCTTCTTGAGCGTTGTGTCATGCCGGTCGTTGAGGCTGTGAAGGTAGAGGATTTGAAGGTTCGGTGCCGCTCTCGCGAGCGTCAAGAGGGCGCCTTCACTGTAGTCCGGCGAGTGGTTCCACCTGTCCACAAACGTGACTTCCGCAGTACGCAGCTTGGGCATGGTGGGAATGCGTAACCTGGCTTGACGGTCGGGGTCGGCGTAAGGACCGGGGACTACCCAACGTTCCGACAGATCCATCGTCACTTCAAGGACTTTGACCAGTTTCGCGACCTTCTCCGATGTCTCCAACGTCCGCAGAAGCCTCGAATCCGTCGTCTCGCGACGTTGCCAGAACCAGGACCCGTAGACCAACCGCTCCCCGAACTTCGCGACGAGCCTGCCGTACAAAATCGGCGCAGCAACCTTGTAGAAGTCCCTGCTGACGAGGCACAACGCGCGGAGGGTCGCTTTGCGCTGAGGGAAGGCGTCGCAGAACTCGAAGATGTGGGAGAGGAGTTCGTGCGGGAGGCGGCGGATCGGCGCCGGAGTGGCTTGGTTGGGCTGCGAGAGTGCTTGCGAGAGCATTGTGAGAGATGCAGAGAGTTTCGGAGTGGTCTGAGCGGGAAACAAGCGAGTGAGGACGAAGCGGAGAAGGGAGAGGAGGAATGGAGCGGCAAAGACCCGCAAACTTGTGCAGCAGGGATGCTTCGCGGGCTTTGTACAACGTGTCGGACGCTTTCGAGTACTGCGCTCTCTAGACGAGACAAGGACCAAGCTGTTCGAGATAGACTTGCGAGAGTTCACACGCCGTTTCGGCTCGACTCCACGGACTCTCCACTCTCGAGAGACGGTAGGCGAGTAATTGCAGGGCACAGGACTCGAGGACTGACAGCGAAAACGGAGAGAAGCGGTGAAAGTGACGAAGCTGTCCGGGCGAAACAGAGGTCAACGAGACGGTCTCTTTCAGCGGCGGAAGAAGGGTGAATCTGGCGAGACCGACGTACTTGCTCACACGAGGACGACCTTGACACCATAGTCCTTGAGATCCTTGACAAGCCATTGACCATCCGACAACCGCCTCCATCCGTTCTTCGCCAGCTTGAGCTCACGGAGCTTCGGGAAAGCGTCTCGGAGGCGTTTGCCCTGCCAACAAAACTCGAACAGGGCGCGCGAAATGTCGTCCGTCTGGTACCAGCGACGATGCCAGGCCGGGAACGGCGCTGCGGATTCGTCGGGACCGACGGGGAGGCCGCTGAGGTCGAGCGACTCGATCTTTGGCGCGGCGGAGCCAAGGGCGACGAGGACGAGGTTGAGGGGGGTCTGGTAGCTCCACTTGTTTGGCACTTCGGGCTTGACGACGACCTTGCGCAGGTTGGGCATCGCCGGGATACGACTCTTCGCCATTCCTCCCGTCCTTTCTCCGAGGTTGCCCGCCTTGACCGTGAGCTCGAGAGTTTCGACGCATGCCGCGAGCTCGGGCGACTTGTCGAGGGCGTGGAAAGTCGACTCGAGGACAGGGTCGCGGCGTCGAACGGCGAAGATGATGTCGGCGCAAATGGCGCGGTGGAGGCGGGGCTGTGCGAGCGAGTAGAAATGCTTGCTGGCGAGTGCGAGGGCGCGGTAGGCGGCGCGACGGTCGGCGATTGCGGTTTCGTCGATGAAGCTGAAGACGCGGAGGATGAGTTCGGTCGGGAGGGCGCGGCTGGGGACGGCGGCGGCGTCACTGTGTGCAGCTGTGCGCTTGCGTGGAGCCATGCTTGTCCGGGAGCGTTCTGAGGGTGAGCGGGGCGAGCGAGGTGAAGTGCAAGAGGGAAAGAAGCGTCCGCGGACTCGCCGGGAGAACTTGGTCCACCTCGAAGCGCAAGCTGTACAGATTGCGCTGCGGTGTGTGTAAGCGTTGAGGCTTGAACGGCACAGCTTGACGCCGCACGCTTCGCCGCTCTCGCGTTCTCACGCTCGACCTTCGCAAAATCCGACCAAGGGACCCTCCATCTCGCCATCTCGCCTGAAATGGGCTACTAATCGTCCTGCAATGCATCAACATAACGGCTCAAACGCTCTCTGCAACCCCCGTCTACACCTGCACGATCCTGATCTTCCTCCTCTCAAACGCCCTCGCGAGCGTACACTGCTTCCAGACCATCCATGTCCTCCTCCCAACCCTGACCTCCTCCAACTCCCTGAACGCGCTACACCAAAACTCGTCGTCCCACAAGAGCTGGCTGAACCTCCACCAGTCGTTACCGAGGTTCAGGGAGGAGAGGTCGAGTATCGTGAGGTGCGGAGCGGAGGAACCGAGGGCGGAGAAAACGGAGCGGAGAGGGTCGTCTTTCGTCCATTTTGTGCTCGGCCAGCGTCTGAGGATTGCAGTGCGGAGGCTGGGGAGAGCTGGGATGCGAGATTTGGCAAGTCCTGCGCGTTGGCCGCCGATTTTGGTCGACTGCACCGTCAACTCGAGCGTTTCCACGAGTCTCGCAAGGTCAGGACAAGTATCGAGAGTGTGGAAAGCCCGCTCGAGTGCGGGATCGCGACGTCGGACGCCGCAGACGATGGTTGCCCGCAGGGAGCGGTAGAGGAGAGGGTGTGCGAGGGTGTAGAACAGCCTGTTGCTCTGTACGAGCGTATAGAGGGTGTCGCAGCGGTCAGGTAAGGACGGCTCGGTTGCGCAGCGCTCGACAATGAGGTGCAGCAGCTCGGTTGGAAGGGTAGTCCGGACTGGGACGAGGTTGGCTGTCGCGGGGGAGGGCTGAGAGAGCGCCATGGCGTTCTCCAAGCAGTCGAGCTTGAACTGCGACGGTGTACGCTGGTGATGAAGAGGCGAGCGGAAGAGGAGTGAGGGAAGGGCGAGAAGCGGAGGAAAGAAGCCGTTGCTGAGCGAACTCTGTCCGGCCAGTCTGACCTGCTTTGCGGGCCAGCTGAGCACATCGGAGAGCTTTTTGGGTTCCAGCAGTTGCTTACAAGCTTGAAGAAGGCACTGCGTCCGGGACTTGCTTCGAGCGAGGAAGGGAACTCCTCCACCACCAAGTCTTCCACTGCAGCGCTCTTCACTATCGCCCCGGGGATTGCAGGAACGCGTCAAGGAGAGGTAGCACAGAAGCTCAACCTCACGGTCCACGGAAACGCCGGGCAAATGAGGGATCCCGCTCACAACCGGTACACACTAACTCCGCCCTCTCCCTCCAAGCAGGACGAAAGGACTTCCTTAGCGCATGGAAACGCTCTGCGGTAGGCCTCGGCCATCACTCGTGCTCCTGCATGGCCCGTGGAACTGTGATCGCACGTAAAGCCTGCGTCGCGAAGGTCTAACTCGACGAGCTGGGGGACTGACGGGCCGAGGGCGTCGAAGATCTGGATCCAGTTGGAGGTGGCGCACCAATTGGATTTGAGCTCGTAGATGAGCTTGAGAGTCCGCAGGTTGGGCAGCACTGGGAGGGGAGGGAGGAGGAGAGGCCGGTCAGGCGGTGGAAACGACAAGTCTGACTCGAGTGCGAGTTCGAGCGTCGTCACGCATGAAGCGAGGGTGGGCGCCTGCAGGAGTTTGGAGAGGAGCGCATCGCTGTGGAGGTGTGAAGCGCAGGTGCCGACTCGGATTGTTGCGCGGGCGGAGCGGTACAAGACGGGCTCGGCAAGCGCGTGGAAGCGCTTTGAGCACAAGCAGAGCGCAAGGAGCGTCGGTTTGTCGTCCTCCAGGGCAAGGAAGACCTCGCTAAGCAACTCGTTCGGGAGTCGAGGAGGCGGGTGAGACTGGAAGAGGGAGAGGAAGGAGCGGATGAGGCGGAGGGTGCGGCGGCGGATGGTTGGATGTCCGAGGAGGACGCCGAACAGCGCAAGGAGGAGGTTTGGCCAGATCAAGAGCATGGTGAGGCGACATGAGCGGGAGGAAGAGGAGGAGAAAGTGGGAGTTGCAGCGGCAGCAGACCTCTAGCCCTCCGTTTCTCAGCACGGCTAGTCGTGGTGGAAACAAGATGGATCATGGCATTGCTCACACAAAGGGGTGGATACAAAAGAGAGGTCGAACGCCGGTTGATGCTCTCACGGCACGTCCAAGAACCAGACACGGTCGGTCGTCCCGTCTTCCTCCAGAACAGTCATATAAGAGATGGTAGGCATTCCTTTGCGCACCGCAGAGTAGTCATACTTGGGGAAGACCACACGAAAGGGCGCCGAGCTGAGATCGAGGTCATCAAGACGCGGAAAGTAGGGTGCGAGCGCGCGCAGGAGGGAGAACATGACTTGCTTGTGACACCAGTGCCACGCTTGCGGGGTTGTAATAGCGAGAGTGTCGACGTTCGGAAAGACCGGCATGGGAGGGACCTCTGGCCTGAAATAAGGGGGGAAGCCGCGGCATGAGACGACGAGTTGGAGGGTTTCGACTTGGGGCACGAGCGAAGGAGGGAAAAAGAACCGAGTTGTGAGTGGCGTCTCGAGCAGGTGGTCGTTGTAAGCGCCCACTTGAATGACTCCGGTCGGGTCGCGGTACAAGAGCGGTTCGGCAAGCAGGCGGAATCGTTTCGAGACGAGGCAGAGTGAGTACAGCGTGGGCATGCGCTTCGTCTTGTCGACAGCTTCGAAGATCTCGGTGAGGAGCTCGTTCGGGAGCTGGGGAGGAGGACGGGACTGCAATGGGGCGAGCAAGCGCTTCGCAAGCTGCGCTGAGCTGGCGTACACGTCGCTGTGAGCGTGCGTGATGCTGTCGACGAGCATAGCGGTACTCTGCCTGCGCAGGAGCGTGACAGCGAGGAGGACGAGCAGGAGAGGAAGGAGCGGCGACTTTCCACCGCGTGGATCCGCGGACCCCCAGATTTCGCATAACAAGCGAGTTGTATTCGAGCAATACAAGTGCGCGGGTAATCCGCGGCAGGGCCCCCTTCTCGCCCTTCGGCGTCTCTCTCTCTTGTCCCTCAACCTCACCCGTCCACCCTCACTCGCAACCTCGCCCGATCCAGCTCACAGCTGCTCGGACACCCTTACAACCGTCCAAGACGTTCGCAAACAGCCTCTGGTGCGTCCCGCCCATCGCGCTCGACGCGACTCCTCGGCTGGGCTCCGGAGTGTCCCGCGTGTCGAGCACTCGCTCGCCCCGCTCGACGATAGCCACGACGGTGTACTGACCATGCTTCGTACACGCTCACAGCTCCGCTCACAACCGTGCGTGTCCAGTTTTTCATCCGAGGGGAGCGTGCGAACGAGGTGCGAGCGAGAGTTGGCTGACACGTTTCTTCTTCGTGGCGGCTGCTCGCACACAGAGCACAGGGGGTGCGTACTCGACGTTGCTGTCCTCGAATCGACGTTGGCTGACCCCCGACGTCGCCCGCAGATCCCGCCGCATCAGCGCCCCTGGCAACGAAGTTCGCTCCAACTAAATCCACCCACACCCACCGCACCCTCACACACGCTCCAAAACCATGTCTCCCATCGCCATCTCCGACACCGTCTCGGCCGCCGCGTCGTACGTCAATGGCGCCTCCAACGGGTACTCGACCGGCCACTCGAACGGCCACTCGTCGCTCCCCGCCGAGTTCTCGCTCGACGTCCCCCAGCAGCCCGTCGACCCGACCGCCCAGCGCCGCCCTCTCGAGTCGATCCAGGTCGAGAGCCCGAACCTCACTTACGCAGAGGACGCCTTGTACGCCAAGTACACGTTCCACTCGGCCTCTGTCGACAAGGTCCAGGGCCAGGACGGACACGTCCGCTACCAGGTCAAGCCCGTCGAGAAGCACCTCGAGTTCAAGACTGAGCGCAAGGTTCCCAAGACTGGGTGCGTAGCCGGTCCTTCTTCTCCGAGGTGACTTTTCGAAACTGACCTTCTCGTCCGCGCGCAGCCTTATGCTCGTCGGCCTTGGCGGCAACAATGGCACGACGCTGACGGCGACGGTCCTCGCCAACCGCCACAACATCTCGTGGGGCACGACGAACGGGATCCAGACGCCCAACTACATCGGCTCGCTCGTCCGCGCCTCGACAATGCGCCTCGGCGTCGACTCGAACGGCGACGACGTCCACGTCCCGATCTCGGACGTCCTCCCGATGGTCCACCCGAACGACCTCGTCATCGGCGGATGGGACATTTCGGGCGTCCCGCTCGACCAGGCCATGCGCCGCGCCAAGGTCCTCGAGTACGACCTCCAGCGCCAGCTCGCCCCGCTCATGGCCGAGTACAAGCCCCTCCCGTCGATCTACTACCCGACCTTCATCAACGCGAACCAGGAGGACCGCGCCGACAACGTGATCCCCGGCTCGGACAAGCAGGCCCACCTCGAGCAGATCCGCCGCGACATCCGCGAGTTCAAGGCCAAGAACGAACTCGAGCAGGTCGTCGTCCTCTGGACCGCCAACACCGAGCGCTACTCGCTGCTCCTCGACGGCGTCAACGACACGGCCGACAACCTCCTCGCCGCGATCAAGAACTCGCACGACGAGGTCTCCCCCTCGACCATCTTTGCCGTCGCCTCGATCCTCGAGGGCGTCCCCTTCATCAACGGCGCGCCGAACAACGCCCTCGTCCCCGGCGCCATCGCGCTCGCCGAGCGCGAGGGGTCGTTCATCGGTGGAGACGACTTCAAGAGCGGTCAGACCAAGGTCAAGTCGGTCCTGGCCGAGTACCTCGTCAATGCCGGTATCAAGCCGCGCCTGATCGCTAGCTACAACCACCTCGGCAACAACGACGGAAAGGTGCGCGCCGAGCTCCCTCTCCCACTCTCGTTTCCCTCTCTCGCGCTGACACGCTTCGTTTCGACGCGCAGAACTTGTCGGCTCCCGCCCAGTTCCGCTCGAAGGAGATCTCCAAGGCCTCGGTCGTTGACGACATGGTCGCGTCGAACCACTTGCTCTACAAGAAGCTCGACAAGAAGAAGGCCGACTCGGCTGACGGCTTCGTCAAGGGCGCCTCGACCGAGACGCCTGACCACTGCATCGTCATCAAGTGCGTGGCGCGTTCTTCGTTCGTGAGCAGCAGGGACTGACGGTCTTTCGCACGCAGGTACCTCCCGGCTTGCGGCGACAGCAAGAAGGCGATCGACGACTACACGAGCGAGATCGGCATGGGTGGCCAGAACACGCTCGCGATCTACAACGTCTGCCAGGACTCGCTGCTCGCCACGCCGCTCATCATCGACCTCTGCCTCCTCGCCGAGCTCATGACCCGCGTCACGTACAAGGAGGAAGGGTCCAAGGACTTTGAGCGCTTGTACTCGGTTCTTGGCTTGCTCAGCTACATGCTCAAGGTGCGTGCACCCTCTCCCGTGAAGCCTGAGCATCGATACTGACGGCACCCGCACTCTCGCAGGCCCCGCTCACCAAGCCCGGCCGCCCGCCCATCAACTCGCTCAACCGCCAGCGCCAGGCCCTCGAGGCGTTCCTCCGCGCCTGCCTCGCCCTCCAGCCGTCGAGCGACCTCGTCAACTTTACCCAGCTCAACGTCCAGGCTTGAGTTGGCGAGTTTCAAGTCGCGAGCGTAGTCTCTTTCCCTCCGTTCTTCTTGCGCTTTCGAGTGGTAGTGGTCGTTGCAAAGGCGGTGTTCGTCTCTCCACCTTAGCTGCGCCAGAACGAAAGCGAGGAGAGCTGAGCGATCCGCCGACTTCATCGCTCTCGCGCCTCCTGCTCACTGCTATTCGCTCACAACCCGCTCGCACGATGCCTGCTGCTGCTGTACCTGCTCAGAACGCTTCGCAGGACCAGCCGAGCTTGTCGGACGTGCCTAGCGAGGAGGAGACGTCGCGCGAGGAGGATCTTCTTCTGCTCGCCGGAACACGAACAGCAGGTGCGTTCCCGAGCGAGTCAGACCGCGCGGGCCTTCCACTTGCCTGACTGAATTTGATGTAGATGATGGCAACGCTGGCAGGCTGCCTCTCGAACTGGTTCGACTTGTGCTCGAGGAGGTCGCGGGACCCTTGTCCGAGGAGGTCTACACCGATGCGAGTACGCCCGAGCGACGACGAAGGCTCTCTTCAGCGGCAATCGTCTGCAGGGCCTGGTCCAGCATCGCCCAGTCAGTCGCTTGGCGTGAGATCCAGCCGCCTCCGTCGAAGAGCGGCGGACGTCGTCTTGCAAGGCGCCTCCGCGAGCACCCTCATCTCGCCACCCACCTGCGATTCCTCAGCCTCTCTGCCCTCCTGTATGGCAGCGATACCTCGTCACGGATGCTCGAGCGGCTTCTGCCGCTGTGCGGCAACCTGCAGGACCTCACCTTTATCGACTCCTTGCCGCACTGCCCGACGCTCGGCGTCCTCGTATCGCGGGATGAGCTATTGCACCTGCATTCTCTGACTGTCCATCTACAAGGTGTGGCGAAGGGCACGGATCTCGTGTTGGTCTCGGACATCTCGCCCTTCCTGGAGAAGCTCGACCAGCTCGATGAGATTGCGACAGTTGATCACTTTGCCTGGTACCCACGCTTCAAGACGTCGACTATCAACACGTCTGTGGCAGACACGCTCCTCCTCCAGGTCACGCAGTTCACGCAGCACGCGGACATGCAGGTCGCCATCCCGCCCGACAATCAATGGCTCACGACCGCCGTCTTGCCCATGCTCGACCCGGATACTCTTCTCAGCCTCACTCTCGAGCTGTCAGGCTCTCAAGTGCACACTCATTCACCCCTGGCGGGCATGGAGATACCGAATTTCTCGCCCCTTCGCCACTTCACAAACCTTCAACACCTGCACATCGTCGCATGGCACTTCAACCAGACGCCCCCTACACTCGCATACGTCCTGCAAATCTTCAACCGGCACACGCATCTCCAGCACCTTCGTTTCTCGCTTCGAACCGGTCACCCTTGGATACTCATCCCGCACAGCCCGAACCCGCTTTCGTTGATCCTTGGCTTGCTGCCGCCGTCAATCAAGGACTTCAGCATTGCTTGCGATGCCATGAGCTTTGGCCACGAGACACAGGACCGTTCTCGCTCGCTTGGTCAGCCCAACGACTCCTCGCGTTCGTGTGATGATGGAACGCGGAAGCGCACCACGGCGTCTTGAGGATATCACGCTTCGTCGACTCGACACGTGGTACATCGACACCTCGGTACGCTTGTTCGCTTTCAACCTGCAAAGGCGAGACGTCGCTCACTTGCTCGTACTCGCAGAGCATCCCGCGCCAGCCTCCTATCTCCGCGTATCTGGCTCTTATTTGTCACCAATGAGACGAGTCTATCTATCAAAGCGAGCGCGTTCGTCAGTTTCGAGGTTCCGGGGACGAGAAGCAAGACCTTCCAGTCTCGCAAGTTGCCGCACTTCGAGTAATGCAGATGCTATTCCAAGCGAGTCCTCCTACTGCTGCAGACCGCAAGCGCCCCCCTCGACGCCGCAAGCGACGCTAGCTCAGCTCCTGGACCTGGAAAATCCCGTCGTTCTCGTTGGGCGCCATGAAGACGGCTGTCGGTGCGGCTGGAAGGGAGGGCGCAAGCAAGAGTCAGCTCGCGTCCTCATTGAGCACGACGTCCCGGTTGCGAAGCGCAGTCGAAACTGCCGATAAAGCTGGACGAGAACTTGGCAGACTCACCTCCCTCACCCCTCTTCGCCTTCTCCTCCTCCTCCACCCTCTTGCGATCCGCCTGCCTCACTTGCTCAAAGTACGGATGCTGCATCGCCTCGGCGGCAGTCGGGCGCGCGACGTGGTCGTACTGCAGGAGGCGGTCGATTAGGTCGATAGCCGAGTTGGAGAGGTATTTGCGGTTCTCTGCGGATGGGATCGGCGTCAGCGGGACGTCCGGAGAGCGCAGCGCTTTGCGAGAGGATGGAGAAGAGCGACGATGGGCCCCCAAGATGCGAGGCTGGACGCACCGTTCGTGACGAGTTTGCTCCAAGGCTTGCGCGGGTGCTCGCCCACCAGCGACTCGAGCTCGGCGTCGATGTCGATCTGGTACTGCACCTCGCACCGCTCGTCAATATCCGCATCACCGAGAGAAAGGACAGCCGGAGAGGGACGCACCTTGTCGAGATACGCCCACAAGTCATTCGTCCCGAGCACCTTGGCGATCTTGACGAGCTGGTCGTCGTTCGAAGAGCCGTGGAAGAGTGGGTCGCGGCGGAAGATCTGCGATGGAAGAGTGCGTGTAAGTCGCATCGTGTCCTAAACAGACGTAGCGGACGAGAAGCGTCTCGCCGTCCCCGTCCCCGATGAATGCGGCGGCTCACCATCGTCCCGAACGTGCATCCGACGCTCCACACTGCGCGCAAACCAGCAAGAGAGATTCGTTAGTCAGGCCTGTGAAGGTCAACCGATCCCCGCCTCTTCCGACGACGAGCGAGAGAGGGACGCACGGTCGAGCGAGTAGTCGTAGTGCGTGTATTCGACGAGGAGCTCGGGAGCTGTGCGAGGGTGAGAAGCGTGAGCGAGTCGAACGCAGCTAGCAAGACGGGGGACGAGCTTCGACTGCTCGTTTGGACGGTCAACAAGTCGCGAAAGTCTCGCTCACCTTTGTAGTACCTGAATCGCTCAAGTCGATGTAACGTCAGCGCAGTCCTTCCAGCAAGTCCTCACGCGAGCGTCGACAAAAGCCGCGACTCACCTCGACGCAACACGGACGTTGAGCTCGACTCCGGGGTGGTAGAACTCGGCGAGTCCCCAATCGATGAGGCGAAGCTGCGGGATCGGGTATCGTCAACTCCGCCAAGCTGTAGCGTATGCACCGACTCGAGCGGATCGAGAAAGGCGCCGCGACGAGCAAGAGATCGACGAACCTTGCGTTGCGAGTGGTCGATGAGGATGTTGAGGGGTTTCTGCAAGAACGCGCCAGCCGATCCATCAGCAAGAGGTCGCACGAATGCGGAACGAGCGGAAGATTCTCTGCGCGCAACTCACGACGTCGCGGTGGATGATCCCCTTCGAGTGGCAGAAGTCGAGCGCCTTGAGCAGCTCGTACATGTAGTAGCGCTGTGTACCCCAGCATACACCCACATCAGCTAATCCTGCCGGCAAGACGGAAGGGAGGCCGAAGCGGAGCAAGGGACGCACGACGTCTCCGTCGGTGAACTTGGGGTAGAGCTGGCGCGAATCGAGGTTGTCGACGTGCTCGGTGATGATCGAGGGGGTCTTGCTCTGTGCGCGATGCGGAGCGCCGCAAGGTATCAGCGGAAAGGTTCGAGCAAGAGACCTCTACCATCCGCCGAAGACAGCCGTCCCTGACGCACCTGCGGATCCCTCACAACGTCCAACAACTCGATGATGTTGGGTCCGCCGCGCAGGTTGCTGAGGACCTTGAGTTCGCGCTTGACTTTCTTCTTCTTGATCGGCTTGAGGACCTTGATCACGATGAGCTTGTGGTGCACGATGTCTACGCCTTCGAAGACTTCCGAGTACTGCGAGGACGATGTAAGAGTGTCAGTCCAGCTCTTCGAAGTAGCTCGTTGGCGACGTCAAGGGTCGTCCGTGCGAGCCCCTCGACGAAGTGTAGCCCATTCACCTTGCCCCGCCCGAGCCTGCGAGTGATCTCGTACTGATCTTGGTAGCCCTGCGACTCGAGTACACGCTTGTGCAGGTCAGTTCCCGCCGTCCCTGCACGAGACGCTGCGCCAATCTGTTGAGGAACCGCAAGCCGACTCACAAAGCGCAGCTGGAGCGAGTCGTAGTCCCACCAGCTCGGTCCGAGGGTCTCGCACGCCTTGGTGTACTGCGTCAACCATGCGACAAGCGCATCCAGTCAGCGCTCGAGGTAGTAAGCGTGCTGGAGAGCGAGAGAGTGCAAGAGACGCACGACTCGCGCGACCGAGGGCGGGTTCGGGTTGACTGGCTCGTTCATTGCTGCGAGGACGTCTCTGGGCGTGTGTAGCTGTGCTTGTTAGGCCGTCCGAGCGTGTGAGCGAGCGAGAGGGAAGGGAGAGGAGCGCAGAGGGCGTGAGCGGGCGGGGAAGCGACTCAAGTCCGACCAGAAACGCGGAGGAGGCGACTTCTGAGCTGGAATTGAGAGCTCAGCATCGGCTGTAAGCCTTCAGATAGTTCGTCCGAGCTGTACGAGCCATCGAGCGAGCGAGGAGGACGAGGAGGGCGAGAACAACGCGAGAACAGCGCAGGAAGGGACAGGGAAAGCCAGACAGGCTGTTAGTACCCTCCAGTATTCCTGTGCGACCTTTCTGGCCGCCGTCGAGCGTCGCGAGGTCGTCGCCTTGTCCCAAGTCCTCCTCGCGCCTCTCTCACGGCGACACCTCACTCGCCTCGCTTCAACTCCGCTCAAGGACGCTCGCTATGAGCTCATACTGCTCAATAGACTCACAACTACACGCAGAAGCTGCTCGCACGCCCGCGCGAGATGTTGCGACCTCCTCAAGGCTCGCCAAACTTTTCCGCCGTCCACCGGTCGGACGGGGGAATGCTGGTATTCGGATCTTGGGGAGCGGGCGGAGGAAGAGTGCACGAGCGTCTGGGCGAGGCTTCCAGCCCATGGTGGAGCGGACGACCCGGCGCAACTGAGCGGGCTGAGGGACGGACCAGACGAACGATGCAACTTGCTGTTCTCGCTGGCTCCCTGGCTCGATAGGCGGGTCCAGGGGTGCAGGTCACGCTTGGCGGCATGCGCTGTCGACACGCGACGGGCGACGACTGATACGGCCCTGAACGGCGACCATCCTCGACTACCCCCTTCATCCTCTCACATTCATCCACACAAACCCCGCTTCCCCCTATACCCTCCATCCACTCAGCCCCCTTCACCTACGTTCGCGTAGGTAGTAGCGCGGAGCTCACGGATGTTCGTGGGCGTGAAGGCGTAGCGCAGATTCTCACGCCGACTCTTCGGTTGGCAGACACGCTCATTTGCTTTGTTCCTTCGCCGCACTTGTGTTCGAGATGGCTCGTCTTTCGAGCTGTCGAGACGCGGTGACTTTTACGAGGGCAAACTTCACAGGCGTGCGAGATTCTCGCTTCCTTCCGCCTCTCTTCACTGCTTTTCAGGCGTCGCGGCGCCGCCGTCTCTGTGTGCTGTGCTTTGATGACTCGCTCGCTGCTTCACGCACTCGCATGCGTCCGATTCCTGCTACGCGGTCCACTACACGTTCAGTTGCGCTGATTCTCCTTCGCGTCTCTCCGTCTCCTCCCAGATCCACCTTCTGCAACTCGCCGTACTCTTCGCGGATGCAATTCAATCACCTGCACGTCCCAGTCTTGCTCAAGAAGCCAGATGTCGTTGCCGTCGACGCACCCCTTCCAGTTCACCGAACCCGCGAATCCCTTCCGCTCCTTCCCCTCGCACACCCGCCCGCTGCCCGCGTCTAGAAACTTGCATCAGCCTGTTTGGCCGCTACAGACTCTTTCACAGCTCGTCTCACCCGCCCCGTCGCTCGCTCACCGCACTCGTCAGGTCGGCTACCCCCACTCGTGGTGAACAGACGTTGTAGACGATTGCAAGGCGAGTGGGCGCTGTGGTACTCGTACAAGGAGTTGACAAAGGCAATCAAGCTTCCTGGCGGCTCCTGTGACGCGGGACCGGGGCACTGACACTGCTTCTCCTCCTCCTCGCAGACTCCCCCCCTCCTTAATTCACAACTCGCACCATGCTCGCCCCCCGCTGGTCCTCCCCTCTCGCAACCCTACGCCAATCCCTCCTCCGACCCGCTCAAGCACCACCCAAACTCCCCTCTTCGCCCTTGTCCCTCCCTCGCCGGCCCCTCTGCTCATCAACGCTCACTCACAACCCCCGCTCCACCTCTTTCCTCCACTCCTACCGCCTCGGTCTCGCCCTTGCACTCCCCGTATCCGCCCTCGGTCTCTCACTCGCCTTCCCCTCCCCCTCGGCCGGAACACTTCAGTGCCAACCTCTCGCAGGGTCGGACCGGAGCTATGCCCGCGCGCCCGTGACGGACGAGACGGACCTCCCCTCTTCTGCTGCGACGGGAGAGGCGGAGAGTATCCTTAGCGCAAGGGATTTGGGCTTCGGGACTGTGAGCGGGATCTGCGTCGGCGTTTTCGTCAAGAAGGGATTGAGGGTGCGTTCGAGCGGTCACGTTCACTGGCGCTCGTCTAGCTGACGATGTGCTTGATGTTTGCGGGGGATCGTTGACGCAGGCCCTTGCGTTCACGCTCGGCGGAATCTTCGTCCTCCTCCAGGTGCGCGCGCTTGTGGCCTTCTCTACGGGCCAGAACTGGCTCCGAACGCTCGTAACTGACTCGTGGGCTCGCGGTTCACTTCGCGCGCAGTACCTCTCCTCGCGCTCGCTCATCTCGATCAACTGGGAAGCCCTGACAGGTTCCTACGACCGCCTCATCACCTCTCGCGTCGGCCCGCCCGCCTCAAAAGGCGGCAACCGCCTCGGCTCGCTCTGGAGCTGGTTCATCGATTTCGTTGGCGCCAACGTCCAGAGCAGGGCGACGTTCGTGGCGGGTGTTTTGCTTGGGTTTAGGTTGGGATGAGGAGGTGGTTCTGGCGTTGGAATGGACACGACTGGTCGCTCGCCGTGTTGCGCTGTTTCTAAGCGAGTCTAGAGTGCTCAGTAAGCCTCTGTCGCTGCTGACAATGCTCCCTCGCCTCGCTTGCTCGTCGTCGTGGTGCTCCACTCCTTCGCTCACCTCATCTCTGCTCCTCGACTCCCGCTCTAACCGCACTTGCGCTCCTTCCCATGCTTGCACCGCTCAGAACCCGTCTTCCTTGGCTACTGCTAGCCACCACCCACCTTCCCGCATCGCTCGCTTCCTCCTCGACCTCTTCGAACTACAAGGCCCGAAGAATGGCGACTGGACCACCTGCGCTCGAGAGTGGGATCGCTCTGTACTCGTACAGGACCCCGAATGTACTCAAGGTGCGTTGTGGGTCGTTTGCGAGGTGTACGATGCGGTTGGGTTGACCTTCTTCCTCCTCGACTCCCTCCTGGCGACTCCGCCTCTCCCTTTGCTCGTCCCGTTCATTCGTACCTGCTCGACACGCTCCTCGCAGATCAATGTCGCCCTCGAAGAGCTCAAGTCGCTCGGCAGCCCCCTCACCTGGGTCGAACACCCCATCGACATCTCCCAAAACGTCCAAAAACAACCCTGGTTCCTCGCCGAAATCAACCCGAACGGCCGCATCCCCGCTATGGTCGACTACAACCGCGGCGCACAACGCGTGTTCGAGACGGGAAGTATCTTGTTGTATTTGAGCAGGTGGTATGATGCCGAGAGGTACTTGTTGCACTTTGAGAACGACAGGGACGAGACGGAGATGGTTTCGTGGATATTCTTCCAGCACGGCGGCTACGGTACGTTTCCCGTCCCGCCCAGCTATCCGCTTCCCAACGGGCTGACTCTCGAGAAAAACAGGTCCGATGGCAGGCCAAGCAGGCCACTTCCTCAACGCCGCGCCCGTCAAAGACCGTTACGCTGCTCGGAGGTACATAGACGAGTCGAAGCGGTTGTTGCAGGTGTACGAGACGAGGTTGGCCGAGGGGCAGGGGAGGGAGTTCTTGGTCGGAGAGGGGAGGGGAAAGTTCAGCTATGTGAGTCCGCTAGCGTCTTTCGCGGACGCGAGCGCTGCGATCGCGGCGTTCTTGTCTTTTCAGCGTCACTCGGGCTGACTCGCTACCTCTCTCTGCGCAAACAGGCGGACATCGTACGTTACCGCGTTACCTTCCCTTCCCTCTCCCGCTCTTTCTTCTTTTGACCGGCACAGCTTCTCTCCTCATGCTTGCTGACACCTACCGCTCCACAGGCCTCCTTCTCCTGGATCCGCGCGCACCCCTTCTCCCTCGCCCTCCCCTCGCTCACACATGCCGGCTACCCGCTGCTCGACTCCTGGGTCCGTCGCATCGAATCCCGTCCAGGCGCGGCGAAAGCCGTGGAGGGGGATATGATTAGTCGGTTGAAGGGCGAGGAGGGGTGGGAGGAGAAGGTGAAGGAGAAGGGGAGGTGGGTTTGGGAAGAGGAGGAGGGGCAGAAGGAGGGGAGGAAGAGGGATGAGCTGTAGGGGAGCTAGCCCTCTCTCTTTTTACCACGACGTTGTATCGCTAGAAGGATGAATACGAGTCCTTACAGGGCGAGAACTAGAGACCAGCTCCAGCGAGATAAGCGAAAGGGTCTACAACGAAGAAAAGCTCTACACAAGCTCGTTGCCGCCTTCTCTACTTCCTAGCCCTCGACCGATCCACCCCACCGTCCGCATAAGCCGTAGCAGCCGGCAACCACTCCTCCGCCAAATCCTCCCTCACCGTCTCCTCCCAACTCGGCGGCGCGTCCCGCGCGAGGACGGTATCGAGCGCGGAGGGAGGGGCGGCGCCGTATGCGGGAATCTGCGGAGGGCAAGAGGAGGCAGGAGAGGGGTCCGCGATGAAGGTGCGGCCAAACATGCCGCGGATTATTGAGGTCCGATGCGGAGCGGAGGTCGAGGGGGCGGGTGTAGAGGCGACGGCTTCGTAGGAAGGCGGTGCTGCAGTCGAGGGCGACGTCGACGACTCGAGCGGAGCCTTGGCGTCGACAAGCGTAGGGCCTGCGCCTTCAGGCGGTACGTAAGGTGGCAGTTGACCGTCCTCGCGCGGTCGCTGCGAGTCTGACGAGCCGGCTGCAGTCGAGCTAGACGCCCGCGTCCCACCGTACAGCGCAGCGAGCGCCGGGAATCTGCCCGAGTCGACCTGGACGGACGAGTGCGAGTTAGACTGCTCGAAGGACTTGCGATGGTCGTCTGGGTGCGCGAGCGAGGCAGGTAGATCAAAGCGGACGTCCGGTACGCGCATCGAGACGGGCGGAGTGTCGGGCGAGAGCCGGAATGAGACGATCACGTCGTGCCTGCGAGAGAAGGTCGTCAGTCGAGTGTCTCAAAGCCGAACGGGAAGGCTTGGGGCGCACCAGACTTCGATGTTGCAGCTCTGAACTCGCGGTGCTAGTGCGGTCGCGTCTTGCCAAGACGAGTCCCGCTCGAGCACGAGATCACCCTTGAACACGAGAAAGACCTCCTCCGCCCTCGCGCCTCGTTCACCGGGCGGTCCTACGAGTCGCATGTCGTTCTCGACCTTGTACCGCATATTGCGAAGCGTTGCGGCCCAGTCGTGGCCGTTCGACGAGACGCGGCACGGTTCGGTCGTGATCAATGGCGGCTGGTCGAAGTGAGCGTGAACCGTTCGGCGCTTGACCCTAACCTTGCGCTCGACAGAGAACGTCGCAAGCGCCGCCTGGTCCGACTCGTCGTGCTCAGCTCGATGTCTGAGCTCATTGAGGATCTGCTGGACGCCAGGGTAGGTATGCACGCCGAGAGAGACGACGAGCTTGTAGCGCAGAGACGGGTTGGGCGGCTCGTAGTACCGCGATTGAGTGAAGGTCGTGTCGTGAAGCAAGTCGTGCGACGTGATGCGGTGCGTGAACTGGGAGGTCAAGCATCAGTCCGCCGGTCGAGGTGGAGGGAAGAAGTGAATGCACCTCAATGCTGCTGACCCGCCCTTTCTGCTCGCTCATGTTCTTGGTACGCAACTTCGTGTGTCGTCCGGACGACGTCGTTTCCCACTCGCTTTCCGGCGTCAGCTCGTCACGAATCTTTGGCGAGAGGTCGGGCTGCGAGGGTTGCGCGGGCCGTGGCGGCGCGGACACGATGATGGGTAGCCGGAGACTGGAGTGAACGTGAGCAGCAGAACAGAGAGAGAGAAAGCGGGAAGCGCGCACCGATAGACCTGGCCGGAAGGCTCTATCTTCGCCTTGCCCTTTCCCTTCCACCGTCTCGTCTCGACAAGCTTCTCACCCGTAATCTCGACCCAGTACCGCACTGCGCATTCGGCGCTCGTCCAGCTTGAAGGCATGCTCGCTCTTTCAGAAGCGGGACATGAGCACTCGAGACGGTCGGGAAGCTTGAGGACGAAGCGGCATGAGCGGCTGGCGGGTTCGGCGGTGTCGGATGACTCGGTGAGGAAGGTGTTGCCGAGGACGACGGCGTTCGAGTCGGTCGTGCTGAACAGGCCGTGGGATTCGGTCGCTTCGGAAGGCTGTGAGCGGGACGAGGGTGAGCTGGCGGCGAGTGGAATCAGCCCGAATGACACAACGCACTCTGTAGATCTCGCTCACGCCCTGCAAGCTGGCTTTGACGTCCATCGGCTGATTCCAAAGCGAAATGGATGCTTCAAACTCGAAAACCGTTCCAGGCGGGTGCCCTCGTCCACGGCTGACGGGCGGTCGGACGGCCATTTTGACCCATTCGGCGTTGTAGACGTCCTGCGAGCGAGAATGTCGGCTGGACATCGTATCAAGGCGAGCGAGCTGAGCGTACCTCGTGCGGAGCAGACGACGACAGCGTCAAGGTGCGCCAGCTGGTGTCGCCTGGGCGCTGATAGACGCCTCGTGGGCTACTCGACGGGCTGCCGCCCTTCGCTACGCTCGTCTCGCCCATGCCGAGCCGGTTAGCGATGAAGTGGGGAGGTGAGGGTCGTCGAGGGCGAGTGAGGGAGTGCAGGTAGACACAGTCAGTCTGTTGATGCACAGCAAACTGCCAGACAGTCGAGCGAAGCAGCGCGAGCGAGCGTGGATCGAGGCGACGGTTCGTGGGAAAGCGGACCTTCGCCGTACCAGCACCGAGGAGGCGGACAAGCATGGTCTGGCTGATGAAGGCGCCGTACGGAGTCTAGCAATGCCCGCGAGCCAACTTTCAGTCTGACGAAGCGCCGAAGCGGAAGAGCGAGAGGAAGGCGAATGGAGTACGAAGAAGTCCGTCTCAAGGATCGCGTTTATACGGATACGCAACGATCTACGCCTTCTTCTCCGTCACCGCATCGAGCCAGCTCGGCGGTTGTTCCTGCCCTGCTCCCGAAGACACTCCCTGCGTCGGCTGTTCCGCGCGATCCGCTTGTTCCGACGCTCGTCGCCCGAAGAGGCGCCTCAGAACCCGGCTGCCGCCTCGCTGAGATACCAATGCTGTCGAGGAGGTCGAAGACGCTGTGTAGGCGGGAGCGGAGGACGTCGAAGCGGACGGAGGGAGGTGGTCGACAACTCCAGGCGCAGCTATGACTTGGTCGTACGCAGGCGGATCGTCGCCGTTGACATCAAGATCTGCCATGCGAGTCGTCAATGGCGCCGCGGACGTCGACGTGCCCGAAGGACCGGCGGAGGAGAAGTCGGGCAGGCCCGACTCGCGAGCACGATAAGCGACGGGCGAGTTCGTCGTCTCCACGGCGCCCTTCTTCTCCTTCGACAGTTTCGCCGGTGTTCGAGGCATCGGTGCAAGCGTCCCGCCGCCTTCGGGAAGCTGGTCGGCGTCTGTCGCAGCAGGCGTCTTCTTCGCGAGCCGGATCAGGTCTTTAAGCGAGGCGGGCAAGTCGAGGCGGACGTCTTGGCACTTGATGTGCAACGGGTCATCGAGCGCTCCGAGGTGGAAGGTGGCGTGGAGGTCGTAGCTGTGTAGAGAAAGCGGATGAGCGAAGTCTGCGAGGGAGAAAGGGCGAGAGACGACGCACTGGACGTCAAAGATGCAGGTCCGCAAGACGGGCGCACTCGTAGGATCGCCAACCCAGCTCGGCGACACCTTTGTCTCGCCCTCAAAGTGCAGCCAAAGCCGCACTTGCCCGTCTCCCTCTTCCGCCAGCCTCGCATTTCCCTCCCGCAAATCGAGGTAGCCCGGCGCGTCCGATAGCTCCATCGGCCATTCGTCGGGCTTGTCGACCGCGAGACCGGTATGCGTCGAGCGAGCAGTCATGACCCGCTTGACCTCGAGCGAGACGGACGTCGGGGTCGCCCGCAACTTCTCGAGCAGCTCGTTGCCGACTTCGACGCTGTGCTTGCCAAAGTTGACGTCGATCCACCAGTGTATGCAGGGGCGGGGACCGTCAATCTCGGCTCGGTCGAAGCGTTGGCTGCCGATGTAGACCTGTTCGGACGGTTGGCGCTTGACCGGCCACTTGGTCGCGATCTCGTAGTGCAGCGAGAGTCGTCGAGGTTGTAGGTCGCCTAGAGCGTGTGCCGGTGGGTCGATGTACTTGGATTGTACAGCACCGGTGGCGGCCCTGTAGAAAAACTCGGCGTTCTCCCTGAACAGCTGCGCGGACGTCTCCGTAGGGCGAGGCAGCGGTAAAATCTTCACCCTGAGCGGAATCTCGAATCTGCGAGGAGAAGCTTATTCGACGGTTGGTTGCGGAAGGAAGCGGTAGCGCGCACCGGTACTCCTTCAGGACCTTGAAGTTGTCGCCTCCGAATCCGAACAGCGCCTTGCCCTTCCCTTTGCCCTTGCTAGGCTTGCCCAGCTCTCCCACAATCTCGAGCGTGTAGGTCACGCTGTACCCTTCCGTTTCCGACTCGAACGTCGGAGGCAGTCGAAGCGCGAGATGCGCACACCCGTCGCCCTGTTCACGGCCGCACATCGAGCAATCCGAGCTGATCGACTCGTCGTCCGAGTCTTCCGAGTCGGAATCGGTACGCTTGAGCCTGTTCCCGTCCGGATCGCGCGCAACCAACTCGGGCTTGTCGAGAGTCGGCAGAGGCGGAGGCTTGCAGTCACAGGTACAGGACGGCGAGAGCTGGACCTGGAAGTGGGCGATGCAGGAGTCGGGACTGTCGAGCGTTGCGGGAGGCGACGAGACGGAGAGGAATTGGTGTTTCCGCGAGTGGTTCGAGGAGCGGGCCTGCAGGGCGGGAAGTTTGGGTTCAGTCTCTCCCCTGATACATTCGACAGTCTCTTGACGCACCCTGGCGACACCAACGATGCGCGCCTCGATCCGCATGGGCATAAAAGCAGGCTCGACCCTCGCCTCGAAGTTGAAGACCGTGAGCGGGTTGAACTGGCGATTCGGGTCTCGCAAAGACGGCGAGATGATAATCTTGGCCCACGGGAGTAGACGCGTATCCTGCAAGAGTGTAAGTTTGAGTACAGGTGCGCCGAACGTGCTTAGAGAGGAGGAGGGAGCGTACACGGTCCCCCTCGACTTCTCCGTATTGCCAGTCCCGCACGGTTGACGCCTTCTCGTCGTACGGTACCAGGGAGAAGCCCGCTTCTTCTGCTTTGCCCATCGTTGCGCTGGTAGACGAGGAAGGACCAGGTGGGGCTCGAGAGGGAGAAGGGGTCAGAGAGGCGGCGGTGGTGGAAGCGGCGGACAGCGGCGTCCTGTGGTAGCATGCAGCAGCTCAGTGGGGTCCCAGCGAGTCCAGCGAAGGCAGCAGAGCGACGTTGAGAGCGAGTTGGAGGACGCCAAGCGAAGAGCTGTCGGCCGAGTCCACGGTTCCGAAGAGATTACAACGGGCTTGTATGTAAGGCGGATTGTAATCCAGCTGTAAGTGTTAAGGACAGGTCTATGGACAACGCAGACGGCGAGGGAATAGGCGAGAAATACGAAAACGATGGACGAGCGGGGTCGTGCTAGAGATGGAGTGCTGTCCAGGCGGTGCGCGTAGGTGAAGATGCAGGTATAGACGCCAAGAATCGGCGAGGGACGATTCGTCCGGTCGAAAGGCGGGCGTATAAGGTAGTAGTCGAAGCAAAGTGTCTGTCGAGGGGCTGTCGAGTTCGCCGTGGTCGCACCGCCTACCGCCCCTCTCCCGCCCCGCCCTCAAAACTGAACCCCTTCCGCTCCCTCTCAATCCTCATCTGCAGCCTCTCCAACGGACTCTTCGGTTCCGCCTGTGTTTCGCCCTGAATCCTCGAAACTGGCGAGCCCGAGCCCGCAGAAGTGAGGGAGGAGGTGCTGATGCTCAGTGCGGGAGGGTGGCGCGCAGTGGGAGGAGCAGCGGCGGAGTGGGAGGACGAGGCAGAGACATTCGAGTCGCTCGAGTTGGCGGATGCGGCGGGCGCAAAGGGCGAGCGGAGATTCGAGTTCGACTGGCGAGGACGAGGGATCGAGGTAGACGAGCGAGGAGCGGAGGAGGTGGACGTCCGCACGGACGCGGCGGACGACGAAGGGATAGAAGGCGGGAACGAGTGCTGCTGAAGTGCGGCAAACGTCGTCGGGTGCGCGTACGACCCGTCAAAAGCCGGGTTCAACCGCTCCTCTGCCTCTGCCTCACCGCCAACCGCAGCAACCGCCTCGACCCAGTCCTCGGGCGCGCCATCGCTGCCTTTCCCGATCCCGCTGCTCGGCGCAAAATCGAGCGTGCTCTTATCCGTCGCGACGACCGACCCGGGAGGCGGCGCGAGCGGCGAAGGCGGGACGACCTCGATGCGCGAGAGAGGGTTGTGCGGTGCGCCTGAGAGGCGGTTGCCGGAGGGGAAGACGTGTGCGCCGGGAGCGGCGCCGTTCGGAGGCGAGACGGAAGAGAAGGTGCGCGAGGCGGGGAGGAGTTGCGAGCCGGATGCGGAGGACGAGTAGAACGACCGGCGGGGCATGGTCGGCGGACCGCCGAACGAATTGCGGCCCGAGGGCGACGTCGGGAAACCACCGAGCGACGCACGCGAAGCGTTCGCAGACCCAGGCGACTCGAGAGGCGTCCCGCTGAATGGCGGCGAAGGGCTGAACTCTCCGCTCCCGTTGGGCGACTTCTCCCCAAACCCGCCCCACGACTCGCCGCCCCAACTCGCCTGCCTGCTCCGCGCGCTATTGAACCCGCCGAGCCCGCTCATCGACCGCTTGCCCGTGCTGTCGATCCCGCCGCCGTTGAACGCAACCGACATCGAGCTCGGCAGCGTCGCAAAGCCGCCCATCAGCGGGCTCGGTCCGCCGCTCAACCCGCGTCCGTCGCTCGTAGGCAGGTCGTCGTCGTCGGACGGGTCTCGTCGGCGTCGAGAGATCCAGACGTAGATTTTGTACAGGAGGACGATGCCGGCAATGCCTGCCGCGATGCCGACCAGGACTGCCGCGGCCGTCGGGAAGTGGTTGCCGCCGTTGTCGGTCGAGGCAGAGGGGCGAGAGGTAGGCTTGCCGTCGAGGCCGATCGACGGCACGACTTGGGTCGCCGGAGGGATGTTGGGCGCGGGTGTGCCCGACGCGGAAGCCGAGCCTGCGGGAAGACCAGGCGTGTCAGCTATAGCTCGGACGACCCGAGGGGAAGCCTGGAATTGATCGTCCGCCCGGGGGAGACGTTCAGTTCATCCTCCTCGGATGTCAACCGTGCGATTCCGGCCTGCCTCACGCGCGACTGGCCTCGCTAAGGTTGCATCGTCTCTTCCTCTCCGTCCTTCGCGCTTCCCGATGGACCCGTTCCGTCCACTCGCGACAAACCCGCCTCGATCACCCTTTGCGCTAGAGCAGCGATGACACTGCGAGGCGAACGACGTCCATCGCAAGCAGCGGATGGCTCCCTCGTCTGTCCACTGGATGCAGCAGACCCTACAAGCCCCCAGCAGCTCGTTTGAAGTCCTTTGGACGCGAGAGGTGTCCCCGCCGAGCCGTCCGGGCGATTCCCTTGCGGCAGAGCAAACACCATTCGCAGCCTCGCCTGAATGTCGCGCAGTCCCTGAGTGACGGAAGACTCACTGGACATCCTGGAGAGCGCCTAAGCAAACCGACCGAGAGAGCTGAAGGGCGAGGACGAGGCGTGCGAGGTCGGCAGGAAGAGGCGCAGTTGGCTGGTGGCGGCGCAACGCTGGCGGGCTGGAGCTGGGAAGCGGATGCCGGAGAGATCGATGCCGTCTCTTCGACGCCGTCAGCTGCCCTCTGCGAGGTGTTGCGATGCGAGATGGGGTCGAAGACGGACGCCGAGTTGTGGGCGGCGAGAGGCGCTTCAGGCGGGCGAGAGCGGTGGTCGATGGCTGCTGGTCGTTCACGAGATAGCTGTACAGATACTGAGCCGCAGCGCTGAGCCAGTGAGCGAGAGTGAAAGGGAGAGCAACTCTGGCTGCGAGCGACCAAAACAAGCACGACCGCAACAACACCAAGGGGACGGACAGGTAGCGTCGTAGAGTGCGACCAAATGTTGCCCCAAAGAAGGACGTGTCGCCGTGAAGTGAAACGAGGGACGAGCGAGGCGAGGAGCGGCAGTTACTCGTCTTCTGCGCAAGACTCGTTCGAAGAGGGACGCAATGCAGGATAGATAAGGTCTACAACAGTCGATGCGAGGATAGGACAACACTGTATGATGCGAGGAGGCGACGAGATGTGAGGGCGAGGAAGACGAAGGCGGAAGGCAGAGAGAGACGAGGAAGGAGGCGGTCGAGGATGGGGGAAGCGAGCTCGAGAACGCCGGCCAACGAGCCATCGGTACCGCTCAGGAATCGCCACCATTCGGCTCGTCATGCTGGTCCTCGGCAAGCTCGACCTGCTCCCAAATAGCCGCCTCGAGTTCGGCCGCACGAACCGGTTTCGCAAGGTAGGCGTTCATCCCGGCGCTGAGGCATCGTTCGCGGTCGCCTGCGATCGCCGACGCCGTCAAGGCAATGATTCGCAGTCGGCGGATAGCCGGGTCGGGCGACTGGCGGATAAATTGACTGGCGCGGTAGCCGTCCAACCCTGGCATCTGCCCGTCCATGAGGACGCAGTCGTACCGCTCGCGCTGGACTTGCTCGACGCATTGCCGCCCGTCCACGACCGCATCGACCACGAAACGCTTCTTGCGCAGCGTGCGAGTGACGATCTCACGAATGAGCTCGTTGTCTTCCGCGAGGAGGATGCGAACGTCTTCCGGTCGTCGAGACCTGCGGACCTTCTTGACGACCTCCTCAGACTTGGCGAGACGCTGCGCTTCGGCGGGACTCTCGGCGGGAAGAGGTTGAGTCGTGCCGACAAAGTCGACGACATCGGCGAGCGGGGCCTTCTGGAGCGGGATCGTGATGGTCATCCGCGACCCTGAGCCGAGAGTCGAGTCGAGGGTGATGCTGCCGCCCATGAGTTCGACGAGCTGCGAGGCAAAGGCGTGAGTTCCTTGCGGAGAGTGGCGAAGGACATTACGGAAGAGTCGCGGCGTACCTTCTTCGCGATGGTCAACCCCAGCCCCGACCCTCCATACTCCCTCGCCGTACTGGCATCCGCCTGTCGAAACGGATGGAACAGCGTCGGCAGCACAGTCGAGTCGATCCCGACGCCTGTATCGACAATCTCGAACCGCACGACGATGCGGGTGTCGTCCTCCGAGAGTTGGCGGCATCGGAGGGTCACACTCCCTTCTTTCGTGAACTTGACGGCATTCGAGAGGGCGTTGGCGAGCACTTGGCGCAAGCGCAACCGGTCCGCAAGGAGCGTCCCGCCGTAGAACTCGCCAACGTCTTCAACAAACTCGAGGCCCTTCTTCTGCGCGATGATGGAGAAGAGACGCGCATCTGCGAGCGCTTCAGAGAGGAGGAACGGCGCGGTCTCGAGTTCGAGTTCGCCCGTCTCGATCTTGCGGACGTCGAGCACGGCGCCGACGAGTTCGAGGAGGAGCTCGCCGGACTGGACGGCGTTCTCGACGAGGTTGCGTTGGTCGGGCGCGAGGCGGTTCGAGTCGGCGAGGAGGAGTCTGCGAGAGTCCTTGGAGTTAGCTCACTTCCGCCGTAAGCTCGTCTTGAGCTGCGTCAAGTCGGACTCACTCGCAGATGCCGAGAATGGCGGCGATCGGCGTTCTGATCTCATGCGAGATGGTCGTCAAAAACGACGTCTTGAGTTGATTCGCTTCCCTCGCTGCAACCTCCGACGCAGCCAATTTCGCACTCTCGTCGCGCGACTTCTGCAGAGCTTGGTCGGCGAGTTTACGCTCGGACACGTCGGCACAGACGATGATGCAGCCTGTGATGGCGTTGTAGTCGGGATGGGTTTGCGGGATCGAGGGGTCGCCTCGGAGCGGGACGAGCTGGCGGCGGCCGCAGCACCCATCAGCACCGTGTCCGGCTGGAGCGAGAGGAACGAAGGCGAACGCACCCGGTAGCGATGATACATCGTCCCCTGACTCGTCGAAGTCTCCGACTCGGCAAACCCATTCTCGCTCTCGCCATCCAAGACCTGCTGAACCGCAGCCTCGAGTTCGCCGGCGGGGAAGAAATCGAGTAGGGGAGAGCCGACGATGGTGTCGTACGACCGGCCGGTCAGGCGGGGAGGCGTCTTGCCCTCGAAAAAGGTGATCTTGAAGGACGGGTCGACCGTGAGGAGCGTGAGGTCTGCGGCGATCAAGCGGGTTAGCTTGCATGCTACGACGGATGCAGTATGCGTGCGCGCACCTGAGCCCTCGAGGACCGCGCGCGTCCGCTCCTTGACCAGCAACGCATCGTGCCGCGCGCGCATCTCCGGCTCGACATCCGCAATCGTCGCATACCACGCCACGGGCTTCCCATCCGCCCCTTTCTGTGGTCGACCCGACACCTTGTGCCATCTCAGCCGACCGTCCTTGTTCTTGATTCGGTACTCGAAGGAGAAGGGTTCGCCGGATTGCATCGCGCCGAGGTAGATGGGCAGGACGGCCGAGAGGTCGTCTGGGTGGAACATCGACATCCACTCGGCAAAGTCCATGTGGTAGCGCGGGTCTGCCGGACCAGCGGTCAGCAGAGTCGCAAGAAGAAGGAGAGAGGCACGACTCACCACCGCCCGTGTACTCATACCACGTCGAGTTGAGCCACACAACCTGGCCGTCCGGATCCGCAATGAAGCACATATGCGGATTGTTCTCGACCATGTTCGTCAGCTGCGCAAGCGACAGCGGCGGCCGAATATCCCGTGCGCGCTTCTCAGCCGCTTCCTCCCTCGCCGTCTCAAGCAACGCCGCATCTTCCGCCGGCGTCGCCTGCGAAAAGTCGTCGCTCGAGTTTCCCCGACTCGAGGAGACAAGCCCGGCAAGCGGGTTGTCCTTCTCGCTCCGAGGTGAGATGTCGCTGCTGCCTGCATCGATCTCGTTCACAGGCAGGCGGAAGAAGATCGGTCCCGTCCCGTCTGCCCGAGCGGTACCGTCGGTCTTTTGCGAGAGGGTGACGAGCGCTTGGTCGAAGGATTGCCGGCGGCCTGTCAGGCCTTCGACGGAGGCGGGCAGTTTCGAGCCGGAGGGTGTTCGTCGAGGAGTGGGACGGGGCGGGGACTTGCAGGAGGGGTCAGGAGAGTCGGTGGGAATGACGGGAGAGGCGGTGACCACGTTGGTGGAGGGAACGGGAGGAGAAGAGAGGGAAGGAGCGGCTGAAGTTGGGGGCGTTGAAGGCGAGCCAGGTCCAGGCGAGACGGACGCCGTGCGAGGTGTCGATGCTGTATCCGTCACTCGACTCGTCGCGTGCTGCAGCATGCTCTTCAAGTTGTCGTCGAGCGGCAACTTTGCTCGCTCTTCTCCGACAGCGATTCGTCGAGCCGGGCGCGAGTTGGACGAGCTGAATGACGCTGACCGGTCGGACGACGAGACGAAGCTCGGGTCGACGTGCGGCGAGAGGGAAAAGGCATGGTTTGGAGGCGGAGTGAAGGCTTCGAACGAGGGGCGAGTCGAGGGTTGGGACGAAGGCATGGCCAATGCAAAGTCGGTCGGGAGGTTTAGATGGCGCAGGGTGGGCGAGAATGGCGTCGAGTCGACGGGCAAGGGGCGGACAAAGAGGATGGACAAGGTGACGGCGTCGTCGGTGCTCGCCGAGGGTGTCGAGTCGGTCGAGGAGAAGGTGACGAGGGCGTCTGCTCGTCGCCGCTGTCCCGTCCGTGTGAAGAAGGCGAGCTGGATCGTCTCGCCCCATGCCAGCGCGCTCGACCGCCGTGCCAACCCGATCAAATACTCCTTCAGGCCTTCTCTCACTCGCTGGTCCTCGTGTCGCTGCTGCTCCTGCTTCACGAGTCCCCGGAAGAGATCGACGGCCGTGAACCCATCGTGCCCATCGTCCAGCTCGAGCAGCCGCCTCGCCGTGTCGTTGGCCTCTGTCAATGAAAGCGATTCGGCGGCGGACAAGGCGAGGCAAGGCAGACCGAAGGCGCCGACCCCTAATGCGCTGGCCTGCGCCGTGTGTAGCATCGCGTGTGCAGCGTCGAATGCGAGCCTGCGCTGCTCAAAAGAACTCAGCAGAACGCGACGGCGTCGAGCAGAGCGAACAACCGCGACCTCCCTTTAACGATGGCCTCCGTCCGATGGGCCTTGGAAGCACGCGGGGCCTCGACTGAGAGTCTCGCCACGCCCGAATTAACGATGCAATCGGCCGCAAGCGAGACCGGATCAGAGGAAAGTCTGTTCGTTTGTAGTCCAGCTCCGAACGCCAGCCTCCCTCCCTCTCCTCGACTGGCTCGACTGGAACGTCCTGCGGTTAGGCGTAGACACTACGCCGAGTACCTCACGACCGACCTCCCGCACTGGATCCGCCACCTCCGCCGAAGAACCGCTTCAAACCGGCCTTCTTCTGCGGCGCCGTCCGCGCAGCCTTTGGGATCCGCTGCTCCTGCTCGTCCTTGATCCGCCTGTCCACCTCGACCTGGTCTCGAATCGAGATCTTGCCCGCCGCTGTCGCGCCCATGCCGGCTGCTGAGAGGGTCGACGTCGCTCCTCCGCCCCGTCCGTCCGAGTGCGACTTGTCGCTGCGAGTCGCGCGAGGCTGGGCGTGCGAGTGGTGGTGGTGGTAGTGGTGATGTCCGTCCGACCGTGCAGGCTGCACCTCGACGAACGAGACGCCGCCCGGTCCCGAGCCCAAAACCGCCGCACTGCCCGCCATCGTCGTCGAGCTGCTCTTGTTCGAGCCGGAGCGGGTCGACGTAGGCGACGACGCGCGCTTGCTCTCCGTGATCGACGACTTGGGCGGGGTCGTCTTGGCGGACGAAGGGTTCGACGAGTCGAGGTCGCGGGAGGGGCGGCGGCGCGGTGTCGAGGAGGTGGCGCCGGGTGAGACGCTGCGGCGACCGGGAGAAGGCGGAACGAGGCGGTCGACGTGCGGGATGGCGCGCCAGGCGGGGATCGCAGGCGAGGCGGCTGCGACGGGCTGTTGCTGGGCGGAGGCGGGAGTCGGAGCTGTTCGCGCCAAGCGGGTCAGCCGAACAGTCCAGCTCGAGCACGAGCACCGGAACGCACTCTTCGCGCTCGTCGAGATGGTCTCGATCGTGTACCCGGCCGAACGAGCCTTCGCCTTCTCCCTCTCCTCGCGCTCAACCAGCTCGCGCTCAGCCTTCAAGCTCCGCCCATAGGCTGCAAGCTGGTCCTTCAAGCTCTTTCCGCTCCCTGCCGACTTGGCGTCTGTCGCGCTCGAAGACGGCGGCGACTTGAAACCGAGCAATTCCCGCTCGGCTCTCTGCACCCTCGACCGCGCCTGCGCACGCGTCTTCGGCTTGTCCTCCTCGTCGCTGCCTTCGCCCGTCCGAGGCGGCGCAACCGACGCCGACGCCGAGTGAACAGCACGCGACTCGTACAGCGGCCCTAGCAAGCGCTGACTCGTCATCCCCGGCGCCGCGTTCGCTTCGTGCGCACGCTCAACGCGCGTCTTGGCTTTCGCCCCCGGACTGCCGGGCGCGACGCTTGTCGGTGCGGTCGAAGCGGAGGGAGCGTAGGTCGAGAACGTCGGGCCGGAGTAGGACGAGCCGGGCGAGGAGGAGAACCGAGTCGAGGCAGAGTTGCTGCGATTGCGCCCGGTCGCGTCGTGCGGAGGTGCAGACCCGTCGCCGGCCGAATCGGGCGGCGCGAAAGCCCGTCGAGCGTCGTAAGTCGGATAAGCCTGCAGTGGCCGCAACATCCCCACCACGTCTTCCTCGTCGCCGTCTCCGTCTTCGGCGTCCGCAATCGAAGGCCGCGACGCCGACGATCCCACCGTACCGTCCTCCTTCGCGCGCAGCTGCAGCTGCTGGTGCTGATTGAAGTGCACTTGCTGCAACAAAGGCGAACGAGTGCCGGACTGCGGATTCGGGTTCGACAAGGCGCGGCGGCGATTCCGGGACGTGACGGGCGAGGAGACAGCCGTCGTTGGCGGGCTTGGCTCGTCCTCAAACACTCCCGCACTCGCCTCTCCCTCCTTCTCCTGCTCTGCACCCGGAACGCCTTCCTCCTCATCCATACTCGGTCGACGACCGGAGAACGACCCCTTCGAGAGGTTACTGCTCTGTCTCGGTCGGTAGAAATGGTGCGAAGCTGCACGGGTGAGCGGTCCGATCGTCGAGCCGGCGGTCGTCGAAGCAGGCAGGGGCAACTCCGGCGCCCTCGTCGCAAGCGGTGTTTGCGCTTCTTCCTCCGCCTCCTCATCCTCGACGCGCAGGCCTGGCGACTCAGCCTGCACCGCCAAACTGCCGACAAACGAGTCCTGCCTGAGCGGTCGGTGAACTTCGAGGCTCCTCCGTCGCTCGGCGCGCTCGGTGCGGTCTTGTTCGCTCAGCTCATCGGCTGATACGTGCGGGTCTTCCTCGGCGGCGGCGGCGGCGGATGCTGAAGACGCTGGTACGGCGGAAGGAGAGGCGGAATTCAAGCCGAAAGCTTGTCGGATCGCTGCGCCTGGACGCCCCGCCTTTTCCCATACGCTCGGCAGACTAGGCCTCCTCGTCCTCGGCGTCGTACCCGCACCCGCACTCGAATCCTTCGCCGCGCCCCCATTCGCCGCGCCGTTCCCGGAGCGGAGGGAATTGAACGATAGCCTCCTCGTCGAAGGAGTAGACGACGAACTCCCTCCTCCTCCTCCTCCGGCCGTCGAACTCGCGACAGACCAACTACTCCCGTTCCCACCCTGAATCTGCATCCCCAGCGGCCCACCCACCGCCCCAAGCGAGATCTGGCTCGTCGACGCGCTGGGGGTCGCGTATGCCGCGGCGGAGGAGAGTGACGAGGAGGAAGACGTCAAGCCGCGGACGTGGGTGAAGGGAAGTTGGGCTGTGTGCGCTGATTGGACGAGTTTGGTCGCGAGGCGGTCGAAGGAACGTTGAGGGTGTAGGACGGAGGCGGCGGTTGAGAGGCTGCGAGTGCGGGTGGATGGGGGCGGTCCCGCTCCCACCGCTGCGGTCCTCAGACTCAAAGACCGCGTACTCCCTCCCTTCTTCCCCGCGCCTCCTCCTCCCGCCTGCTGCGCCGACTGCTGAGCGTCCAACACGTCCGCCCACCCTCTCAACACCTCCGCCGCATCCAGGTGCCCGTTCGACACGGCGATTTGCTCGGGCGTTATGCCGGCTTTTTCAGGGATGCGTGGGTCGGCGCCGTAGGAGAGGAGGAGGTGGAGGATCGCGAGGTGGCCGTTTGCGGCGGCAAAGTGCAGGGGAGTCGAGCCTGTGCCACCAACACCTCGATATCGTCAGTGACTTGCACTTGCGAGTGAGCGAGAGGAGAAAGAGCGCCGCGCACCCTGCGTCCCAACCGACACCCCTCTCTCCTTGCTCCCCTCGCGCGTGAACCTCCGACTCAACCGCGGACTATTGACGTCCGCTCCGGCCTCGATCAACATCCGCACGACCGTCTCGTTCCCGGAGGAAGCGGCGGCGTGTAAGGGAAGGACGCCCGAGAGGATCGAGTTGACGGGTTGGCCGTGAGAGAGGGCGTATTGGACCAGGCCTGCGGGCGTGCGCACGGCGTATGTCAGTTCTTGAGTGCCTCTGAGCGGGTCTGCTGCTTGAAAAGCGTCCCCTCCGCCAAACAAGCCCCTCCTCCTACTCAAAAGCGCACAGAGGTCCCGATATCGCGCGGAACCTCCGCGTACGCCAGATCCACTCCATCGAAAGCTCTCCCTGCCCAACGTAGAGCTTGGCACGCCCACGATCCATCCGTCGCTCCCTCTCCTCCCTTACCTCGGCCCCACCTCTCCCAATAATCGCCTTTGCATCACCCTCCCCCAGCCCCAGCCCTCGAACTGAGCTGAACGCACCCGTATTCCCATTCGCAGCCGCTCCATGCAAACCGAGGTTCGGATAACTGGTCGTGATTCCTAGTCGGGCTTCTTGGCGTGTTAAGGGGCCGGGGCGGAGGCGTGAGGAGGAGGACGAGGACGAGGTGCGGGTGTGGGTGTGTGAGGGTTGGGAGGGGTGTTGGGACGTTGATGCGGTGGGTGCCATGCCCTGCTCCAGGTTCAGGCAAAGAGAGGAGAAGGAGGAGAGGGTGTCGATCCTCGCTCGCTGCGTCGCAGGGTCTGCCCTCGTTCGAGCTGGAATCGAGCGTGTGTTCGTCGAGTGGGTCGAGCTGTATGCACCGGAAGACAGAGAGAGACACGCGCTGGTGTGGTTTGTTGACCGACTTTCGCGTGTGTGCGAGGCGATCACGGCGTGAGGTGGAGGAGTGAGCCGCAGTCAGATTGAGCGGCGATCTAACTCGATACTGGCCGAGTGTGACTGCTTCGATGCTCAGGAGCAGGAGGATGGTGAGCTGGAGCGAGCTGGACTTGGATAGAGGGAGCGAGGGAGGCCCGCAACTCCGCAACGACGAGAATGCCGTGGGCCCTCGAGACGGGGCGGAAGCTCCGCGGAGCGATTCGGTGAGGCGGCCAGCAGGGTCAAGTTCACTGCAAGGCAAAGCCAGGGCGGACCCAAGGCTGAGAGCTGCAAGGTTGCAGAGGGAGGAAGCGAAGAGGAGGACGAGGGAGGATCTCGAAACGGGCTGAGGCGGTTCTCTCGTCTGACCACGATCTTGGTGGGTTGCTGACGTCTCCTCAGCGATCATAGAGACGTCTGTGCCCTCTCTGCTCAAGCGAGACCCGGAAAGAGGCGAGAGGGAAGCTGTGAGAGGACTCCGAGGAGGGTCGCCTGCTCCTGCGCCTTTGTCCCGTCACCGCTTTACCTCGGGGCGGTGGCTGCGACTCAACAGCGTTCATGTAGAGCCTCTAGAAGCATATTGCACGAGCGTCTGGCACATCTGAGACTGTCCTCCTCGTCCCCTCTCCCGCGGCTGATGAGAATCGCAAGTCGAGAACACCCGCTCTGCGCGCACACCTACCTGCCCATAGCCGCCCGTTCACTCGTGCATTACTCATTGTCGCCCGCTCTACAGCCCCCAGCGAGGGTGTGCTGAGTAAACCCGCCCTCGCCTCGTTCTCTTGCCGAGAGCAGGATCGACTTGGCCTTGCTCACGCTCTCGTTGCTTCCTCGCTCTCCAAAACTCGAACAGTCCAACACCCAAAGCAACCCAAACGATGTTCGCCACCCGCCCCATCGCACGCCGCCTCTCCCTCACCCTCGTCCACCGCTCCCCGCTCCTCCCCTCCGTCCCACGCCCGACCCACCTCCCCTCCCTCTCGACCCTCCCAGCGCGCCCCTTCTCCACCACCCACATCTCGAGGGACACGCATGCGCCCAGTAACAGCGCTGCGAGGGACCCGCGCTGGAGGAATGGGGAGAAGGTGACGTATGACGAGTTGAAGCCTGTCACGCAGATGCCTAGCGATGTGAGTTGCGCACGTTCTTGCTCTCGCTGTTGGAACGGATGAAAGGAGGAGGAAACTAAGTGTTGGGATGTTGAGCTGACGCGGTGCGGTTGTTCCTTGTCGCGCGCAGGACGTCCTCATCGTCGGTGAGTTGCCCTCCCACCGATCCAGCCAAGCAGGACATCTCAGAACTAACTCGTACGCACACCCACAGACGTCCGCGAACCCTCGGAAGTCGCACTCGGCTCGATCCCCTCCTCCGTCAACCTCCCCCTCTCCGTCTTTGAGAAAGCCATGTCGCTCGACGAAGGCGACTTTGTCAAAGAGTTTGGGTGGCGCAAGCCGGGCAAGAGTCAGCCGATCGTGTTCTATTGCAGGGCGGGCGCGAGGGCCCAGACGGCGTTGGATTTGGCAAAGCACAAGGGGTACAAGTAGTGAGTTCGCGTCGAGCGTCCCTCTCTCTACTCTGGCGTGCTCTCGGCGCGGAGTACTGATTCGTCGATCTGCGCTCCCACAGCCTCCGCAACTACCAAGGCTCGTGGCTCGACTGGGAGAAGCGCGAGAAGGAGTCCAACCCGCACGGCGACGACTGAACCCCCCTCTTCCCGTTCGCCCGTCTCGCTTGGTCGTGAATGTACTGTAGGGCGTCTCGTTCTACATCTGCATGTGTCGCGCAGGCCAGGGACCGGGTTGTGCGAGCGGGTGAAGGCTGCTCTCGCTTCGTCGCTTGTCCTGCTCCTTGCTCGCTCGCTCCTCGCTCGATTCGCCTCGCTGCGCCTCGTGCGCACCCGTATTACACTCCTACACACCCACTCGCCCCTGCCAGCCCGTTACAAGCGCCCTTTTCGTCGTCCGTTGGGCGAACAGACCCCCTCCAACGGCCGCCTTCCTCTCTCTCCCTCCTTCCACTCACTTTCCTCCCTCACTCACCGCGCACGGCTCTGGCAGCCCTCGCTTCTGACTCGCACTGACTCACTGAGCACTTTACACCCGCGCGATTCACACGGAAGGCAAGTTGTAGCGGCGCACCGACCCCTCGCTCTCAACTCGCTCGCTCGCTCGCTCGCTCCCGCCACAAGGTTGTGACAAGATGCGCCCCGCGACTCTCGTTCTCTCGCTTTTCTCGTTTGCGCTCGTCGCGGCTGGCTCCGCGGTCGCTGTCGACGGAGGAGGAGGAGGAGGTGAGTACCTTTCGCCTTTCCTCGCTTGATGGACGAGGGACGGCTCGGACGGCCTCGGATGACCTCACTTCTAACTCGCAACGACTCTATAGTCTACTCCGAGCCGCCTCGCCCGCTCCCCAGTCGGTCGAACGAAACTGACCCGCTCCCTCGCTCCCTCGCGCGCGCAGATCCCTTCGCGCTCCTCAAGCGTCAGCGCGGAGGAGGCAGGTTCCCTGGCGTGCGCCAGCAACTTGATGGGAAGTTGGACCCGGGAAACAAGGGCGGGCAGGGGCAGGGTGCGTCCCCTTGCTCGTCTCTCTGCACGTCCCGCTCCGTCCTTCGGGCTCGCGCGGCTTCGCGTTGGCTCGGAGATAGTTCGCTGGGACCTGCACTGACAAAGAGAGTGGATGGTGAGCACAGGCACGACCAACCCCGCCGGCACCGGGTCGCAGCAGACCAACTCGACGTCTGGCTTGCCCAAGGGGATCGTCGACACCGGCGACCCTCAGAAGAACCTCTTCGTGCGTTCGGCTCGTTCCTTACCTGGAACTCGTGCTTTTCCCCCTCCGCTGCGACGACGGTCGGAGCGAGGAGGATCACAGCACGTCTCCAGCTTCGGACGGCTGACTTGTCTTTGCGCAATTCTCTCACACGTTCACAGCTCGACCCGAGCCAGATCGCCAAGGGACTCGCGCAAGACGGTACGACCGGGGCCGGCAGCGAAGCAGGTGCGTCCTCGCGCTCATCTCTCCGTCTCGCCTCTCGTGCTCCGCGAAGCGAGCTGAGCCGTGAGGTTGTGTCCTACGCGCGCAGGTGTCGTCGCGAGCGCCACGAGCGTCAACAACTTCATCAATGCCTGCTTGCTGAGGACTGATTTGGTGCGTTTCGTTCACGAGCGAGCGAGTCCAGGCGAAGCTCTGCACTGACCTTCGCTACTTGCTGAACGCGTGGGGACGCGTTATGCAGCCCCTCACGAACGGGAACCAGGGTGCGTCCGCGTTGTCTTCACTCATGTCTACTCACGCTCCACACGCCGAGGGAATGGCGCGGGGCGGTTCCCGTTCCCTCGTCTCCTTCGCTGACTGGTTCGCCTGTCCGTCTTTGCGCTCGCTTCGCGTCGACCTGCGCAGTCAAGGTGCGTCCTCCTCTCTCGCACACTTCGCGAGCGCCTCCGCCATCATCCCGCTGACTTCGCCTTCGTCCCTCCCCTTCCTTCCGTGGTCCTCTCACTTTCCCTCGCGCAGACCGGCTCGTGCAACGCCGTCCCGATGGGCATCATCGCCGCGCAAACCAAGATGCCGTCCTGCAAGTTTGTCAACCCGAAAAACTTGGACACCCTCCCCGCCAACCAGGACTTTGAGGTGCAGATGGCGATCAACAATGTGCGTTGTCCATCGTGGACCTCGAGCTCCCTCACTTGATGCGGAGAGCGAGGGAGCTGACTGAATTTTGCGGGCCGCGACGCAGCTCGTCACCGGCAACTTCGTGCGTCCTACTCGCTCTCGGGCGGTGTCGGAGCTGACCATTTCCTCGGCTCCTGCTTGCAGGTCAACGCGCAGCAGAGTGAGTGCGGCCACGCTGCGCGAAGGAGCGGCTGCGAACGACGCTGACCGTCTCTCTAAACCATCTACCCGCTCCTTGCAGACTACTTCGCCGGTTCGTCCCGTCCGTTCCCTCTTCGCTCGAATCGGCGCTGAATTCGATCGCTCCTCCGCCGCACAGCCCCGCAGAATGTCGACCAGAACGGCGTCATCATCGGTGAGCCTCGCCGACAATCTCTCCTCCTCCAGCTTCGAGCTCACCCACTCCCGCTCGCAGGCCACTCGCACGTCGTCATCGAGCCGATCGACTCGCTCACCACGACGACCGTGAGCGACCCGACCCAGTTCGCCTTCTTCAAAGGCCTCAACAGCCCCGCGCAGAACGGCATCCTCTCAGCGACCGTCACGGGCGGCTTGCCCGCCGGAACGTACAAGCTGAGCTCGATCAACTCGGCGGCCAATCACCAGCCTGCTTTGGTCGGCGTCGCGCAGCATGGGAGTCTGGACGATGCGGTGTACTTTGTGAGTCGGGCGTGCTTCCCCTGGATCGGTCGAGCTTTCTTCCGAGCGTGATGACTGATCCCCAACTACGGCCGCCCTACAGACGGTCGCCGACAACGCCAACGCCGCCAACGCGAGCGCTGCGAACGCGAACGGCGGCTCGAACGGCAACGCCAACGGCAACAACGCTGGGCAAGCTCAAGGACAGGCTCAGGCGCAGGCGACCACCTCCGTCGCCAACACCGGCAACAACAACGCCGGGCAAGGCCGAGTGCAAGTCCAGCAGGCTCAGGCGGCCACGACCGCCGCTGCGAACAATGTCGGACAAGGACAAGCGCAGGTCGCCGCCTCCTCCTCCTCTTCGAGCACGACGACAACTTCGCCTGCTGCGAACGTCGGACAGGGTCAGGCGCAGGTGACGACGACGAGTGCGGCCGGTCAGCAGGGTCAGGGTCGTTTCGGTGGGTTTGGAGGTAGGAACGGACGCAACGGTGGAGGCAGGAACGGTGAGGATCGCTCTCAACACATCGCCCGAATCGCTCAGCTTTGGAACGAGTTGAGCTGTATGCTGAGTGACGTCCGCTGACCTGTCGTCTTGCCACGCGCGCAGGCTCGAACGCCTCCTCTACCTCGTCGTCTTCGGCCACCTCGACCGCCTCGCTCGCGGCCCGCTCTGCCCTTCCTGACGCCCACCCGAACGCCTTCTCACAGCGCCGTCACACCAACCGCGCCCGCGACAGCAAGTACAAGCTCGAGAGGCGCCTCGAGGCCCTCCTCCAGGCTCAGCAGCGCGCTTGATCCTCCCTTTTCCGTCACACTCTCTCGCTTTCGTTCGCTCGTTTTGTACCGCTTGTTGATGACGGAGGCGGGCTGGACTCGCTTCTGTTAATGGTTGTGTAGCTTTGCAACGCTTTTGTTCGAATCGGGTTGAGAAGGTCACCGGGTCGAGGAGAGCGTCGACGACGGCGGCTGTTCTGGCTTGTACAGCTCGCCGGCTTGCAAGCTGACTACCAGTACTCGTTGGGAGCAAGGAGCGGCTTGGGCGAGTCAGCGAGAAGAACGCTTCACCTGCGTTGCCTCTTCGCATCCGCCCTCTCACTTGTTCGCACGATGCTGTGGATCCGCTCGCTCGTACACGTTGTTGGCGCCTTCTTCTGCATCGCTGCACACGACGTACAAGCTCCGAGACCCTCGCACGACGCAGACACGACGTCCCAGCCACCGACGACCGCAGCTCGAGCGACAGTCGCGGAGACGTCGCACCCTGCCTCGAGCGCTCCGCACGACCACGAGAACGACCTGGAACTGTGGAACGAAGTCGCCTGTCGAGACATCTCCCTCGCATCAGACGCGCCGCCAACCCCGTCAACCTCCTCCTCATCCCGCACTCCGCGACTTCCGCCTGAACTTCTCCTCCAAATCATCGAGCTGGTCGTTGAGGTTCCCTTCAGCAGCGATGTCGAGCGCATTCGTGCGACAAAACCGCCCCTGGAAAAGCCGTTCCCGCTCACGCCTACACCGTACGGTACGCTCGCCAACGTTTGTCTGGCGTCCCGCGAGTTCTGTCGTCTCGCACAACCAGTCATGTACCGCGATATCGTGATAACGGCAGAGTCGGTAACGCCCTACAACAACCTTGTCAGCCCGCACCCTCTCCAGACTCTCCAGATACGCGAAGACCTCGCAAGTCAAGTCAAACAACTCCATTTCGTCTCGTGGAAGTGCTATTGCGTTTGCCGTGGCATTCACGGCTTGTCTCCTCCATTCTTTCCGTTGCTTCGGAATCTGGAGACGTTGGTGATGCCCGAATGTACTCTGCGACTTGGATTCCAGGATGCGAATACGCGCTGGCTTTTCCGCAAGGCGTTCCGTTCTCTGCCTCGTCTTTCGACTCTGATTGTGATGAAGGAAGACTCCTGGTTCGGTCCACGCAAACCCTCAGGAAGACGCCCTTGCGATGGCTCCCTCCCTGAGAACGGTGTCTGGTACCCTGACGGTAGGAAACAAGCCTTCGACCTCACCCCTTACCAGCAGTAACTCCCGTTGCAACATGGATGCGCTTAAGAAACTTGATTCGAACTCAGTGAGACGGTGCAAGGGCAAAGCGAGTTCATCCTCGAGCGAATGCGTGCCCAGCAACCGGTGCTTGTCTTACGCCAGGAGCACCTACTAAGAAGCTAGCCCGACGAGAGGCACGACTGAGAGAGACCGAAAGCGCAAAGCAGCGTTCGAGGACGGAGGACGGCTTACGCAAGGACAATGACTTTGTGCTGCGTTTCAGCTCGCTCTACGTATAGACAGTCTAGAAGCGGAAGACCTGTTCGCCAGCCCCATAGCGTCAGCTTCACCTCCGCCCGAATGAACGAAAGTCGAGCGCGAGGAGGGAGAGGGACGCACCTGCTCCGCCGAGTAGCCGAGCTTCTTGAGGACGCTGTTCTCGTCGAGCGGGCCCTGCTCCTTCATGCTCTGCGGAGGCGGAAGCGGAGGCGCAGGCGAGATCGGCGGCGAGGATGAAGACGGGAGACACGGGGAGAGAATCGTCAGTCCCCGCCGTTCTCAAGTGAGGCAAGCGGCGCAGGGAAAAGAGCGCACCTTCTTGGGTCCCGAAACAGCCTTGACCTGACCAGGAGGGCCGCCTACAAGCACGAGAAGAACAACCGGTTGATCAGCCTCGGACACCATCGTCGCCAAGAAGGACGCGGAACGCACAGACAAAGATCTTGACCTTCTCGCCCTTGTCGGGCGTCGTCCCAAACTCCTTGAGCGCGTCGGTGATGACCTTGTCCGAGACGTAGCCCGTCGGGCCGTTCCAGTTCTTCGGCGGCTGGTCGAGCGTAAAGACGACCTTGAACTGGTCGGGCTTCTTGGCGGCGAGGCTGTGCGTGCATGGATTAGCGCAGAAGAGGCGGAGGGAGAGGAAGTGAAGGGGACGCACTCCTCGAACTCCTTGCGGAGAAGGATGTCCTCCTCGGTCACGTTTGAGAAGATGAGCGTCGCCTTGGTCTTGTCCTCGGGGTTGGCGCTGCAGGGAGAGGAGCGTGAGCACTTGCACAGCCAGTGGAAGGAGCGACGCCTACGCACTCAATCGCCTGGAGAACCTGCCACCTGGAAACGAGCGAGCGGAATGAACCGGTGTCAGCGAGACGTTCTGGTTCGAGTGAGCACAACATCTGCGCACATGGGCGTGATACCAGATCCACCGGCGATCATGCTGCGAGGCGAACGGGTCAGCGAGACGAGAGAACGAGAGAGCGCGGCGGAAACAGCTGAACGCACGCGACCGACTCGTACTGGTTCGGCTTCCACGGGTGCTTGGGGATCGGGCCTGTACAAGCACAATGTCAGCTCGCACATCAACGGGCCACCAAGCGAACGTGGCGAACGCACCCTTCATCGAGATCGAGTCTCCCGGCTTGAGCTTCCACAAGTACTCGGTGAACGCGCCGCCCTTGTAGTGCTTGATCAACAACTCGAGCTTGTCGGTGACGTCGGGCGCGGTGACGGGCGTGTAGGGACGGATGACGGGCTTGCCCTTGTCGTTGAGGCCCTCGCCTTCCTTCGCGGCTTTGCAGACGAGAGCGGAGGCGACGGTCAGGCCGGAGGAGGTGCCTTCGGGGAGGGCGAAGACGAAGCGGCTGGTCTGTAAAAGTGTGCACAAGTGAGCCGCCGATTCGACAAGAGAGGGCATCTTGCCGGGGCAAGTCCTGACGAGATGTCAGCTGTAGAGACGGCGAGCTCGCGACGCACGTTGTGGTTGTAGGGGATAACCTCGACAATCTTGAAGCTCCTGTGTGGTTGAATGCGGAGCGTGAGATCGAGTCCAAGTCAAAAAGCAGTGTTCGCGGCCGCACCTGAACTCGTCGGGCGAGAGCGCCGACTCGCCCTTGACCTTGACGCCGCCCTCCTTGGTCGCCTCTGTTCCCTGGATCTGCGCGCCTCCCGATCCAGCACCGAGCGCACCTCCGCGCGCGGTTCCGGCCTTGGCCTGCTCGTCGGCGCGGAGGGTGGGGTTCTGGGTGTAGTAGTAGACGCCGCCGCCGACGAGACCTGCGCCGAGGATGTAGGGCGCGAGGTGCGAGACGGACGACGAGGGTGCGGCCGAGGATGCGTACGAGCGGGTGGAGGAGGGGAGCTGCAGAATGGCGACAGCGCAGTCCGGGAGGGCGGCGGAAAGGCGGGTATGAAGGCGGGAGTCATGGCATCGGATCAAGCATGAGAACCATGCAGCAGGAGGCGTGGTCGAGAAGTGACGGGGCCAAAGGGTCAGTTCGGGGAGGAGAAGGTCGCGCGACGAGCGAGAAAGGACGCACGGCAGTCCGGGTGCCCCTGAGGGTGTTGGCAGCGAGACGTGAGAACATCCTAGCAATCAAGCGAGCTCTAGCAGGAAAGCGAGCGAGTGGTGGAGCGGAAGAGAGTCGTCCTCATCTCTCGTCATCGAAGCGAGCGACGACAACGCTGTCCGCTCGTCCTGCTTGACTGGTTGTACCTTGAGTGTGCTTGTACGGCTTTCTAGACTCGGCTCCACCGTTCTCCCGGCTCGAAACGCGACCACCGCCGTCCACGCCGTCCTCTCGCCGAACACGGGTTCCGATCCAGCTCACTCTCGCGGGCCGGCCTCGCTCGCGGGATTGGAGAAGAGTTTGAGACTGTTTAGGGACATTGGGTGAGTCGCAAGTCTATCCGACAGGATGTCGTTCTTCCAGCTCGTGCGGACGGTCCTCGGGGCGTCGTCTCGCGCTTCTTGTGCGTTGGACGGGCGTGGACAGACTTTGGAAGGCTCAAGTATGCGACGTAGTATGCTACGGACGCCCAGCGACACCACTCTTGCCGCCTCACCACCGACACCTCCTCTTCTCGTTGCGGAGCACCACGCTGACCCTCGCTTTCCCGCTCGCTGGAGCAGCCAGTCGTCCCTCTAGCATCAGCAGAAGACGACGGACGCGATGTCAAAAACGGCGACCGACCGATACCAGCGCCAGCTCCAGCTCCTCCTCAAAGAGCCCGGAAACGACGAATGCGCCGACTGCAAAGCTCGCAATCCGCGCTGGGCGTCGTGGGACCAGGGCGTCTTTCTCTGCGTTCAATGTGCGTCGATGCATCGCAAGATTGGGAGCCATGTCACAAAGGTCAAGAGCGTCACGCTCGACAAGTGGACGAAAGAGCAGGTCGAGGTGTGTGGGAGCTTTCTGCCGTGGCTGGCCGCCCCCTTCAGTGTGGCCGATGACTCACTACAAGCATCGCTTCCTCCAGAACATGCGCAAGCTCGGCAATGTCAAGGTGAACAGCATGCTCAACCCAGACGAGCGGCGGCATCCGTGAGTTTCGCGTTCCCTGCTTTGCCTTCGATTGTTTATCGAGTCCTTTCCGCCAGGCCGCCTCCGCAAGACTCGGGCGACGAGCGAAACTCGCAGCTTGAGCGGTTCATCCGGAACAAATACGAGTACCGGACTTTCGCTGCACCTGCATCATCGGCGAACGGATACTCGAACGGATCGACCGCTCCACCGCGACCAGCTGCGCCTGGTTCCTCCTTCACCTCGCCTTCGACCGCGGCAGATCCGGTACCTCCACTACCGCGTCGACCAGCTCAACCTGCCTCCTCCGCCTTCGACGACTTTTCCTCCGCCTTCGGTCCTCCCGCCGCCAGCACGTCTTCCTCGCAGCCTTTCTCTCCCGGTCCTACCCTTCCCCCTCGACCGCCTCTCTCGCACGTCGCCGCCTCTGCTCCCGCTCCCATCGCCGCCCCAACACCTCGCGCAAAATCCGTCCGCTTCCCCGAAGCTCCTCCAACCTTCATCCCTTCTCCACCCGATTCTGACGACGAAGACGATGTCGAACCTCACACTTCTCCCCCACGCCCTTCCCTCCGACCTCGCGCCCGCTCCGCCTCCGCCCACCCTCCTCGAAAGGGCATCCTCCGATTCCGACCAGGCGGCAACGACGAGATTCTCGTCGATTGGGCCGCCTTGACGTCCCCTCCGCCCGGCGCAGACGGGGAGGACGAAGAAGATGTCCCGCTTGCGAGTTTGGGAGCGTTGGGCATGAGGGGCGCGCAGGTGGGGATGGCAGCTGTTCCCGCTCCTCAAGGCGGTGGATACATCCCGTATCCTGGGACGGGGCAGCAGCAGGGGATGTGGGCCGTCCCGTATGGCGGACCATCTGGGCAGGGTCAGGCAGCGCAGGGAGGGAACCCGCCGCCTGTCGCGCCGCTGCAGCCGCAGTACACCGGCTCGGCGAAGGGATACCTGCATCAGCAGCGACAGCAGCAGGCACAGGCTCTTCAGCCACAGCAGACAGGCACCGGTATCGACGCTTTCCAGCAACTGTTCCAGCCACCAGCTCCGTCGCAGCCGCAACAGTCGCATCAACCGCCTTTCTCGCAACCTCAGCAGCAGTACTCGCAGCTGCAACTCGCGCAACCGCAGGCTCGGACGAATCCCTTCCATGCGCACCTCTTCGCGAGAAACGCCTACTCGCCTTCCCCTCAACCTCCTTCGTCTGCACCATCGCCCCAGCCGCCTCAACCGCCTCAGCAGCAGCAAGCGCCTCCTCAGCAGCCGCCGCTACAGCAACCTCCTCAGCAAGGCCAGACGGCGAAGACGATGAACGATATCTGGGCGGATCTCGACTTGCTCGGCGGGTCCAGCTTCTCCTCCGCGCCTCAACCTTCAACGTTACACCTCCAGGCGCCGTCCTTCGGCAACGCGCCGACGCCGTCTCCATCGATCCAACCGAACCCTCCTGCTCCCGCTCCCCTTCGACCGCAATTGACCGGCTTCGTCCCGTCCTCCTCCTTCGGCCAACAACTCGCTCGCGAGTCATCTCCCTTCCCTCCCTCCGCCTCACTTACCGTGCCAAACGCGACAGCCGGCTCGTCGCGCTTCGCCTCTCCCGGACCGTTCGACACGCCCCAACCCCTCCAGCCACAACGAACAGGCTTCGTACCCTCTTCCGCGTTCGGTCAAGAACTCGCGCGCGATTTTGGCGGTGGAAGCGGTGCGCCGAGTCCGGCACTCAATGCACCGGCGCCTGCACCGCTTCAACCGCAACGGACGGGTTTCGTACCGAGTTCGAGGTTTGGGCTTGAACTGGCGAAGGAGTCCGGTGGGAATGCGGCGAACGGTTCACTCCTCGGGACGAATGGTGCAACGGGAGACGGGCGGAGCGTCTCGCCGGCGCCGTTCGACTTTACCCCTTCGCCCGCTCGAACACCTCAGCCTCCGACGACGAACCCGTTCTCGACTTTCTCTTCCTCGCTCAACGCTGCGCTATCGCCTTCGCAACCCCCTCCGCCTCAGCAGCAACAGCAAATGCGGCCAAACCCGTTCCTCCAGCCTCAATTGACCGGCTTCAACCCGACTCAGCAACCCATGCGGCCTCAGCAGACCGGCTACTTCCCGACTCCTCAACAACAAAATATGCCGCCACAGATGCAGATGGGTTTGCAGCCGCAGCTGACGGGCTTCCAGGGAGGAGGAGTCAGACCACCCGGAGGAAACCCGTTCCTGGCGTTTGGGCAGGCGAATGGCGGGCAGGCGGGGTGGCAGCAGTAGCACTGGAGTGTGAAGGAGTAGACGGTGGCGCTCGGGAACTCGTATATTATTCGACGAGGAGGTTGATTGTCGTTTGTTCGGCGAGAGACGTCATCCGACGCGGCGACTGCACACTTTCCGTCGCAGACTCGCTGTTGGCACTGGACACATCTGCAGTGCAGAAGCTCGTCGTAAAGCGAGCGAACAGAGAGACCTTGCAAGTTGACCCTCTCCTCCTCGTCGCCTGTCCAAGGTCAACATCGTCACTCTCGCTGCTCTCGCTCCATCCGCGCCAAACACACTCGCCGAGAGCCATGGCGACCCTCGCATCGCTGCTCGAGCAGTCCCAGCGACTGCAGACCTCGCTCGCGTCGTCCTCCGCACAGCCAGGCGTCGACCTCCCCGCCATCCAGCTCGGGCTCGACCAGATCGAGAGCCAGTCGCGCAGGATCGCTGGACGCAGTCTCAAGGAGGCGCGCCAGACGGGCAACGCGTGAGTCTCGCCTCTTGTTCGTCGAGGAGCAGTTGGCCTCATCAGGATCAAGTTGGACGAGGCGGATGTGGGCGAGGGCGGCTTGCGGAGCAGTGCAGTGGGCAGGGGTCATCAGGACACTCGGCTCGAGAGGCTTGGTGATGCGGACAACCCAGCACGAGCGGTCACCCTGTCCACTGAACTCACCCTGTCCTCATCCCCTCCTGCAGAGCCTACTTGCTCGCTTCAGGCGGAGTCAATGCCGAGCAGCTCTCGTCCAACATCAACACCGTCAATGTCGCCGGCACCTTTGAGCCGCTCGTCCCCCTGAGCGACACGGACGTCGAGGTGCGCTTCCTGCCTCGTCCTCCTTCCATCGCGCGCTCACCCGGCTATCCTGCAGGGATACATCCGGCACACGCACGAGCAAGCGATCATTTCCGCCATCGAAGAAGGCCGCCGCGCGACCACCTCGGACTTTTACCGCAACCTTGATGTCAAGATGCGCCGCGACTGGGAGAAGCAGAAGGAGAAGCTGTTTGAGGAGCTGGGCCGACACCAGCCTGCGGCGGGACCGAGTACGGAGACCCCTCGGCGCGGTGGAAGCGGTGCGAGCGGCTTCGAGCGTGGCGTGAGTCCTGCTGTCGTTCGGTTTTCCTGCGATGTCGCTGACATCCCTCGCACAGTCCCCCATGACCCCTCTTCCTGCGACTTCCGGCTCGCTTCAGATGCACTCCAAGATGATGCGCTACGACCGAGTCATCCGCCGCCTCAACGAATTCCGCAAGGAGGGTTACGCGTTCGGTCTCGTCTCGGCGCTCGGAGAGGCGAGCATCGGCACGTCCGCGAGCGACTCGGTGCGGCTTGCTCTCTGTTCGCTTTTGCAGAGCTTCGCTGACTTCTCCTCGCACAGCGCTCCGCCCAGGCGACCGAAACATGGCGCCTCCTTTCGCACCTCGTCCAAGAACGCGACGTCCTCAATGGCGAGTTCCAGCGGACGGCGCTGCAGGAGCGTCAGTATGCCAAGGCGTACTTGCTTGCCGATCAGGAGAGTCAGGATGCGGTACAGGTCAGGAGGATGATCGGAGACGGTGCGAGAGAGTACCTCGAAGAGCAGTGCGTCCCAGTCCTTACGATTCGGCTGCCTCTGCTCTTGAGAAGCAGTGCGCTGATCGCGAAGGTGTATCCGTCGCACAGATTCCTCGCCTACGTCGAAAAGACGCTCGCCTCGCGACCGACTGAAGCGGCTCTCGGCGGTGACCCGTCCATCCAGAACAAGATTCGCGCTTTCCTCAACGTCAAGTACTCCAAAAACGGGCAGTGGTCGAACCAGGCGCTCGAGGTGCGTTCTGTCCAGGCGCGTGCGATACACTCGGCTGACGAACCCGCCGCGCAGATCGCCAACAACACGCCTGTCTGGGCTCGCATTTACTACCTCCTCCGCAGCGGACACGCCAAGGAGGCCCTCACGTTCGCCACCGAGAACGAGTCGGCGATCCAGAAGCTTGAGAAGAGCTTCGTCCCGTACTTCAAGGCGTGGCTCGACTCGCCCGACCGGCGCCTCCCGAAACTCCTCCGCGACCGCTTCCTCGCCGAGTACAACCAGCGCATCCGCTACCTCACCGACACGTCCGACCCATACAAGCACGCGCTGTACAAGCTCATCGGCCGCGTCGAGATCAACCGTCGCAACGTCCCCGGCGTCACGCAGACCACCGAGGACTGGCTCTGGTTCCAGCTCAGCCTCGTCCGCGAGACCGAGGGACAGGGCGAGGCTCCGCACGAGAAGTATGGCCTGCGCGACTTGGCGGCCGTCTTGCGCAAGTTTGGCGAGCAGCACTTTGACCCGAAGGGAACGAGGCCGCTCCTCTACTTCCAGGTCCTCCTCCTCAGTGGGCAGTTCGAGCGGGTGCGTCCGGCGATGTGCTATGTCGGCTGTCGCGGTATGGCTGGCTGACTGGTCGCGGATCGTCTGTTCCACAGGCCATCGCGTTCCTCCAGCAACACTCGCAGTATCAGGCCGACGCCGTCCACTTTGCGGTCGCCCTCGCGTACTACGGCTTGTTGCGTGTCTCGCCGAGGTCGAAGGCTGCGGACGTCGAGCTGCGTGAGTGCGGGATACTCTTCCGCCCGAGACTTCCGCTGACCTTTCCTCCCGCAGTCGTCGACGGCAACACCGACACCCCCTCCATCTCCTTCGCCCGCCTCATCCACCGCTACACTCGCCTTTTCGCGCACTCCGATGCCGCCGAAGCGCTTCAGTACCTCTACCTGATCTGCCTCAACGCCGACCTGCCATCGCCGCGAGGTGAAGACCAGGTCGCTCTCGCGCACGACTACGTCCGCGAGCTCGTCATGGAGACGAGGCAGTACAGCCAGCTGCTTGGAGACGTGCGGAACGACGGGACCAAGGTGGTGAGTCCAGCTGCGTCTGATCGCTTGACTACTCGCTGACCCGCCTTACACGCAGCCCGGCCAGATCGAGCGTGACCTCAAGCTCCTTCACCTCGCCGACTCTCGCGCCTACCTCTTTGGCATCGTCAAGTCCGCCGCCGAGCGCGCCGACCTCGAGCTGCGTTTCAGCGAGGCGATCCTCCTCTACAACCTCGCCGAAGAGTACGACGCCGTCATCGCCGTCCTGAACGTCGAGCTCGGCAACTCGCTCTCGAAGCCGTCTGTGCCTGAGAACGGCGCGAGGCAGAGTCGCGGAGGTTTCTTTGCGGATGCGAGCAAGGGGACGGTTGGGATGGCAGCTGGCCAGGAGGATGTCGCGCAGGTTGCACGGAGCATCCTCGAGCACTATGATCGTAGTGCGGGCATGGGAGGAAAGGTCTCGAGGCGGAGGAGGGAGACGTGCGAGGTGTTGATGCGGTTGAAGGAGGCGATGGGCATGTACGAGCAGGGCAAGCTCGAGCAGGCGTTGCAGGTGCGTGCCGCGCCTGTGCTTGCCAGTTCGTGCGCCTCGCAAATGCTGACATGCAACCCACCTCGGCCGTCCGCAGACCATCGAGTCGACGAACCTCATCCCGCTGCACTCGGACCTGGTGCACCTCATCCGCGCCGCTGAGGATCTCAACTCGGTCGACGACGCGATCGTCCGCAACCTCGACGTCGTCCTCGTCGCGACGATGTCGATCCTGTACAAGCTCCACCAGCAGCTCAAGGACAGCCCGTTCGGCGGCGACCAGTCGCGGCAGCAAAAGATGCAAGAGTTGCGGGCCAAGGCGCGCAGCCTCATGATGTTTGCCGGCATGGTGCGTTCTCTTGTGACTCTCGCTGTATGCTCTACGCTGACCTTGCACTGCTCGGAAACAGCTGCGGTACCGGTTGACCGCGGAGACGTACAGCCAGCTCATGCGGCTCGACACCTTCCTCCACTGAGCTCCGCCGCGTTCTGCAACGATGCCTATCGCACTACTATCGCCGTGTGAGGCTCTGCAGACGATAGTCGGCCGTCGCTGGCGGGAGCGGGTGAGCCGTCGTCGCCAACTCGGCCGCTCTCACTCGGACAACTCGCTCGTTCACGCTTCCACTCGCTGTGTGCTTCCGCGCTCTTCTCAGCTGCACCGTACACTCGTCTGCCTCACTGCTCAAGCTCTGTCCGGCCCTCCCGCGTCGTCGCCGTCTCGCTCAACTTCAACCCCACCTCGACACCTCCGACCTCGTCTCTTCGCCTTCACACCGCTTCTAAGGCCTCACTAGCACACTCAAACTCCCGCGATAATGTCCAACGTCACTCTCGTCTCGCACCCCATCGTTCAGAGCAAGATCTCCGAGCTGCGCAACTCGCAGACCTCATCGCACCGCTTCCGAGCCCTCATCAAAGAGATCACGACCGTGTTGGGCATCGAGGCGACGCGGGATCTGCCGTTGAAGGATGTGCAAGGAGTGAGTGGGCGTCTCGCTTGTATCGGGTGTGATCCTCCTTCGCTCGCCTCGACACCCCACATGCACTTCAAGGAGACTTGGATGTCGCTGCCTTCGCCTTCGAGGCCTGACGGTGCCTGGGTGTCGTTCTTCAGTTCATGTGCTGACCAGAATGCTCGCACAGCTCCAAAGTCCTATCGACAGCTACACCGGCAAGGCTATCGCGCCCAAAATCGGCTTGTCGCCCATCCTTCGCGCAGGAATCGGCATGACTGATCGTGAGTCAGCTCAGAGCTCTCTCCTGAAGCGGCTGCTGACGATGGAGGCGCCCTCGCACAGCCATGCTCGACCTCTTCCCCGACGCATCCGTCTTCTACCTCGGCCTCTTCCGCGAAAAGGTCTCCCTGCAGCCCGTCGAATACGTGCGTGTCACCTCTCTCAGTGCACTATTCGTCTGCTGACGGAGTTCGCGGCCCGCAGTACCAGAAACTCCCGCCTCAGCCTACTGTCGACACTCTGTACCTTCTCGACCCGCTTGTCGCGACTGGCGGCACGGCCATCGCGGCCATCTCCATCTTGGTGAGTGTTTGAACTCGCAAGTGTGGGCGTTCCTGCCGGGGACGGCGCTCGAGGATACGGACTGACCCCCTTTTCCCCCCTTCCCCTCTTCGCCTTTCCACCTGCTCATCTTCCGCCTCACAGCTCGACTGGGGCCTCGACATCTCGCAAATCAAGCTCCTTTCGATCCTCGGATCCAAGCCTGGGCTGGAAAAGGTCGCCGAGGCGTATCCAGGACTGCAGATCTTTACTTGCGCGGTAGACGAGGTCGTAAGTCGGCTTGCCCTTCTCTCCGTCACTTCTCGCTCGGGCGATGCTGATCCGGCGGGTCGATCCTCCAGCTCACGGAAGATGGCTACGTCCGGCCAGGCGTCGGCGACACGGGCGACCGCCTCTTCAACACCAAGTAGCCTAGCCGTGCATCATAGACGAGTCTTTGCTGTAACATTCTCTCTGCATTGTCCTTCACGAGCATACGAGAAGTGCACTCCTCCAGAGTAGCGACCAAGCTCTTTGCGCCAACCAGACACAAGTCCGTGTCAAGCGTTCCTTCCAAGCTCAAGCTACGCCTCCTCGCCCTTCGCCTCGCCACCGTCTGCCTCATCACCATCTTCGCCATCGACCTCCTCCAAGCCGCCCTCCTTCCGCACCTTCGCGACCTCCTCCTCGTTCGCGCGAAGAGCGTCCTTCTCGTCCGGGTTGATCAGCGCCGACGAGACGAGCAAGACTTCTTCGAGCTGCCAGACCGAAGAGCGTCAGTTTACGAGAAAGCAACCGCCGGAGAAAGTGAGACGAACCTTGCGGTACTGCGCGAGCTTGGCAGACGGGTGAGCGAGTGCGGATGGAAGGGAAGCGAGGGTCGCGATCGTCTTGCGGAGCGCTTCGAGGGCTGCAAGGTAGTGAAGACGTCAGCGAGGTGTTGGAGCCAAAGCGCGCTCGGGAACACACCCTTCTCACTCGCCTCCTTCGCCTGCTTGACCTCGTCCGCGTCGAGCGGAAGCGGCGTGACCTCGGCATCCTCGTCCTCCTCCGCCTCGTCGCCGGCATCGGGCCGATACTTTGCCTCGACCGCGTCCTCGAGGAGGATGAACTGCGACGCGAGGCAGTCGGCCTCGACGACGTCCATCAGGAACCGCCAGAACGGCTCGCGCTCCCTCGACTCGTCCGACATGCACACCCACGGGTGCTCGCGGACGTTGTCGTCCTCCTCATCCTCATCGTCGTCCTCGCCATCCTTCTTCGCCGGCAGCTCGACTCCCGCTGGCTGCTCGAGCACCGCGCGAATCTGGTCGAGGTTCTTCATGATGCGCGCGAGGGTTTCGGCGCCGCCGGCCTCCTCGGGATGTCGCTCGGCGAGAGGGACCCACACCGAGTACGCGCGGAGCCAGGCAAGGACGGCGTCGTCTTGCGAGACGAGCGGGTGATCGAGGAGGAAGATGAAGCCAGGACGGGACTTCCACTCTGAGGAGCGCGAGGACAACAGCTTCGTGGCATCCTCGGCGCGCCCGGCGGCGAGGAGGGCGTCGGCGAGGTCGACGATGCAATGCGCGTACTCAGCTTCCATGAGCGAGATGAGGGTCATCCGCGAGCTCTCCTCCTCGATGTCCTCGCCATACATGTCGTGCAGCTCGTTCGCATCGAGGACGCCGTCGACCAGGAGCTCGAGTCGCTCGTGAGCCGCCTCGAGCCAGCCTTCGCGCGTCTGCGGCTCGCGCAAGTCCACCTTGCGCTTCTTCGTCCCCTGCGCATTCTTGACGGCCGAAGGCTTGAGCGCGCCGTCGGAGGGTTCGAAGAGGGCGCCGAGGTAGTGCAAAGCGAAGCCTTGGAGGAAGAGAAGGTGCGCCTCGGTGAGCGAGCCGTTCCACTCGAGTCCGAGCGCCTTGAGCTTGTCGTCGCCCGCTTCTTGCCGCCTCTTCCGCACCTCCTTGAACGACCTCGGCCCCTCGCGGTTGTCCTGGCGGTACTCGCCGGCACTGTGCTCCTCGATGAACGGCTCGAGGACCGCGCAGCCGTGGAGGATGCCGCGCAGGAGGTTGCGGGCGTCGTCGGCGCGGTCAAAGTCCATGTCGCCTGGCGTGAGCGAAGTCGGGAAGGGGTACAAGATTTCGAGGACGTTGGCGCGCAGTTCGAACAGGTCGGCGAGCGTGAGAGCGTCTTCGTCGAGCGGCATCGTCTTTTCGGCATTGAGGGCGGGGCCAGCTGCAGCAGGCGTCTCGGTCGGAGCGGCGCGCTTGGCCGAAGCCTTCAGGCCTTTCGGTTTCGGGGGCATGTCGGCGGGGGAGGGCGAGTGAGCGGAAGGAGAGGTGAAAGTCGAGGTCGTGGAAGGCTGTATCGTCGTTCAGCCAGAGCGGGGGTCAGTGTCGAGTCCTGAGGCCCTGATAATCCATTCGGTGTGTTCTCCGAGGCATCCCAGGCCGTTCACTACGCGCAAAGTCCTCGAACCCGTGCTTCGAGGAGAAGGCGGTCCAGCGGGCCAGCGAGCGAGTGGGGAGGCGTGCCGACTGAGCGAGCAGCTAAGAGACGTACTATAGGCAGTCTGACCAGTCGAATGTAGCAGTCTGAGCTGCGTGAAGCGATGAGAGCGAGGTGCAGGAGTCGAAGCAGACGAAGGTCGACGGTTGTCCCGCAACACCCTCGCCAACTCGCGCAGACCATGTTCAAAAAGTGCGTGCACACTCTCAGCAGTACACTAGACACGGCGCCGTGCTGACTGGCCTTGTCTGCCTTGCTCCCGCTCCCCTCGTCGTCCTCATCACTCGTCGGCCGTCATTCCCGCTGGACCCGCTCGTTGGGACGCGCAGCTTCACGCCGAAGGAGCACATTGCCGGAAATGCGCCGATGAAGTCGTCGGCGCAGCGACAGATCCGCGCCAAGCTCCTCGAACAGATCCCCTTCCTCTCGCAACCCGCTGCCTTCCCCTCGACCTCGTCCTCCGCCGCTCCCGCAGCTCAGCCAACGCCCGCAGCGCCGCACAGTGACGACGAGGACGACGAGGACTCGGGGAAGAAAAAGGGAAAGGGCGGGAAGAAGGGCAAGGGTGCGGGTCCCGGAGGAAAGGGCGGCAAGAAGAGCAAGAAGCACGACGTCGAGGAGGAGGCGCCCGCTGCGGGGGCGGATGAGGGTGCAACACCGGCGGCGGACGAGGAGCTGACGGTTTTGGACCTGATCTGGCCGAAGAAGGAGACCCTGTCGCTCATCAAGTGGTGCGTGTGGGTGTTTCGTCTATCTTCCGGACGCTGTGCTAACTTCGCTTTCTCGTTCACAGCCGAGAACACATCTCGATCTACGCCGTCCATGGCGAACCCCTCTTCTTCCAGCATTTCGACGGCCCCTTCTACCCGACCCTCAAGATCCTGCATCGCTGTGCGTCCGGACGAGCTCCTCCTGATGGTCTCCGCTGACGTGCATCGTCCCCTCGCAGTCCCCGACATGCTCCCGCGAGTAGGCGTCGACCGAGGAGCGATCAAGTTCGTTCTCTCGGGTGCGAACATCATGTGGTGCGTTGCGACGGCTTCGTCTCGCTTGACTGTCGAGTCTGGCGAGCATTCCCGCCGATCTTCTGTCTGCAACCAATCGCTGTCGTCGCATTGCTGACCCGCTGCGTTGCAACAGCCCCGGCATGACCTCCGCAACCGGCTACCTCCCCCCCTCCTCCGCCAACATCCCCAAAGGCAAGCCCGTCGCCGTCCACGCCTACGGCAAAGAGAACGCCCTCGCCATCGGCTTGCTCGCCATGTCGACCGACGAGATTCGCGAGATCAACAAGAACATCGGCGTTGAGAACATTACGTTCCTCGGGGACGACTTGTGGAAGATCGAGAAGCTGTAGGCGGGCGTAGAGGGTGATGTATTGCAGGGTGTGCGACTACAGCGGCGACTCAGGCGAAATGGAACTGTGGAGATGCGGCCGAGTGCGTGAGGATCCTGCTGAACGTCCTTCGCTCGCGACGATGGTGGACCACTCGTCGCCCGGCAGTGCAGCGGCGAGAGCATACGACAGCTGCACGCAGCGCCGTAAGTCAAGTAGCTACCGCGAAGTGCCGGGGTTAGGGTTAGGGTTAGGGTTAGG